GTTCGACCCTACCGAACAAGCGAATCGAGACTATATTAGTAAAGGCAAGACAAACCACGAAAGGTATACTAGAGCGAAGGAAACGCTATACCTACGATATAGAATCGAGGCACGAGAATACCTTATTCCGTAAGGAAAAGCATACACGTAGTATATTATATATAGGTATTTCGAAGGATATATACTAGACTACGGAGTCTACTACTACGGGTGTATATATCACCTATACGAAGAAGAAGGAAAACGATATCCCTCGATATACCTAGAGTCGTACGATAGTAGCTACGCATACGACCCCGAGGATAATAATATCGATATAGAATACTACCCGTTAAAAAACTATTAATATCGCTTATAGAAAGGGCATAGGACGACGAAGGAAACCTAAAGACCCTCTGCTCCGTAGAGATAGACGGAGGATAGAAAACGGTTTTAGAAGTCTAGATTAACGGATATTGCCTACGAGTACTATTAGATAGTAGGGCAATAGGCAACTATATCTCACTAGTAGTAGTTAACTAACATATACTACTATAGAATTATAAGACTCGGGTATATAAGCTTTTTAATATTAAAGGATAAAGCTTCGATTATAATAGTAGAACTATCGACCGCGAGACCGATTATCTCGACGTAACGATATAAGGACACTATAAGATAATCGTCTTCGATATTATAGACTTATATAAATACGATATAATACTAGGTTACCTATAGTTAATAAGAAATAATCCGGTAGTCGATTAGCGCACTAGCTAGTTAGCGTGGATAGACACGATAACGCGACGATTACTATTTAACCAGAAAGAAGCGAATATTCGCGACGACTTAGCCTCTAAAGGATCTTTACCGAAGGATATAAGCGAGCCGAAGTAAGTAAAAGCCGTAGTACTAACCGAGAAGGCTATACAACCGGGTATACGATATAAACAAGGAAAACGAATCCTCGCTAATATTATATAAAAGATATTTAAGGCAAACCAAGCCCTATAAGAAGAAAGAAAGAAGAAACCTATAATAGAAGAAGAACGAATAAAGAATATACCGCTAGAATACCGAAAGTATAGCAGGTTGTTTAAGGAAACCCTCGAAACGGGTATTCCGTAATATAGTTAGTAGGATCACGAAATCTATCTTAAAACTAGAACCTCGACTAAGTTCTATAAACTCTATAACCTTAATAAGAAGTAACTTAAAATATTACGAGAATATATCGACGAAATGCTTAAGAAAGGCTATATTCGAACCTCTACCTCGGAAGTAGGATATCCCGTTATATTCGTGCTAAAAAAGAATAAGAAGCTACGACTAGTCGTGGACTATCGGCAGCTTAACGATATTACGATCAAAGATAGGACACCCCTACCGCTTATTAACGAGCTCAAGGACAGACTTCACGGCAAGAACTAGTTCACCGCTCTTGACCTAAAAGGAGCCTATAACCTAATCCATATAAAGAAAGGAGACGAATAGAAGACAGCTTTTCGCACTAAGTTCGGTCTATTCGAGTATTTAGTAATACTATTTAGCCTTACTAATACTCTAGCTACCTTCTAACGAATAATTAATAACGTACTCAGGGAGTACCTAGATATCTTCGTTATAGTATACCTAGACGATATTCTAATCTTCTCGGAAAACCTTAAAGAACATAAGAAACACGTCTACTAGGTACTAAAAATACTTTAAGATACGAACCTCTTAGTTAACCTAGAAAAGAGCGCGTTTTATATATAAGAAACCGTCTTCCTTAGATATACAATCCGACCAAACGAAATCCTAATAGAATAAATAAAGATTAATATAGTTAAAGAATAGCCCGTGCTAACAATACTTAAGGAAGTACAAGCGTTCGTAGGATTTACGAACTATTATCGACGCTTTATACGCGACTTTGCGAAAATCGTAGTATTACTCACGGGACTTACTAAGGGAAAAGAAGAATTTAAGTAGGAAATAGAGTAATAAAAGGCATTCGAAGGATTGCGAGACACTATACTATTAAATATAGTACTTATAACCTACGACCCCGGAAGATTACTCGAATTAGAAATAGACGCATCGGACTACGCTATAGGAGCATAAATCGGTTAACGAGACGATAATAGTAACGTACGACTAATTACATTCTTCTCGAAGAAACTCCACGGTGCGGAACTAAACTACCCTATTTACGACAAGGAATTCCTAGCAATTATCGCAGCTATTAAGGAATTTAAGCATTATATGCTAGGAACGAAGTTCACTACTAAAGTTTATACCGATCACCAAAATATCTCCTATTTCGCGATAATATAAGAACTTAGCGCACGATAAATAAGATACGCTAAATTCTTAGCCGATTATAATATTAAAATTATCTATCGGAAAGGTTCGGAAAATAGCAGAGTAGATACACTTAGCCGCCGACTAAACTACGACACCGAAGTACTAAAAGCTAAGGGCTAGATACTTTAATAAAATAATAAAGGAAACTACGTATAAATAGTACTTAACCTTCTTATATTTAGAGCGGAAGCAGACACCATATACTACGATAAAATACTAGAATAGGTATTAAAATATAAAAAAGAAATACCTAACGACTGCGCGATAGAAATAGGAAAAGGACCCACTAGGAATAAACTACTCTAGATACTACCGCCACTACGCGATAAAATCTTAATTAATATTCATACGTATCCCACGGTAGGATATTAAGGAGTTAGAAAGACTCTTAAACGAATACGACGAACGTACGATTACTAAGGAATTAAGGCAGACGTCGTACGTATCGTCGGACAATATGAAGATTATGCGCGCAGTAAGGCTGCATAGCATAAGCTATACGGAGAATTAAAGCCACTACTAGTACCTTTAAAGCCATAGGAATCGATAGCCTTCGATTATATTACGAAGCTACCTAAATCCAAGGAACCAGGATCCAACGTCGAATACAATAGTATATTCGTTATCACGGACCGGATAAGCAAATTTAGATATTTCCTACTATACTAAGAAGTAACGGATATAGAAACACTCGCATATATAATGCTTAAATACATCGTGGCTAACCACGGCCTTCCGGAAGAAATCATTTCGGATCGAGGAACGATATTATAACGGTTACGCCTAACCGTTGCGCCATGGGCAAAAGATCAGGCATTGATCGAATGACGAGCGATTAATATAGGCGTAATAGCTACTTATAGGGGGTTACGAGGGACTAGGTCGTAATATTAGCTCCCCTCCTCCAAGAGGTCGTCCCGACCTCCTAGGCTCTCCACGCACTAGCCTCGCTAGCGCGATCCTAGCAGCTACTAACCCCTAAGGCGTTCCGCAATAGTCATGCCCAAGCTATTCGCGCGGAGCCTTATTAGCGGCGGGGCTCGAATAGTGGACCTTAAATAGCAGCCCCCTGCCCGACCGGGCCACCAGCTCTTTTCGATCAAATTATAACAGTTACGCCTAACCGTTGCGCCATGGGCAAAAGATCAGGCATTGATCGAATAACGAGCGATTAATATAGGCGTAATAGCTGCTTATAGGGGGTTACGAGGGACTAGGTCGTAACAGATATTTACCTCGAAGTTCTAGCAAGTATTGATAGCTTAGCTTAGGACTAAATATAAGCTTAGTATAGCTTACTACCCATAAACGGATAGATAGATAGAAAGATTAAATCAGATATTAGAATAGTACTTACGGTGCTATATTAGCTTTAAGCAAGACGATTGGGTCTCGAAGTTACTACTCGCCTAACTCGCCTATAATAGCGCACCTACGGAATTAACTAAAATCTTATTATTCTACGCGAACTACGGATACGAACCCGAGTTCGGCAATAAAACACTAAGGGATAGACCTCTTGCTAAGAAAGCCATACTTAAAGTAGATTAATTACGCTCACTATATAAATATATAAAGAAATAGCTCGAATTCGTACGTATACGAATATCGAAGTACTATAATTAGAAAAGATCGAAAGGACCGATCTTTCGGAGGGGAGATATAGTCTACTTACTACGTAAAAATTTTATAATAACTCGACCTTTACCGAAGCTCGACTATAAAAAACTTAGACTATTTAAGATCGATGAGATTATCTTAGGCACTAACTATAAACTCTCACTACCCTCAAGCATAAGGATATACCCAGTCTTTTATATATTACTACTCGAAAAAGCACCACGAAACGCAAAAACCAAGTACGAACTAGAAGTTCTCGAGGAACTCTACGAACTAGAACGGATACTCGATAAACGAATAATTAACGGAGAAATCAAATACCTTATTAAATAGAAAGGCTATGCGAGCAACGAAAATACATAGGAACCCGCTAAACACCTCACGAACTGCGGCTACCTATTGCGATAGTTCTATCGGGCCTAGCTAAACCGAAATCCACTAGAATCGACGGATCTAACGGCATATCCTCGTATATAGTATCCTATATCTACATGAAGTCAGGCTCTAAAAAGTTCTTAGTAAAGGAACGATTAGCGGAGGAGCCCGATACTTCTGACCGCCTCTGCTCGCGCTCAGCCTCCTCGCGCTCCACACGTTCTAGCTCCTCCACGCTATTAATACCACGAGACACGGCTCTTATTATCTTCTCAAACCACAATTTCTTTTATTTTCGAAGACGGAGGACCTTTTCCTCCGCCCGCTCGAGCTCGGTCTCGAGTTTTTAGTGTTATTCGGCGATCTTACGAAGCTACGAGGTGGAGACCCCACTAACGTCGTAGGCCGAGCGGTTTAAACGAACGCACTCGGCGTAACGAGAGGAATTATTAGCTAAAACCTGATAGGTCTTGAGACCACGGCGCTCGCAGTTAGAGCAAGTAGGCATATCGACGGAATACGCAAAGATAGTTTCAAGAAGACGGATCTTACGCTCCTTAGCGTTAGAGGACGATTTCTGCGCACGCTTAGCGACACGGCCGGATATAGCAAGAAGATTGAATAAGGAAGAGGAAAACTCACTAGAACCAATAGGATTAGGGAAGGGCGCGTAATATATGATCTTAGGGATAAGATCTCGGAAGGAGGGGCATTATATTACGACCCAGTATGCGGCCTTCACGTGCTTCCAGGCACACCCTACTTTTTCTACCCACTCATAGCATGATTATCACTTATACGAATAATCGCGCCCGCGATTATTGCGATTATCACGGATCACTACGAATAAGCAGAATAGATTATTATCGGGAACAATAATCACCTTAGTATATAGGGAGCTACGCTTCACTATAGTCAGTCTCTACCCAGCTCCTTAGCTATCAATACAATTATCTACGCAAGATCCACTATCTCGCACATAGACTGTGACCCGACCGCTCAAGTCAACGATATCCTAGTGTACTCAGTTCAAACCCGACTTCTATTCTATCTACCCGGTAGCTAGTCTAGACCCGAACGTCACACCCACGGCCCCTTGAGCGAGGGGCAATGGAAGCTGGAGTCGGTCCAGTCGCGTGAGCTGCTAGATGATGAAGTGCTCGTCCGCATCATCGCAAGCGGCATTTGCTTGGCCGACGTGCACATTGGAGACGCCCCAGCAGCACTAGGCGACAACGTCGGCAGCCCCGTCTACTATCCTCGGGTGTTGGGACATGAAGGTATTTCTACTCTCGTATCTCTCGCTAATGGCGCTGATACTTACTTCTTTCCGCTACCAGGATCAGGATACGTCGAGAAGACTGGCTCTTCAGTGTCGCAGTTGTCTGTGGGCGACCCCGTCCTGCTGTCGTTCACAAGTTGCAGTACATGTTACGCCTGCGAGGACAACCATCCAGCACACTGCGCAGACATGTTCCGTCTGAACTTTGTGGCCGACAGGGAGGTCTATCGGCTTGAGGGCAGCGACAGGTACGATATTGGCGGTTCTTTCTTTTGTCAGTCCAGCTTTGCAAGCCGGGCGGTCGTGAAGGCAAGGTGCCTCGTCAATCTACGCGGTGTGGTCGAGAGCGACGAGGAGCTCAAGTATCTCGGGCCCCTCGGCTGCGGCGTGCAGACTGGGAGTGCAGCAATGCTGAACATTGGGGGCGTCAAAGCTGGGCAAGACGTGGCCATCATCGGTGTCGGTAGTGTTGGACTAAGTGCTATCATGGTGAGTAACGGGTCGTTGACAGTTACAGCACGCTCGAGCGAGCAGGTACGAGGGAGAAGGGGGGGAACGCGACAGAGAGAGAGAGAGACAGAGCTGATTCTTTTCATCCTTAGGCATCGAGCATGCGAGGCTGTCGACGGATCATTGCGGTTGACAAGAACGAGTCTCGGCTGCAGCTAGCCAAGACACTCGGCGCCACGCACACCGTGACCACGTCTGACGAGTCGACTGACCTAACCGCAGAAGTGCGCAAAATCGCTGATGGGCGCGGTGTGCACGTGTCGCTCGACACGACTGGGGTCCGGGCTCTCGCTCGTGCCTCATACGACTTTGCCTGCAATGGCGGCAAGATCATACCTGTAGGCATGTCGGCTCCCACTGACACCTGGGATATCCCCATGCTCGACCTGATGAACAGTGGGAAGCAGATCCTGGGTTGCGTGCAGGGGGATGTTGTCCCCCAGCAGTACGCGCTCGACATGATCGCGTGGAAGAAGAAGGGCCTCTTTCCCTTTGAGAAGATTATGAAGTTCTACAATGTCTCTGATTTCGGCAAGGCCCTGGAGGACATGCGGCTGGGAGAGGCTGTGAAGCCAGTTCTGGTGTGGCCTTGACAATTTAGGCTATTTGTTGTTTCGGTAGGGCGTAGCCGCCAGTGTCTCAACATCCGCCAGCGATTCCACACGCACGCGAGGCCCACTCGTCCGCGTGCAGCCAGGGGACCAAAAGTCGTGGGCGTAAGTGGCCGTCCGGAAAATAATATGCTTTTGACAAAGCTCCATTTCGAAATTCAGCCTGCCCGTCGCCTCCAACGCGTTCACTGTTATTAGGCACGATCACGACGCCAACAAGTTGGTCCGGTGGCGGCAGAGGCGTACACTACGTACGATCTCGAACCAATCGGGTCTGCATGCTCGGCTGGGCATGTGTACTTCCCGTCGTACATGTACGTACCGTGCCGGTTAAAAACAATGAGGCGTGGCGTGCCGGGCCAGCTGTGAATGTGAGCATCATCATTTGCGTACGGAGATGTTTGAGGCTCTTTTGTCGCGACCGCGTGGTTGCCACATCACGCAGGCCCAGCCAAGGCCCAACATTGAATGTTTCGACGCCAAGAATCGTCGTCTCGTCTCGGCGCAATTATAACAACGTGACTTGCGCAATGTTCATCAGTCTGTGCATACATGTAGGGGCTCTGGGGATGGCAGGGCTGACAGTTGGCAGCTGGGTGGCCGTCTGATCCGACGCGCCGCTGTCCCGCTGTGTCTGTCTGAGAGCTGACAGTGCGATCCGGCAGCCTCAGGCCCCGACTGTCAGATGGTCAGGCCGAAAATAGAGGACTGGCGGCGCAGGACCGCAGGTAGGGGGCACGGGCAATAACGTAAAGGGGGGGGCCCCTAAAACTGTCCACGACCTCGGAATGCCCCGACTCGTCTCCAGTCTCCATGTGCTCGCTCGATCGAGTCCTGCTCGACTCTATTCTACTAGTCTATAATCCCCGCGTATTGCTGTGCTGTGTCTGTGTCGAAACGCCTGTGGGCAGCCATCCTGGAGTCTGGAGAGCGGGCGAGTCCCCCACAAGCCCAGGCTTTGATTGATCCGGGTAAAACGCGACTTTAACCTTGGAGTGTGGGGAGTTTGGGGAATTCGGCCCACGCATTCCCACGTTCATTTATCCAACCCGCCCTGACTGGCCGTACGGAGTGGATCTCTGCCTCTCCAGGCCATCTCAGGCCACACTCCGACGCTTTGAGGTCGCGCCATCCAGATTAGCCGACCAAACAGAAGGCTCGGGCCATGGCAAAGCAGACACCTCCTGGTAAATGCCATGCCAAGTGCGCATCTGCATCATGCCCGTTCCCGGGGCTTTCAGATTTGATTGATATTAACTGCACATGCATGCAGTCGTCCTTGGGGTTACTCGGGCCTGTTCTCCTCAGGGAATCAGTATATAAAACCTGCCCGCTGCCACGATCCCATCGTCCACTCGTCTCCCTGCATCGTGGTACTCGCTACTGGTCCTTCGCTGCGGCCATCTTCCTTTCTCTCAACCGTTCCAACTCCGATCCATAGACAGCACGTCGAAGCAACTATCATCATGGTGCTCGCATTCGGCAGCGCGAAGCAGGATGCCGCCATCGCCCAGGCCGAGGCCCCTCACCTGGCCAAGGTCAAGTGGTGGAAGGACCCTGGAATGCGTCAGCTCTATCTCTTTGCCACTGTTCTTTGCGTCTGCTCTGCCACGACCGGTTACGATGGGTAAGCAAGCCGCAAGCTGCCGCAATGAACGGAATAGGGACTAACCAGCCATCAGCTCCATGTTGAACGCTTCCCAAGTCATGGACGATTGGCAGGACTACTTTGACCACCCCACGGGCTCGAGGCTGGGCATTCTCAACGCCATCTACCAGATTGGTAGCATTGCCAGTTTCCCATTCGCGTAAGTCCCAGGCGCCAAGGTGGATAGAACATGTTGGATCATCTCGCTAACGTCTGCTCTCGACGACAGCCCATTCATGGCCGATCACTTTGGTCGCAAGGTTCCCATTGCTGTCGGTTGTCTCATCATGATTCTTGGTGCCTGCCTCTCTACCTTTACCAACGGCATGGGCAGTACGTGGCTCCAGTCTTCCCTCTCTTCCTCCATCTCCGTAGCTGACAATACCGCTTGCAGTGTACCTTGGTGGCCGCTTCCTCGTCGGTTTCGGCAACTCGCTTGCCCAGCTGGCTTGCCCTGTCCTGCTCACCGAGATCTGCCACCCTCAGCACCGTGGTATCGTGACCGCCATCTACAACTGTCTCTGGAACTTGGGAGCGACCAGTGAGTGACCCTTTTTCGAGCATGGAATGAAGAAAATTGAGAGACTGACGAAATACTCCCTTAGTTTGCTCCTTCATTGGCCTCGGCACGATTAACATCAACAACAACTGGTCGTGGCGCAGCATCACCCTCATCCAGGCCGTGCCCTCCATCATTCAGCTCTCTTTCATCTGGTGGATTCCCGAGTCGCCCCGTTGGTTGATGTCCCGCGAGCGCCACGACGAAGCCCTCGCAATCCTTGCCAAGTACCACGCCAACGGCGACACCACCAACGCAACGGTGCAGTTTGAGTACAAGGAGATCAAGGACACAATTGCCCTCGAGTACCAGGCCAAGAAGAACAGCAGCTACCTCGACTTCCTCAAGACACCCGGAAACCGCTACCGCCTTATGATCCTCATCTCTCTCGGTATCATCTCTCAGTACTCCGGCAATGCGCTCATCAGCAACTACTCCAACCTCATCTACGAGGGCGCCGGTATCACGGATCAGGCTGCCAAGACCGGTCTCAACGGTGGAGAGAACATGCTCAAGCTATTCGTTGCCATTGGTTGCTCTTGTGGTATTGACAGGTTCGGTCGTCGCCCGCTCTTCTTGACAGCCACTGTCGGCATGTTGGTCTTTTTCTTGTGCTGGACCATTGTCGCTTCTCGCTTTGAGGCTACCGGCAAGACCGAGATCCAGCGCCTTGGCTACCCCCAGATCGCCCTCGTCTGGCTCTTTGACGTGTGCTACTCGATTGCATGGTCTGGTCTGATTGTTGCCTACGCTCTGGAGATCCTGCCCTTCAGGCTCCGTGCCCGTGGTCTCATGATCATGAACTTCTTCATCCAGGTTGCCCTCACCATCGGCAACGAGACCAACCCCATTGCCCTCCAGAACCTTCCCCACAACTGGAACTTCTGGTGCTTCTACACGGTACGTGGCGTCCTGTGCTTCTACATAGATCATTCCTGGGAACGACAAGCTAACGCATTCTTTTTTAGGTCTGGATCGCTGTGGAGCTCACCTTTGTCTACTTCTTCTACGTCGAGACCAAGGGTCCCACCTTGGAGGAGATTGCCAGGATCTTCGACGGCGATAATGCCGAGGTCGCCCACGTCGACTACATCGAGAATGAGAAGCAGGCCGAGGTGGAGACCGCCGAGGTTGAGTCTTCCCATGACCGCAAGACGACTGTGTAAATGCAATCTCCAGTTGCTGATCGGTTCTGGGTGGACTGTACTATTCCTTCGACGACAGTGTGTTGCACTCGGTAGCAATTTCGACCAGGGTACATGTTGAGTTTTATTTGACGTGCCAACTACTGCCAGAAATACATTCTTTAATGCCAACTTTCACTGGACATGCCTCCTAGTCGAGTGCATGATGTCCTATTACACTTCACTCACTGAAGCTCAACCTCCCACATGTGTGAAAGCCAGTGGCTGCCTCAGTTGTGGTCCATGCTGTGCAATGGCGCCTCACGCAGCTTACACCCACCTCTTGTTACCCAAGTGAGATACGAAATCGCCAGCGTTGCCATCCTCAGCAGTCGCCTTGTCAGTCACGGACAGGATCTTCTTGATTGACTCCTCCGTTTGAATAGGGCCCTTCCACTCTGGTTCGTATTCGAGCAGCTTCGCGCCCAGCGCGGACGAAGCGCGATTCACGGCATCCTTTGCTAAAAGATCATCAGAAATGTCATTTCACACACTAATATGCGACGTAAGGACTCACCGCCGTTGGTGTCGCTTGCACTTGTATCGACCACGCCTGGGGAGATGCCCAGAAACAGGACTCCCTTTTCGCGGTACTCGGCACTGAACTTGGCGATGATCATGTTAAGGGCTGCTTTCGACGCACAGTAGCCCACGCCCATCCAGAGATCGTATTTTCTCACCAAGTCCACGTCAGCCATGCCAGTCGTCATCACGATCACCTTCTTGGTCTTGCCCAGCAAGACGAGAGGCATGAAGGCATTGACCGCGTGGGCTTGCGCGACAACGTTGAGACGGAAACAATCCGTCAAGTCTTTTTCAAGCTTCTCAGGGTCGCTTCCACTGTTATATCTCGTGTCAGTTCTCCTTGGTGTCACAGAGCAGCTCGTCCACGTACAGTTCGCTCAGCGTTAGATCAAAGTAGTCACCGCCAACGGCCGCGTTGGCAATGAGGACATCCAGCTTGCCGCCAGTGACCTTGGAGGTCTCTTCCACAGCTCCCTGGTGCCGTGGTCAGTAATTTTAATGGTACTATCCGGATGCCGCATACAGGGAGTGTCTTGTAGTCGCTCAGGTCGCTATAGAAAATATGGACATTGGGTCGATCGATCTCAGCAGCAACCTTGTCTCTGGTGGCTTGCACATTTCGGACGAGACCGACGACAATATTTTCGGGGTTTTCAGAAAGTTGCCTAAGGTATTCAAACTGGTGGGCGCGATTCGTTAGTACGCGACTACATCAGCAAGCTGTGTCTTATTTAGACTCACACCCAGGCCACGCGATGCTCCTACAACAACGTAAGAAGACATTCTGGAAAATAAGTCTGGAGGACGAAGATATTCAAAGGGGATTTGTTCGGTTTTGTGTGATAAGCGAGCTGGGTAGTCAATGAGAACTTGAGACTGAGTGGTTTGGTATGTAGTTGTCGCTGCAGGGTGAGCATATTTATACGCACGGTTCCTGGGCTGTTGCAACTTCAGTCTCCGAGAATCAGATGGCATTGGTAATCATACCAAGCTATTTGCTAATTAGGAATTTGTGATCCTCAGAGTCCTCCCGGCCTTTGACGCAGTATCTGTCGGCTTCAATATCCAAGAGCTCAATTCGTGAACAAGGCAAGAGTCCGCCGGTAGAGCGGCATTAGCTTCGGGAAAAGTTGCCAAAGCCCCAGAAAAGGATATACGGTGGGGACAGGCCGACAGGGATCGTGTCTTACCTGGTAATGTCCGCGCCTCAATGCAGCATTTGTAAGCTCCGCTGCCTCCGCAAGCAAACAACCTCCAGTCGTCATCCCTCATCGCACAGCTCGCTTGCCTTGATCAAAACAGGCGGCGACCGTGACAAAGGTCTTTTGCCAGATTAGGGATATTGGCAACTACTTCATTTCAGCGCTTCGAACACTTGCGCTAGTTTGAATAGGCTGTGACCTCAACCGGTAACCGACGGCACGGCGCTTTAATTCGATCGCTGCCTGCTCATGGTCGATGGCTCGGCCAGCCTGTCCACCCTGCAGAGGTGAGTGAACCCCCCCGATCTCAAATACAAGCAGTCGTTCATGGATGCTAATTCAGTGGGCAATCGCGACAGAGCGAAAGCTTCGATGCGACCGAAAATTGCCGCACTGCACGAGCTGTGAGCAGGCACAAAGGTCATGTCCAGCATACAAGCAAAGCCTGTCATGGCCAAAACCGAACGATAGAAAGAGATCGATTGTGGGTCCTAGAACACGTCCTGCTTCACGCCTCCCTGCCGCTCAGGTCAAGGCCTCTCGGTGGATGAATGTTGGAATCGAAGACATTCGCACTCATCTCTACATCTCAGGAGACCAAGTAATCCGTGGTGAGTCGTCTTCCACCTGTGGCAGGAAAAGTTTGACCTTAAGCACTTACAAACAAGGTGAGGTCTCTAAGCCTGCCCGTTCGCGTCTGTGCTTTACGTCGCGTTTGTCATGGATTCCTATAAGGCTTGATGCGTCTCATCAAACTCTGCTCCAATATTGTAAGCCGTGCATCACAGTCTACACATGATGACGGGTAACTCATTCGAGCGTACAGTTCAACTCATAGCTTCGTCCGCCATTTCGTGCGACGTTATGTCCCAGACTCTTCTTGGCATCCTCACGCGGCTGGCTCTCCACGACGACTCGGCAGCAACGCGAGGCGTCCTGTATGCTACTCTGGCTATCTCTTCTCTTTTTCGGCACGGCCCAACCGAAGAAACCATCAAACTTCAAGGCGCAGCCTTACGTGCGCTGGAGAAATCGGCGAGTATGGGGATCAAAGGCTCACAGGTTACTCAACATGTGGCTGCTGGCATGTTGCTCTGTTCACTGGAGGCAAGTCGCCCAATTCCTCAGGTCAATCAACTTCCATGAATGATACAGTTCCTGTCATATGCCACGTACCAGATTACTGACACGTGGCCTGTTACAGATTCACGGGAACTATCGAATGGCAGGAACATGGTTTCTGTATCTCAGCGGCGCTAAAAGGCTCATTCAGGCTGGAGATCTAGACAAGACGACCGTCTCCAGTGAGTTCATCGGCGTCACAAACTGGCTTTACCACCACGATGTGTCGGCCCAGTTCAGCCTCAGACATTGGCGGACAAAAGCTAGATCTACAGTGGCAGGAGGAGTTAGTTCCAGCCACCCTCAAGACGACGTGCGTGGTAATACCAAAACTATGACAACCGTCGTCCAGCATCTTTCGGTAAGTCGCCCCTAAATCTTTGGTTTTGGGGCTGACAAAGACGGACAACATCTGTAACATGTGCTGACGACTTACATCATTCTTAGATGACCCATGGATTGTCCTCAAGCCACAGCGTCCTGTGGTTGTTGGCGGATGTATTTCAAAGTATCGTCGATTCATCCCGTCCCCAATATCACAGCTCTCAATACAGAAGGGAGCTCGAGAGTCTTGAGCACGAGCTGGAGAGCATATGCAACGGCAGTCACGTCCTGGAAGATAAGCGAATGGACTTGAGTGAGTTGCAGTCCAGCCAGCGCCGCGAGTTTGCTGTCATGGAAATTTATCGGCTCGCAGCACTGATCTATTTGGAGAAGGCGTCTCGACACTTCTCGGGGAGTTCACCAAAGCTCGAGATGTGGGCTGGTGCGGCTTTTGCTATCCTGGCGACAATGGGTGTCTTCAAGTACAATTTCCCACTTTTCATCATCGCATGCGAGGCGCGGACAGATGAGCAGCGAATAATCATTCTCGATTGCCTTGAGAAGACGCAGGGAAGTCAGCTCATGGCGGGGGCGGCGATGTTGAAGGACATGATCCAGACGGCCTGGGCTATGGATGATCTCGACCCAACAGGAGAAGTGAATTATATGGAAAAGCTAGACGTGGTAGTCAGTGGCTGGGAGAGCATGCCTTCTTTCGCCTGACGCGGTGTTCCAAATGGGGGCCGAATGAAAGTTTTCACAGAACAGGCCTTCTACTGCCCTTATATGGATATGCTGTGGTATATACGTGATTCATACCAAGAATCCTGGATAGCCCAGCCTGAGACATGCTCGACGATTCAGCACCCTATAACTAATGTTGGCCAATGTTTGCCTGCGGACGTGTCCACTACTTGTCCATGTAGACTTATGCTTCCTCCGCCCGAGGTGCTACGAGAGTGACGAGAGTGACGAGACGCCGACGCCGAGCCACTGTGGAGCAGATTCAGAGGAGCGCGTATTCAAGGGGAGACCGCGCAATCTGACCTCAAGACGTCAATTTCACACACAACAGCGGATAGTTGAACAAGTGGTGGCAGCCGCCGGCCTTGACTCGTGTTGTTTAACTTACTTCCCTTTTGAGTGGGTGGGCTCAATGTGATAGGCCGAGTGCGGAGCTCCATTGTATGCGTCCGATCATCTAATGTTGTCGCGAGGTTTTCTGCAGTAAGTCATTGCTTGGTTATTTACTGTAATTTTAGAAAGAAATCAAGGAGAAGACGGTGCGTAGCAGCTCCTGATATAATTACTTTGTAGAGTGTGGAGGAATGCATGTAATACAGAGCCTCCGTGGTTGTCACGAAGCTTATAAATACCCTGATCTCAAATACGCAGAATTTAGTACTCGGGGCCTTAATTTCAGTCTTGGTGTGTACGTAATGTCGGTGATAAATAAAGAGCAGTTATTCTCACTAAGATGCAGAACACGGCCGTGTATAGCAACGCAGACAAGTACATGAGTTACGCACAAGAGGCGCGTGGGTGGGTTACCCTGCAGACACGGAGTCGGTGACATTATCGATGGTCGATAGTCGGCGACATTGAAAGCAGCAAAACTTGATTTTCAGAGATCGAGAAATAAACGTGGGCGTTTTCGCCGATCCACGGTTGCCAATTAATGACATTGACCAGCCGGAACACCAATGATACTTCGTGGCTTCCAGGCGTCTGAATGTTGATTCACTCAACCTCCACAGGACTTGACTCACTTCAATTCAAGTTTTCAACAAGAACTTCCGTTTGGGGGTTTGCAGCTGTTTTTGTAACGTTAATTGCACCGAGGAACCCATTGGTCTCGAACGCCATGGCTCCAACAGTACCAGGACTGCGCTGCTGCTGTGACCGATGCATTGAGCTGTCCCGTTAGTATCACCACACGACTGCGCGCAATGGCGTTAATGGACAATACATCCCTAACTTCAATGCTGTCACGTAAATAAGTGCGGCAAAAAGCGGGCATTGTCGAGACTTTGCCGATTGACCGACTATTTTGGGACGCAATGAATTGTGCTGCCCTAAGTCTTGGGCTGTCTAAGCTACTCAAAAACCTTGAGCCCAGCGATATGACGCCTGTTGGCGAAATTTTCGAATTACTGCTTACCTACCCCATGGAGGACTCAGCTGACGCAATCATGTGCGAGAAGTTGAGAACTTCATTTTAATGGTAGAATAGCGTGGATGACGAACACGTTTATTGAATAGCTTGTACAGGGTATTCGCCTGGCATTGCTTCGGGTCTGTTATGTAAATGTTCCATCTGATTATCAAGCAAGTTAAATCCAGGGGCCGAGAGAGAGGATACATACAGCCGAAAAACTCACACCTCCAGTCCCACGCCAAGAAGCCGACAGTATTAAAGTTTCTGGCCTCGATACGCATTTGGCCTAGCTTTCCGGCTTTTGCAGTGCTTAAATTCCGGCAGTAGCTTAATGCTCTTTAACTCCGATATATCAAACACGTCGTGTAAGTAAGCAGCAAAATACACAAGTGACTGTCATGATGTCCGATGAAGTATATCAATGCCAATGTTTCTTCAATTTATCACTTGCTTCGGCATCCTCCAGCAAATCCAATCGTCAGCTACACCATAACCCGAATCCCCAACCTCCGTCACAGCTACCACAACCAAAATGTCGGCATCACTCGTCACCGGTGGCACGGGCTTCGTCGGAATCTACGTGATTAAGCTACTCCTCGAACGAGGCCACCTAGTTCACACCACCGTTCGCTCACTCAAAAGCGAAAGAAAATGCAAGCCGCTCTTGGACCTCCAGAATCAGTTTCCTGGCCGCCTCCGCTTGTTTGAGGCCGACTTGATGAAGAAAGGCTCTTTCGCCGAGGCCATGAAGGGCTGTCAGGTTGTTTATCACGTCGCATCACCCTTCCTCCTACCCGACCAGATCAAAGATGGCCTTAAAGACTGCGTTGAGCCGGCACTCCAGGGGACCAAAAACGTATTGGACTCTGTCAACCAGACGGAGAGTGTCCAACGCGTTGTTCTCACCTCGTCTGGTAAGTTCAGTGATCAGCAGCCTCCATGTTCCTGTCCCCCTGTCTTGGCCAATGATCTAACACGTCTTCCCTCAGTCTCCGCCACGTATGGCGACAATGCCGATGTGCTCAAAGCCCCCAAGCAAATCCTCACCGAGTCGTGCTGGAACGAGAGCAGCAGCGTCACCCACTATCCATATGCCTACTCCAAGTTGGTGGCTGAGCGTGAGGCTTGGAAGATGCATGACCTTCAGGGCCGCTGGTCCCTTGTGGTGATCAATCCGGGCCTGGTCGTGGGTCCATCACTGACTCCAGAGTCAATCTCAGGCAGCCTGCACATGCTGGAGGCCATGTACCGCGGCGACAACCGCATGGGCGTTGCCGACCTCTCGTACCCCGTTGCCGACGTGCGGGAAGTTGCCCAAGCCCATGTCAAGGCGGGAGAGGACACAAGTGTCAAGGGGCGATTCATTGTCTCAGGCGACCGTACCATCTCGCTGCTAGAAATGGCCAACTTCGTGCGCCCTGTGCATAAGAACCCCAAGGTGCTGCCGAGCCGGAACCTCCCAAGGCTGATGGTCTACGCCGCTGGCCCCTTTATTGGCATTACGAAGAAGTGGTCCGCCGCAAATCTTAGCACACCTTTCAAGGTCGACAACGGGAGAAGCATCCGGGAGTTGGGCCTCAAGTACCGCCCAGTCGAGGAGAGCTTTCAAGCTCACTACAAGTCTTGGGAGCAGGCGAAGGCGTGATTTTGTTCTGGTTCTGACGCATTGACGCTTGTTTTCCTTGTTGATCCTTGTCATTTCTGGTGCTGTTTCGTAATTGTCTGGCTCTAATACATTTGTTATTTTTCATTGTGATGTTGACTCTCACTTGATGCGTTTGTGCTCTTAAATTGAGCGGTTGATAGGAGACCGGATATCTTATTAAGGCAGACACAGACTTGAAATGGCCTTCTAGATTCGATACCAGTTGAACTATTTTTCTCGTGGCAGGAGATCTATAGCATGTACACAACGATAGTCTTGAATTATAAAGCGATAGTGTCTGTAGGGTAGACCCCTACATACTGAGCCCATTCGAGAAAGAAATCTACGGCGTACGGAGGACGAGTTCAAAAGTTATGCGTTGCCAAGAAACTAGCCATAGTTGGCGTCTAGCCCGAAGTAGCCCCCCGGGAAGTTTATCACTAAATTTGGTGTAAAAATTCCCCTCTTATAACCCCTCTTTGACTGATGAATCGACATATACTTTGGAATATCAAACTTTTTGACGAAGCCGACCGCGATTATGCCGTATACTAATATTGCAACGAGGGGGATGGTTATAGGTATAAAGGCTAGCGGTATGACTACTAAAGAGGTTGCCTCTATCACAGGCCTGACTCCAAGCACGATTAACCGTATCTACGGCAGAGCGTGCGAGGCTGGATTCGACCTAGCCGAACGCCCTTTGAAGCTTTAAGATACCGATATTAGCGACTAACCTCGATCTGGCCGGCCGTCGAAATAATCCTCGAATAAAGAGCTAATCTTGAATATTATACGCCGCGATCGATACGGAAGAGAGAAGAGTTCTGCTGATATCGCCGGCGACCTTAGCCTCTTAGGTATCGAGATCTCAGCGACTACGGTTTAGCGTGTGCTCCACGCCGCTGGCTTCTATAAGACGAAGCCGACGAGGAAGCCTAGTCTAATTGCTCGGATAAAGAAAGAACGCCTTAATTGGTGCCTGGCACGGCAAGATTAGACCCTCGAGGACTAGAAGTCTGTGATATGGTCTGACGAGACCTCTATGGTGTTGTTATATCGCCGTGGTGCCTATAGGCTCTAGCGAACGCCTGAAGAGAAGGTGAATAAGAGCTATATCCGTGAGCGCTAGAAGGGCTCTTTAGAGTTTATATTCTAGGGTAGCTTTTTATACGATAAGAAAGGCCCCTGCTATTATTAGTGCCCGGAGACTGCTGCTGAGAAACGCCTTGCTGAGGAAGAACTTAAGGCTATAAATAAGGCCCTTAAGCCTGCCGCGAAGGAAGCCTGGGAGCTCTCGATAAAGATGAGCCGCCTTAATCTACGGCAGAAGATACTTGGTAAGAAGCCTACCTAGCGGTTCACGAAGGCGACCGGGAAGCTTACGAGAGGCGGGAAAGGTAGTATTGATTAGTATCGCTATCGTAAGCATATTCTTGGGCCAAGGCTATTGCCGTTCGCGAAGGAATATGCCCTCGAGAGGCCGGATATAGTGGTTTAAGAAGATAAGGCTCCGGCGCACGCCCACTACATATAATAATAATTATACGATCTCGAAGGTATGCGCCGCCTTGAGTGGTGTGGTAACTCGCCGGACCTTAATATAATCGAACCGGCCTAGCTATAGATTAAGAGATATATTACTAAGAAAGGGGCCCCTAAAACACGGTCTGATGCTATCGCGAGATAGCAGAAGGCATGGAACGACCTGCCTTAGGCCGAGATTTAACGCTGGATTGAGCGTGTTCTAAGACACGTCAGGAAGATTATTAAATTAGAGGGTGGAAATGAGTATGTCGAGGGGCGCCAGGATAAGCCGTAGGATTTGCACCAAAGCTAGCTGGATTTAAACGACATGCAGACTTAGCGCCTTTAGCGTCAACGCATAACTTTTGAACTCGTCCTCCGTACTGCCGAGGCTAATAACTTTGAAGCCAAGACCCTTGTACAAGTACATCGGCACCCTTCAAGTTTCCTATCCATTGGACCGAGATTGACCAGGGCCTGATCCCGGGGCCCGGTAATCAAGTTCACGTCATCCGATTGCGGAGATGGCTGCCCAGGAAATGGACCCGCTTGGGGAAAAAGAAAGGCATGATTAGTGTAAGCAAGGAAATAGAGGTTGAGAAGGAATTTTGCCGATCCCATGAGCCGATCAATCACAAAGGAGCATTATCTGGACCGAATGGGCCTTGATGCGGGCATATGAGAGCTGAAGGAGAAGAAATGAGTGGCTTGAGCGAAAAGAAGTGCGGCTGACGTCCATGTGGAGATAGGCACAAAATAAACACAAATACTAATTCATATCTCTGAATTATGAATTAGAAATTCTCGCCCAAAGCCATGCCTGCAGAAATAGTTTCCGTACCCAACCCGACAAGCTCATTTATGATTCATCATGGGCACACATTTCAACCAGCAGTCACGCAAGTGAAAGGCTCTGATGCTAAGATCATAAGCGTCTAGGCGTATTTGCGGACCATCTTGAGGATGGCCTCCTCGGTCTCATTAGGGCTCGTGGCGTTGAGGTAGTGACCTGCGCCGTCGACAAATGTCAATGTCGCCTCGGGCGACGCCGTGAACATTTCAATGTGTTCGGCGGGGACCGTTTTGCCAAATACGGGATCTTCGGGGCCCTGTTCACGCGTGAGTTGACGAATCATTAATAATGTCGCGCATCGACGGGGTCAAGGAAAGTACCGACCTGCAACCAATAGACAGGGCACTTGACGTCCTGGAGACGGCGCAGAAGCCCATCGCGCTCCATGAGATTGATAAGGGCCATGCGGAGCTTCTTCCGCCCGGCTTCGCCGCTGTAGACCTCCTTGAGAGTCTGGTCCCAGAAAGACAGTGTCTCCTGGCTGACAGCGGCAGAGAAGCCAAGCTGGGCGACCATGCCTCGCCAGACTTCGTCGACGACAAAGTCAGGTGAAGGCGTGGACCACTTCTCGTAGAAGGGCATCAGCTGGGTCTTGGGATCCCAGCAACCCTTCTCGCGGGAGGCGGAGGACTCGTAGTCCATGGATGTGCCCAATGGCAGAAGGCCTTGGATCTGCAGAGCGCGGAATCATGTCAGCGGAAGATGTCCGGGGCGATATGCAGGGTAGTACACGTGGCATATGTAATTATGAACGGCACTGACCTTTTCAGGTGCCAGGAGTGCCATGCGGACGACTACCCAGCCTCCCTGGCTCGTGCCCAGGGCAAAAGCCTTTTTGACACCTAGAGCCTCCATGACTTGCAGCGCCATGACGGCCGAGTCCCAGTACGTAAAGTGCTCTGTGGTGCTGCTTGTGGCGCCATGACCGAGGGGCTCGATGGCCAGGAGGTTGACAGCGCTGGTCAGTGAGGCGCTCTCAAACTGGGTGTTATAGAGCGAGGAGGTTGTGCACATGGAGTTGATGAGCACAACGGTGGGCTTGGCCGGCTCGATACGGTCGCCCGAGAGACGGTAACCGGCACTAATGCCACCCAGATGGGGAACGTTGACAGTTGTGGTCGCAGCCATGGTTAATGAGAGGGTGACGGTGACGGTGACGGTGACAGAGGCGAGAGGAAGTGTGCTGAGTACGGAGTATCTTAATCAGAGGTGAGGCGTCAATCGACATGAGGATCGTCGAGAGCGGGAGCACGATTCCGCTCGGGACAGCTGGCAATGCGCCATACGTAATTACAAGTTTATAACCAGAGACCTCATGCTGCTTGCTGGAGGGGTTCTGCGGGGAAACGGCCTCCTTGCGCGCTAGTATTGCTCTAGCACGAGCCTAGCAGTGATATGGAGCACGGAGGGAGAAGTGCTCCCGCACGAGCCGTCTAGCACAGAGGGCACTGGAGCGGCGGGACAGACTGACGGCCGCTTGTGAGTTGCTGGAGAAGCGGGTGGGACGGACCAGTCCAAAACGCGGCCCGGGGGAAGTATCCGGTGATATTATCGGTGGGCCATTGTCGCTTGAAAGCTCCAGAGGGCGTTCAGTCTCGACAGTGACAGGTCCAACAGGAAGAGCGAGTCCACATTGGGCACAACCTTCACCAGGGTTCGCGCGCAAGTGTTCTGTACGAGAAATTTTCTCTTACCTCGAAAGCCGGCATTCTGAAGTTTTGAACAGCCCGTCGTCGGCTGAGTCTGAGACTCGAACGGCACCAGCGGCAGTTGCTAGAGCGGCCGAGTCTGTGACCCGTTTGTATGTGGGCGTGCCCTGCAGAAGAACGTGTCCGCAATCCAGTCTGGTACAGGGAACGCATCACATTATGATGCGGCATGCAAGGGGGTCTGGCGGCACGGCTGGGTTACTAACTCACTAGTTACTTGATTACTAGTAGGTTGAAAAGTTTGGGGGCCGCAGACGTATGTAATCAAGGATAGCCCGCAGTCCTGTGACCTCTTCTCGACGCACCTCATCTTTGACGTCGGACTGTACAAGTATATTTGCAACGCGCATGGGCAGTCCATCACTTCGACGACTGATCCCAATCCGACTACCTTTCGACATGTCGCAACGCCTCTGACCGATTCTCGCCTTGCTCATCCAGCGCCCTTGTCCTTGAACATGCCGATCCCCCCAGAATCCCAGCTACCTGGGTTGCCAGGCTTCAACCCTGACAACCTCCAACCATGGACCGTCCAGGTCGTCGTCTCCATGACGGTCCTCGCCTTGTGCTCGACTGCCCTGCGCGTGCTGAGCCGCCATTTGAATTCCCAAAAGCTCTGGTGGGACGACTGGATGATCCTCTTCTCGATGGTGTGGCGCTTGCGAACCCGAGCTCTACGAGCGGCTGACTGACCACTGGGACGCAGGGCTGGAACCTCATCGTTGTCGGTTTCATTTTCGCAATGCACGCCAGCGGCATGGGCCTTCATGCCGACCTCGTTGACCCGGCCGACATTGTCATGATGGCCAAGTGGCTCGTCGTCGCTGAGATCCTCTACGCCTTCAACCTGGGGTGGACGAAACTGAGCCTGCTCCTCATGTACTACCGAATCTTCCGCTTCCCGTACTTCAAGAGGATGGCGTGGATCGTGGGCGTCTTCGTCATGGCCTGGGTCGTCTGCATCACCTTTCTCTTCGTTTTCATTTGCGTCCCCGTCGAAAAGTTGTGGTATCCGGACCTTCCGGGCCACTGCATCAATCAGGTTGGCACGTGGATCGCCAACGCAATCTCGACCATCTTCACAGATCTTATCATTCTGCTGATGCCGATTCCGCAGGTGTGGCGGCTGAACTTGAAAATGCGCGAAAAACTTGGTTTGACGGCGGCCTTTGGGCTTGGGTCCTTGTACGCACATACCTCTTTCTACCCCCATACCTTCTCGATAATCAACTAACATCGACAGCGTTGTGTTTGCGTCGGCCTACCGTACCAGCGTTCTCTTTACATACAGCAAAACGGACCCTACTTACACGCTCACCCCGACTGTTGGCTGGACAGCCATCGAAATGTCCGCAGGCATCACCTCAGCTTGCCTACCAACCATGCTGCCCGTGCTCAATAAGATTCTGCGGTGGTTTCGCGGACGCCGCAATGGGGAGTCGTCGACAGGATATTCAATGAGGCATGGCGCCAGCGGTGGAGGCGATGTCTCGCGACACGACGACAATGTGAGCAGTGCAGCAGCCAATTCTCGGCGACATCTCTCCAGCAGCTTCTACAGGCTGCCAGACGAGAGTGACCCTGACCGTGTCGACTCCGCCATAACGAATGATTCAAAGCTAGACTTGCACTCGGACAGCAAAGAAGGCCACGAGCCTAAACTTCAGGTAGTGCCAAAGGATGGGGACAGGGAGAGCAGCGATGATATTTCCCTCGGGCGTCTTTGATTTAATCTTGCGTAGCATATGGTCATACGTATCATGAAACTTCTTATCGTGCTGTTAGCACCATGGGCATGTCGCTCTGGTACATGAACCACGCGTTGCAATACGTCCACTCGTGCCCCGGATCCTTCAGCTTCACCTGATACTTTGTCAGCGTGCAAACACGTTTCAGGGGGGGGGGGGGGGGGGGGGGGGACACACATCGAAAGTGCTGTATAGCGTCGCGACAAGCTTGTATATCTCCAGTCGCGCCAAGTGCTTCCCCATACAGACCCGGCTGCCCGCCCCAAACATCAGATCCGTCGCCTCCTGCATTCGTCGGAGTCTCGTTGCGAAATCGACGTCGCTCTCGCCCTCCATCTGAAGCCAACGCTCGGGCACGTACTTCTCGACGTCTTCGCCAAAGACCCCGCTGTCACGCGTCACTACCGCCGGATTGAGGCCGACCTTGGTCCCCGCGGGGATGAAGCGCCCGTCGGGGATCGTGAAGCCATCAGACGGCACCTCCCGCTCGAGCATTAGTCCGACTGCCGGGTTCACGCGGAATGCCTCGCGAATACAAGCGTCCAGGTACGGCAGCTTCGAGCAGTCCTTCCATTGCGCTGGGAACGATAGCCCTGCGCCATCGAGCTCCCTCACCAACTTCTCGTACTTGTCACTGTTCTTGGCGAGGTGGTAGAAGATGGGCCGCATGGCTCCCGCCGTGGAGTCTCCGCCCGCCAGCACGTTAAGCATGAGCCAATTGATCACCTGCTGGTCGTCGACAAAGTCGTACTTTTCCTTGAGGCCATTGTAGCTGTCAATGAAGAGGTCTTGTTCCTTCCGCTTGACGGCACCCGAGGCGACCTGCTGCTGGTACTCGCTGAGGATGCGAACGGTGTAGAGAAAGCCGTTGACGAGTGGTCTGGGGCCGATGCGATACCAGGGGTTCTTGTCCAGCCAGTTGTCGAGCCAGGGGATCTGGGAGATCTGAGAGGAAGACGCTGTTAGGTGACTTGTTATGTTGACGTTGGCCATCTCGCGCATGGCAATGTGGCTTGACTCACCGCGCTAAAGTACTTCAGTCCGGCTGTCGACTCGCTGATGATGCCGCCGACGTCCTCGCCCTCCTCAATGAAGCCATAGTGCCGTCCGAATGACACATTCGCAGCAGCATCCCATGCGACTATGCACATTAGCATGTTGTATGTGAAGCGGGCGTCGTTGTCGAGCTCGACATGGCTAGTTCTTACAGTAAGCCAGCCAATTGTCCATCATACAGACAGCTCCCTTCTGCATGAATTCTTCATTCAGCTTGCTGACCAGTAACCGTAGCGTCTCGTCAAAGAGGGGCTCTAGTTCAAGAACCTTTGATAGGATCCAGAACCCACCGATTGGCCGAGCGTACTTGGCGTGGAACTTCTTGTCCTGCGTATTGAAGATGTTCTGGATGCGCGCGCCATTGACAACGACGTCGTTCGGGCGGTACATGTCGCTCTATCACATGCGGTCAGTCTGCGACTGTCTTTCAATCCCTGACAAGGTCGGAGACGCTCACCTTGCGCCATGGATTCTTGGTTCCGTAGAGGGTCTTGATCAAATCGGGGTCGTTGAGACTGATGGCGTTCGGTCCAACACGAACGGCACTGCCCCATTTATGGTGCCACGCCAGATGCTTGCGGTCGACATTGCCTAGAGTGGTGAGATACGAACGCCATCCATCCGTGAACCTGGCCAGAAAAGGGCCAGGGAATGCTCGAAGCGGGGAGAAGACAAGCTCCCACAATAGCTTGGCAGATACGAATGTAGCGAGAGCGATGAAAAGAAGGCTCAAGGTGATCGAATCAAAAATCATGATAGCACAGGTGACGTCTCAATTGCATGTGAGGAGCGGGAATGAGGAGTGCGATCTTGTGTCTAGTGGGAGGTAGTTGGCGTCAGTCTGGGGAGCAGCAACTCAAAGGTGGTGGAAGCTTGAATATCTTTGTCCAGGGGAACAAGGGCATACTATCCGTGAGTAGATTACCGGATGATCTGGTCCTTGGCTGCATGGATGCATGCAGCGTGCGTATGCGTTGGTCCGGGCGACAAGCCATACTTGGAATATACACCATGCCCCATGCGAGAGAAGAAAGAGCCTCTGCAGAAAGCCCCGCGAACACACTGCAAATCACTTCGCGATTGGCTTCCACTCAATGACAGTTGGTCGCACGTGAGCTGGGTGATGTACTTATCCCCGTCCATGTCACTAACAACACGAGAGCTTCCAGCCCTTAACAAGCCAGCTCGGGACCGGAGCAGTGACTCAAATTTGTTGGCCATCGAGGAGTGTAACCTCCTTGAATACACCCGAACGTAAGCAGTTGTACTATGCCTTGATGGCAAGTGTATAAGCCCCGAGCAGGTGGGTTGGCACCGAGAACGGTCTCATCATCATCGCCGCCTGTGTTCCAACATTCAAGTTGCGACCTCTCGTCGGAACAATGCTCGCTTTCACGGCGACAGCGAACAAGGGCATCAGCAACCATCCTCGTAAGAACAAGTCTATGAATCTCAATATCTTCACTCCCAAGTCGCATCACGGCGAGTGGAGTACTATAGTCGAGACAGAGGCCAACAACGTCTCTCGCATGCAGTGGCTCGCCATCGCACTGCAACTTTGCGGTCTGCTCGTGACGCAGTACACACCGGACTCGGGGACGACCTACACGCCTCTCACGTACATGCTCATCATGTTCCACGTCTTCCTCGGCGCTCTGGCGGGCGTGTACAACCAGGTCTTGCTCCAGCGCGAGAGCTGCAGCTTGCACGCGAACAACATGACCCTGTATGCGGCGGGCACTCTGTTCAATCTTTGTGGTCATCTGCTCGTGCGCGTGGTGAGCCCAGAGGAGCCTATCTTTCTCCACGGCTTCGACAGGCTCGGTGCCATTCTCGTCATCGTGAGCAATGTCTTTGTCGGATTGGCCATCACAGCGGTGTATAAATATGCCGATGCCGTCGTCGAGTGCTTCGCGACAGCCTCGGCGACCGGTATCCTCTTGTACGTCTTGACTATCCTGTTCCACACGCATTTAGGCTTCTTGGCCATCCCCGGCACGCTGCTTGTTGTCATCGCGTCCTGGATCTACATCCGGAACCCGCCGCCGCCCAGGCCAGCAGAGTCCAAACCTGCTGGCAGGTGCTCCTATCTCTTCTCTGCAGCGATGGGCAAGTGGCCCAAAATCAGTCTCCTCGGGGCATTTTTGCAGACGATGCTGGTCGTGATCTTGTTGTGGGTGCCCGATATCACCCTGAGGGAGGAGGACGACGACGTGAGCCACAGCGTGCTGCTGGACTCGCCCTTCAGAAACACAATGGCTTTTGTCCGCTGGAACCACGCGATCCCCGAGCGCATACCGGCCATCATGAAGTACGAACCATTCTTCCACACCATGCATCTGTCCATGCGCGACTCGATCGAGGGCGAGCCCGAGAGCTTCCTGAATATGACGCACGACCAGCACGTCAACACGGGCCATCCCCAAGAGCCCGTCGCAAAGACCATGAAACTCATCCTGGAGTACGAGCCGGAGATTGACGGCATGCTCTTCTTCCACTTTGACGCGTGGGTCACACCTATGGAGTCTATGGGTATGGACATGACCAGGATGGCCATTCCCATGGACGGGGGTCCCAACTTTCGATGCTACGAAACGATCCCGGCGGACAAGTGGGAACACGCCCAGCAGAGGACCTTTTCACTGCCGTGGGCAGGGCGATCCGTCTGCAACCCCCCGAGCTTGCTGACGATGGCGAGGTCGGGGCCAGCCCAAGGCGCTACTCCAAGGAGAAACGGGCTGGTTGTCGTGGTTGGTCCGATATCTACTGCATTCCACGTCGGTTCTTTGCGGACTACATATTCCTCGTCGAGCGCGTCTTCCACGACACGTTTCATGAAATGTCGGTCGCGACCATGATGCACATGATTGATCGCACGCGCAGTCGAACGCACTTCACCTCGTTCATTGATCCCATGCCCTGCTGGGGATCGTGCTGCTCCGAAACGCCGAGCGAGGACGCATTGCTGTGGCATCGATGCGGGCACAAGCTGGACCTCAGGAGCGACAGGGCGCAGCTGCACTGGGACCGCATCGACGCGGCGGCGTTCCAGATGAACAGGACGAATAGCGGTGGTGGTGTGAATGGCACGACGGCCCGTAATATTTTCGTGTAAGACATACTTTATGGCTCCAAACCAACAAGATAATTATCAACCATGAAACTGTCCACGAAGTAGTCAGCCCAGTTGTAGTGATCTGGTTGAAGCTCATTCTCCTCCCCTGGGATCGTGTCCCCAACAGGCTCAATGAAGCTCGTCGTGATGTGAATCTGCGCTTCCGAGAGTGATCGACTGGGTTCGTCCAGAAAGTCTCCGCAGACGACATACCAGAGTGCTTCCGGCTGCAGGCGCAGCTGTCCATCTTGCTCCACGGTACTCTGCAGGTTCAGCAGACACGCATGCTTCTTCGCGATGAGGGGCCAGGTCTTTGCCAGCTGCGCCAGACAGTCGAGACACGTTTGCAAATCTATAGCCGCTCTACGCGAGACCTTTGCGTCTCTCGAGAAGCGGAACAGGAATGGTATGGTTGCAGTCGCCGCAATCATCTGGCCCAGGATGGGATCATCGATTGGCAACTCCAGTCTGTCACATTCGCGAAGCAGTCGTCCCACCCATGCAGAGTGAAACAGGGCTTGGTCGACCGTTTGCTGGAGGAATGAACGTGGCTGACACAGTCCCTTGTCACTTTGCAGGACAAACAGTTGAACAAACGGGTTATTGAGGACAGCTGGTGTGGCGTGCGCGCCAATCTGCATCGAAATCCATGGGATCCAGTAGTCTTGTCGGTTGCGTAAATCTGCAGGATTCTGACGAGAGAAGCCGACATTCCGATATAGATGCAAGTCAGAGAGATCGGCTTGCTGCTGGTAGAGATCCGCTGTGAGCTGATGGTACCGCGACGAGGCCAGCCAGGGTGATTCTCGGTTCCCAAGGCGCATGTCCTCAAAATACCAGGCGACTTTGCTCCACATCTGAAAGGCTTGCAAGTAGTTGGCGATGACCTCGGATTCGCCCTTTCTGATCTCATGTCGGTTGGAGATGTCTTCCTCTCTGGCTGCCATAATGTCTGTGGGAAGTGGCCGCTCGGGGCTTGATGGATAGGGCAATGGAGCAGTCGGATGATTCATGTTTGGCGTAGAAGTAAACGCGTTGTCAAGGGTGCGGATGCTCCAGTGGCATCGAAGCTCGTCGTCTTCCTGTGCTGTCGATGTCCTCAGCTTGATGGCTTCCAATCTGGCGGCGGCTCCAACGGTAGCAAATGCTTGCACGTGCAACCCGTCCAAAATCTCACCCAGAGCTAATAAGCACAGCGTCTGTCGGACTTGAAGGCACGCATCACCCTGCATGGCCTTTTGCAAGACCACATTGCGGGATGTAGATGTGTACAGACTCGATGCCTCCTCTGGCAGAATGCGATGGGCAGGATGATTGGACAGCCGTAAGGTAAGCGCGAGCACCGCAGATCTCAGGTACGAGGGAAAGTGTGGGAGCGCATGACGTAACGTCGCTGGATTGAACAGTGGTAGAGGCTGACAGTAGACAGATGCTTGGTAGACTTGCAGGACGTGGTCGAACAGGTCAGCTGGTGATCTCGCGTCGTGTGTGGTTGCGACGCGCTGAGGGGATGACGATGGTCGCGGCAACGTCGTCGGACGATGATTGTTACGGGGACGGTAGATGCATTGCTTTCCCTGTCGTCTGCAGTGAGAACACTGCGGGCGCTCTCCCGAACATTTTGTCTTCTTGGCTCGACATTGCTCACATGAGCGGCGGGGACGATTGTGGTCCATGAAACATTGAAGAAGATAATCTGCGCAAGTTTCCGAAATGCAGGAAATTTCCGAGGTCTTCATGGAGAAAGGCGGATATTTGGCGCTGTGTTTCCGGAATCCCGGGGTGCGTCTTCGGAGAATGCGTCTCGTGGCGTCAAACCCGCACGTATAAACCAAAAGAATTGGCGCTCAAACCATCATGTCTGACAGTTTCAGAATATTGCAAAATGCCTTCCAAGACAGAGCCCATTATCATCGTTGGTGCCGGCGCCTTTGGCCTCAGTCTCGCCCATGAGCTTGCTGCCAACAGAGGCTACACGGACGTGACCGTCCTCGACCGCCATCTCCCGCCCGTTCCTGACGGCAGCAGCGTCGACGTCTCGCGTGTCATTCGGTCTGAGTACGCAGATCCCCTTTACGCCTCGCTCGGCCGCGAAGCAATCGAGAAGTGGTCGTCTCCAGAGTGGAGCGAACATTACCATGAGGCCGGATTCCTCATCTTCGCCAATGGACAGGGCCACCCCTACTTTGACGCATGTCTACAAGCGGCAGCTGGTCGTAGGCTCTTCAGCGGGGACCAGATCGACGCCGACATCAAGAAGCTTTATCCGACAGTCAACGCCAAGACCGTGGGCAAGGTGGCCATGAACAGTCCGCAGGGTGGCTGGGCACATGCGAAGAACGCCATCGCCAGTCTGGCGGAGAGGGCAAGCCAGGCAGGCGTCACATTCATCACTGGGTCTCGTGGCAAGGTCGTTGAGCTGCTCAAGGAAGGGAGCAAAGTAAAAGGAGTTCGGACAGCAGGAGGAGACACTCTGACTGCACCGACTGTGGTTCTGGCGACTGGTGCCTGGACAAACCGCTTCATGCCACAGCTCGAGCACAACCTGTCCGCGACAGGCCAGGTGCTTGGTTTCATTCAGCTCACGACCGAAGAGGCGAATCGTTACAAGGACGTGCCCGTCATGATGAACTTGAGCACCGGTGTCTTCACGTTTCCCCCCACGCCGGACACACATCAGATCAAGATCGCAAGGCATGGCTACGGATACCAATCAAGCATGAAGGCGTCAGACGACCGAGTTATCTCTTGCCCGAGCGATTCTCTCACCAAGTATATTCCACGTGAGGCGGCAGAAGCCCTGGAGCACGGGATGGCAGAATTCTATCCAGAGTTTGCTGGTCGACACTGGTGCAACACGAGACTTTGCTGGTACACAGACACGCCAGACGGGGATTTTCTGGCAGACTACCATCCCAAAATCGAGGGTCTTTTCTTCGCAACAGGGGGTTCGGGACAGTAAGTGCATTCTCGGAAGAAGATGCTCCTCAACAGCCAGCTGACGACGTAACAGTGCCTTCAAGTTTCTGCCGGTCCTCGGGCGCCACGTCGCCGACTGCTTTGAGAGAAAAGCGCACCCTGACCTGCAGAAGAAGTGGAAGTTCCACACAGTTGGTGAGCGTCCTCGGGCGTTGGTGATGGGGTCGGACGGGAGTCGTGGAGGTCCACCGCTGCGTAAGCTCAGCGACGCAGAGCAAGCCAAACTGTGATACGTAGTGACCGTAGTGGGATCTTGTCAAGCCAAGCAGCGCTCGATCAGTTCTGAACTTTTGCGTTCCCGGAAACCCTGCCCCTGCGATGTTACATCCGGCAGAAATGCCTCCCCCCCCGCGCGGGACTCGGACAATCATGCCACGAGAAGCAATTCCTCCAATCGGCAATTGACATCGAATGTCCGTACTGATGTTCCGTACGGATACACGGCCTAATAATTTATAAGATACTGCCGTTGACCAATGTGTTGTGTGACACCATCTCTCAACCATGCTGCCCCTTCTCTTCCTCATCCCTGGCGCCATGGCCGCCCCGGCCTGCCTGTCCATTCTGAATCGCGTCGCCGACTCGTACATTCGACGTGGTGTAGTGGACGGCTTCGGCTATGGAGAAGCCACTCTGTACAGCGGCCTGGAGGCTGTCCTGGCCGTCAACTACAAAGACACCATTTACGACTGGTACAAGAACAAGATCGACAATGGTGTCATCACGGATGGCGGCGAGATTCGCGACTGGAACCTGACCTTTTACTCCCTCGACGAGTATCGCATCGGCGTCAACCTCCTGTACTGGTACGACCAGACGGGCGACGAGAAGTACAAGACAGCAGCGGACACCATCCGCCACCAGATAGACCGTCATCCGAGGAACGAGTTGGGCGGGCTGTGGCATCGAGCGCCCATCTACAAGAATCAGCAGTGGCTGGATGGGATCTTCATGGCCGACACCTTTTACGCCCTCTGGACGCATACCTTTGAGCCCGACAACACGACTGCCTGGGACGACATCGTCTTGCAGTTCGACTTGATCGAGGAAAAGACCCGAAACCACACGACAAACCTCCTCGTCCACGGCTATGACAGCGGCAAGGAAGCCATCTGGGCAGACCCAGTGACGGGTGCCTCTCCCCTGGTTTGGGGCCGCGCCGTTGGATGGTACTACATGGCCCTCGCCGAAGTGATCCAGCTGTTCCCCGAGTCTCACGAGGGCCACGCGCGTCTCGTAGAGTACTTTGTGACCCTGTCGCAGGGTCTGAAGCGAGCGGCCGAGGTCGATGGCGGCTGGTGGCTCGTGATGAGCGAGCCGTATCCCGGGAAACCACGCAACTACATTGAGAGCAGTGCGCATGCCATGTTCTCGTTTGGTCTCCTGCACGGCCTGCGCAAGGGGCTTCTCCAGGAAGATGAGTATGGCGTCGTGGCGGAGAAGTCGTACCGTGATTTGGTGGGGATGTTTGTCGAGCCCAACGACGACGGCACCCTCGACTTCATCGAAACAGTCCAGGTCGGATCCTTGAACAGCAACGCCACGTTTGAGTACTACACCGGGGTTCCCAGAGTCATCAACGATGATCGTGGTGGTGGTGCTCTCCTGCTCGCGGCCTCAGAGTGGGAGCTTCGGATCCGTTAAGGTTTGAGAGGAGAGAGGCGGATCCGACCTTTTCTTCTTCTCCTCCTTCTTTGCCCTTCCCCCACATCGCGGATCCGATCCATCTGCCGCTTGCCCACATTACCCCAAGGTAATGGTCGAATTAGAGAAGAGAATGAAATTGAACTCCATTTCCCCAGCTTCAGCCGATCGCCCTAATGCCTGTTCCCCTCTGTTGCCTCCCCCAGAAACAAGCCAATGCGTCACGTCTCCCTCCCATATAAACCCATAGCTCATCCCCAGATTCTGCCACATCCCTCAACTCTCTGCTATCCATCTCCTCCTCAACACCGAACCACCCATCGCCATGGAGAAGAGCAACCTGTCCGAGGCCGAGAATGGCCTGCAAATCCCCTCCCCTGCGTCATTTGCGAACGTGGACGAGAAGAAGGTCCTGCGCAAGGTGTGTAGCCCATCATCGTCGCCTCTCTGCCCTAACAAGAAGCCCGCTAACACTATACCTACCCGCAGATGGACGTTCGCTTGATCCCCATGCTGGCCCTGCTCTACCTCCTCAGCTTTCTCGACCGCGGTAACATTGGCAACGCCAAGATCGAGGGCTTGCAGGAGGATCTGAACATGACGAGTGACCAGTTCAACATGTGCTTGACCGTCTTCTTCTTCACATATGCCGCGTTCGAGGTACCGAGCAACCTGTTGCTGAAGAAGCTGCGCCCGAGCCGCTGGCTGCCGGCCATCATGGTGGCCTGGGGCCTCGTCATGACGCTCATGGGCCTTGTGCAGAATTACCACGGTCTTCTGATTGCGCGCATCTTCCTGGGAGTGACGGAGGCCGGTCTGTTCCCCGGTGTTGCTTACTACCTGACCATGTGGTACTGTCGACACGAGATCCAACTCCGCCAGGCCCTCTTCTTCTCGGCCGCCTCCATCGCCGGTGCCTTCAGCGGTTTCCTGGCCTATGCCATTGCAAAGATGGACGGCATCGCCGGGCTCGAGGGCTGGCGGTGGATCTTCATCCTCGAAGGTATCGTCACCGTCATCGTTGCCGTCATGGCATTCTTCATACTGCACGACTTTCCCGAAACAGCCGGCTTCCTGACGAAAGAGGAGCGCGAATTCGTCGTGCACAGGCTCAAGTACCAGGGTCAGGACCTCAATGCCGCTCATGTCGCGCAAGCCGAGGAGTTCAAATGGGCCTACGTCTGGCAGGCGTTCAAGGACTGGCAGATCTGGGTCAACATCTTTGTCTACTGGGGCATCGTATGCCCTCTGTACGGCATCAGTCTGTTCCTGCCCACAATCATCCGCAACCTCGGCTACACCTCGAGCACGGCGCAGCTCCTCACTGTGCCCATCTACATCACAGCTGCCATCTTCGCCGTCGTCGCCGCGTGGCTCTCGGACCGTGTCGGCAAGCGCAGCCCGTTCATCATCACCTTCCTCATCATCATGGTTATCGGGTTCACCATGTGCATCTCCTCCTCGACCCCAGGCGTCGTGTATGCCGGCGTGTTCATCGCGACATGTGCCATCTATCCTGCCTTCCCTGGTGTCATCGCTTGGCTATCCAACAACTTGGCGGGCAGCTACAAGCGTAGCGTCGGAATGGCCATTCAGATTGGCATTGGCAACCTTGGTGGCGTGAGTCCATGTCTTTAGTACTTCCGTGGTGATCTTTTGCTAACTTGTGTCAGGCCATGGCTTCCAACTTTTATCGACAGAAGGACGGACCGCGGTACATCCTCGGCCATGCGCTCGAGTTGGGCTTCATTGGATTGGGCATCATCGCGGCGTGCATCCTTCTCTTCAGCTACTCGCGCATTAACAAGAGCAGGGAGCGCAAGCTGGCGAGCGGCGCGATGGAGCATTCGCCAGAGCAGCTGTCTGCCATGGGTGATCGTGCCGTGACGTTTAGGTACATGTACTGATAGGATTGATATCAATGGGAACTCAATCATTCGTGCGGATTGTTCATGTTTCGGTGAGGTCTTGTGGCTGGTGATCGTCGCGAATTGCCCGGTGACATCACCACTTTGAACAGGCCCAAATGGATGCGATTCAAGCCTCTTCCGTCCCCTGATCCAACTCACTTCCATCCATGGAATATTTGTGTTTCCATGCCACCCCTTATTGAAGAGACCCCTCCTGACGTCCGCATGGACTATCGGGTGGGACGCGGCGAGCAGGGTGTTCTGTCTTTTGAGCCGTACAAGAGCCACATCTTGCCTCTCTGGCGATTTAGGACCGTCCCGATCGCTAAGAAGAGTTCAGAAGACTTGTGGCAAAAGTTCATCGAATTCGACGAGCAAGGTGACTTTGTGGGAATGGACATGACGCGGAAATTCATTCAGATGGGCTTTGTGAGCTGCCATCAAGCCCTTCCAACCCACCCGCTGACCAACTTTTGCAAGACTCGAGCCAAGCGGTACGCGAACCACGCAGGAGGGCGCAAGTACGACAAGACGTCCGGAAAGGAGATTCCCAGAAGCGGATCCCACAAGGGCAAAGAGGAGAAATTGGCCGCCAGTGCGATCTTCCGAGAGGTATGGGAGAGGTGCAAGCAGCACGAGGGATATCAGCAGAAGAAGGTGGCTTTTCTGAAGGAGCAGAAGGAGTGGAGGAAAGACAACGCGCAGACGTAGCCGAGGGTTTGGCGAGGAGAAGATGCGAACGACGGGTACGCTCGTGACAAAGGCGAGGTCGGCTTTGCCTTGGCAAGCTCATAGGAGGCGGCGCCATAACTTCAAGCCTCCATACTCACTCCTCAATGTCCTGAGAGACCTCAAAAAATTGACCCATGATCTCGAGAAATGTTCGCCTTGTGTCGCACGCAGCTCTCAGAAGGGGGTCACGTGACCGGGAACTCATCTCGGCGCTCGGCGCTCGGCGCTCGGCCATGAATGAGTATACCTGCACGCATCTTCCGCGCATCATTCATGTTATGAACAACAATCACACCCGCCTGATGCGCCGTCGCAATGGTCGACCGGCTGCCTGCGCGCCTTGCCACGCTCGCAAAGTCGCTTGCGATCACACGCGTCCCGTGTGCAAGTGATGTGAGAAGCGCAAACATCCTGACGAGTGTCGGTACCCGACACCGACGACGACCACCGTCTCCAGCTGGGCTGCAAGTCCGTCCCCTGGGCCGCGCTCCTCTGAGAGTAGTCCGCTGCAGCCGGGTCGCCAAGCCTACTTTGGCTACACAAGTCACAACACAGTGTTTGAAGAGACTGAAAATGTCCTGGCGCTCTTGGGAGACAGGCCCACCTGCCTCGAGCCGTCCACGCCTGACGCGACGCCAACGCGAAGTCTTTTCCAGAATTTGCCCGTGCCGCTCAGAGAAGCTGGCTGGATCGTGCTCCGAAGCTTGCCCGGGCAGATCAACGGCAGATTTGCCTACAAAGGACCGATCAAGGGTCCTCAGGGGTGGTCGTATCATGCCGCTGAACGAATCCTCGAGTTGCTGCAGGGCGTCACTGAGCTCGACGCGCTAGGCGAGATGCTCTGCCGCAACTCGAGCAAGGCGCTCCATGACAAGATTGATCCACAAGAATGGATTGCGCAATTCACGGGCAAGAATCTCCGCTGGGAGTCAATCGGTCTGGTGTGGGCCTACGCCGTAAATATTGGGGACATCATGGCCGCCAGGCAAACTCGTTGTATCGAATGGGAGGGCGAAGAGTCGCTGAAGACGGCCACCGAGTGCTTGGGATACTGCATTGAGTTGGGGCGGCATTTCACCGATGCGAACGATCTCCTCCTTGATCTGTGCCGAAGGCGGGCCATTGCCGCCACATTCTTGGAAGGCGATGCCAGCTTGTCCGCGTATACGCATCACGCCGTAAGCGTCCAGATGCTGACGTACTTGGGCCTCCACGCCATGGAGGATAGTGCCTATGTGCCTTCCATCTGTTCGGAGAACCAGCGACAATTGGTGTACAGGATATTCGGCAACGACACCATGGGAGTTGCCTTTACGGGCAGGCCCCCTGCAATGACCCGACGGTTCATATCGACACCTCTGCCGTTGGATATCCCCGAAGAGGTGCTTGCCGGTGATCCAGGAGAGCTTGTTCGATATGCAGCGACTCTTGATGAGAATGGCTGGAACACAAGGAGCGAGTTGTGCTCTGCAACGGTGCTCCGAGCCCGGGTTATAGTGGCACTCGTGCGCGACGAAATCATGGAGATCGCCGTCGGTAAGGGGGTGTTTGTGACGCTGGAGCAGCTGGAGGCGATCAAAACCCGTGCTCTGGGGACAATGGCTCACTGGCCTAGGCATATTGTGTACAACCCAGACAGCAAAGCCGACCAGTGGGTCCAATATACCCGTGTCGTGCTGCGGCTGGACCATCTGCAGAACGTCTTCTTCGTCGAGCGCCTGCTGCTGAGACACGGGAAGCCAGATACCGGCGATTTGCTCTCGGTGAGCTTCGACATGGTGTCCTTGACCCTGAAGCTGTGGACGAACAAGGATAGGTTTCCGCACCCCGAGATGTTCCGCAACTTCGACTGGCTACTCATGGCGTATGGTGCGCCTGGGGGCGGCATTCTGTGTCAGGAGTTGCTGTATCCGAAGTTTGTGGCTGCCCATCCAAATCATGGCCGCTTGACGCGCTCGAGCTTGGTGCAGCAGCTTAGTTTGCTGGTGGGCTTTCTCGACTGGGTGCGTCCTGATGCGCCAAACTCCCAGCTGTGCTGCGATGCGAAGAAGGTGGTGGAGAGGGTTCTGGATCACCAGCTGAATGGTCACCAAGTGAATCACGACTGGGGGGTGATGGCGCAGCCGGATTTCAACTTTGACTTGCTGGACACATTCGAGTGGCTAAGAGAGGGTTGACTGCTTTGCTCGTTGAGAATGACCAAGCCAGCCCACGTGGGAATCTTGACTAGATCGGTTAGCTGTCAAGCAAATCGAGGTCGTGAGGCCTCTCGCCCTTCTTGACCTTCCACGCTGCACCGTGACAAAGTCGAATCAGCTCCATGATAAAGTCGCCAATCTCTTGGATATGCTGGATCTCCTCGGCAGACAATTTGTCCGTGGGTATCTTGCGGGAGATTTCACCAATCGACCCCAAAATTTGCAAGTCGTTGTCGGCCGGGTGACCGAGAGGATGGATCAGCATGTTGACAAACAGCGGCATCGCTGCCATCGGCGCATAGTGCGACACGATCCACATGGATTCTTGCTGCCAGAACCCGATGATGGTATCAAAGAAGCGGAAGATAGAGCGTCCAGCCTCGAGAGACAGGTCCGCACTTGACTCCACAGCGCTGTGCAGGTCATCAGGCAGGTTCTGCTCCAGATCGCCGCATTTCCTGACCATGGTGTGGATGTGGATCATGGTGAACAAGTAGTCCAACTGCAAGTTGATTATGTGCGTTCTGTCTTCTGCCCTCATCGCTGAAGGCACGGACAGGGATGAGTCGGGCGGGATGGATAGTCGTGGGCGGTACGGTGGTTCGATTGACAGTCGCCACTCTTCGAGCTCATCGTCGAGTTGTCGGACATGCGCTAAAAGTTCGCCCTCGGTTTGCTGGAAAGCTCGTGGCGAGCATAGCAAACGATTAGCTCTTTCCTTAATGACTGCGAGGTATATGTCTCGCGGTTGCTTGTGCCATGACTTTTGATCACGCAGCTCGCTAGGGTCTCCAATGTCACAGTACTCGTAGCTCAGTAGCGGCGGCCTGCCAGTCCGCAAAGACGCGTCTTTATCGAAACAGTAGCATAGCCAGAACAGCTTTCGGATATGGGTTCTGGTCGCCTCGTCAAATGCAGGGATATGTTGCGGCAGAATGTTGAGGCTCTTCAGTGGTGCATGGCCACCGAGGTCACACACCATGCGGCTCGCGCTTGCAAAAGTCACTGAGGCCTCACGACACTGCCCTTTCATCTTTTGGAAAGCCCAAAGTAGCAGAGTGCCCTGCAAGCTGTCTATATCACAGACATCGTCATGAAGATTGAGCAAGTATTTCGCCTGGTGGGCGCAATCTTGAGCGCTTTGTCGCGTGTCGGAAGAGATGCTCACCACGGCAAGCATAGCCCAGAGGCATGCCTCGGCCGCTGGATGCTCGTTGCTGTGAGCTCTCTGAATGGTGTTCTCCAGTAGGGTTGTGCCAAGGATTGGAAACACCATGGCCGCCTTGGATCCGAGGAAAACATCCGCATAATATCGTATCTCGGAGGGCAGCGATCTGGGCTGCGGCGGCAAAATCGGCAGCGGTTTGCGAATGGGCGGGTTGCGGAAAAGGTCGAACTTGTCCAAGAACACGGCTTCACCTGAGCCGTAGGAAATCCAGTCGTGCCCTCGTGGTGAAAGGATCCCTATGCCTTTGAAGTACCAATTGTTTCCAAGCTGGCATCTCGACAGCTTGTGGGTGGGTGCAATCCGATTGGTGGCCACGCCCACGGGGAGAATGATTTCACGTCGCCCTGGAGGCGGTCCAGGTGTCGTTGCCGATCGGGGTGACGTTCCATTAGAGTTAGACGCGCGCAGAGCTCCCTCCAGCTCTTCAACGCGATGTGACAGCTCTTCGACGATGTCTGCAGTGGACCTGGCCGGGTTAGGATAGGGTCGAATACGCCAGAAGATCTGACCTTTTCTTGGGGTCCTTGGGTATGACTCGATCAAAGGTGCAGGTAAGGCCTTGACTACCGCACCATTCGCAGGGCTCGCCTGGTGTTTTGATGGAGCATTGTATCTGTGTGCTCTGTCAGTGGGGTGCGCTCGCATTGACTGAGTGGCATCTTACCTTGCGCTTGTAGCACAGATCGCATGCGCGACGAGGCGGCATTGCTGTGCTGACTGCCAGTGATCTGAGATTGGTTCGACATGGACAGATGCTAAGGGGCGAAAGGGCCAGGTGTGTTGTGAACTTGTGAGTTGAGGGGTGGCGATGAAAGGTGAGGACGAAGAAGGTGCGCGAAAATCCCATGTGCTCGCACTCGGTGCACACACGGTAGGTTGCATGGCCTACCCTATAGTATTGGCCGAAAGACGTGAATCACCGTCTATTTCATAACAGTAGCATAGGGCGTAGAGGGTTAATGATTATTTGTGAAGCACATAAATATTACTTCCATTATTTAAGTAAAAATAATATTAATTTTGTTGAGTTTGTTCTCCGCTTGTGTCTGAAAGTTTGCCGCGATTTCACCACAGTGCAGTAGGAACATTCCCTTTGCTGCAACACACACGCATTCGCAGGTAAACTGATCACCTTGAACGTGGGCTAGCTAATTATTTATATAGCATGTAACTTTGCATGGCGCAGGAAGAGAAAATGATTCCTGGATCGAATTGTACATCACGATAGGTAGTTGAAGCTGGATGTCATCTATTAGTCAAACAAACACTCACAACGCGAGGTCTGGTTCCCTTATGATGCCCAGATACTAGGCTACTTAACAAATCATTAAACAATGAACCTAAAGTAAAATCGCTTCATATATGTAATGAAAGGTGTGGTCATGTTGGCGTTATGGGGCCCTATTAGTCTCGTTCTATGTGTATGTACATTTGAACCTGCCTTGAACCACTGGCTTGCTCGATTCATGTTCTCAAGCCTTCCAGACCTTGCAGATGATCTCAGAGAAACAGAGTCATTCTATTCTTGCATTATCGCTTCCTCGGCCCCCAAGGCGCCTCGAGCTCAACAGGCTCATTCATGCGCTTCTGAAAATCAATATGCTGTCCGTGTAGTTCTTGTGGACGTTCTGTCGCAGCCACCTCGTAAGGGCTTTTTGGATAGGGCATCTCAGTAGTTGGGTATTCCGTCTGCTGCCTTCTTCTCCTCGCCCTCCGCCAAAAACACACTCCGACAGCAATGGCAACAGCGAGCCCAGCACCGCCGAGCCCAGCGCCAAGAGCAATCGGGATGATGTCCGGCTGGTTGGAATCTTTCTCGGTCGACACTGAAGGCCATGTTTTCGTGGTCTCTATGGGTTCCTCAGCTGACGTTGCCGAAGATACTGGTGTTGTACTAGGTGCGTCTTTGGATACGCTGGTCGGGGTCTCTAGCTTATCGTTGTCTGCGCTGCTCGAGGATTGCTTTCTTCGTGTGGCTGTCTATTCGGACTTATCGCCGGCTGTGCTGCTAGAGGGCTCCGAGTTCTTCGTGGATGTGACTTGTCGCTTTCCGGCTGTCGCCGTGACCAGCGCATCGCCAATGTCCTGCCTCGTGGCATCTTTGTCGGTGCAGCAATCTTCATATTGACAGCACCATTGGCCAGTAGGAGACCACTGTGTCTTTTCGTCGCACTCCATCACCCACTCGCCACCCGAGGGATTGCCTGCCGTCAGCTGTCGGCGGTGTCAAGAATGGAGCTGCAAGACGTCTTCTCACCCGTGACACAGTAGCCTGGGCATTCCGCCGCCCTCCAGTTCTTGTCTGTGCATGTAGCGCGGATGTAGCGATTTGATCCTTGATCAAAGGACACCTTTGGCGTACACAATCCATTTGACAGACACAGAAGCCTGCTGTGCAACACATGCTGTGCTCGCTTGTGGGATCGCATGCGACATCGTTTGTGATCGTTCCGTCGGGTGTGTAACAGAGGCCTCGTACGAGGGCGACGAACAAAAGAAGGGCGAACATTGCTGGGCGTGACAAAATCTAAACGAAGGGTACGGTCGCACCAAAACATTGTTAAATAATACGGACGCTCTCGCCAAGAGGTGCGTGCACGCACAACCAACAGCCGGCGCTTGTCTGCAGATGGGCGCTTAGCTGTACAATCACAACTTGCCACAGCTTTCCGCCCCTCTGTTGGCAATTTTCGATCTGTGTTGAATGGATCGACGTATATAAGGATTTTCATTACATGAAACTGCCAAGTGTGCGGCGTTGAACCGCGGTCATGTCTACATGTAAGCGTCGACAACCAGTTCTGGTCAGCAAACACTCTCGATGGCCAACACATTGGCTTCCTCATACCCTCAAATTGAGTGTTTCAAACCTTCCAATTGATTTTAGAGTCTGAGTGACTAATAGTTACATCTTGTGACCACTTCAGCATGTTCGATGCAGCTGTCGCCTTACTATCACTTAAGCGTGCAGGCCTATACCGCTACCCAAGAAACCAAACCCCACGATATCCATACCTGGTCGGTCCAGGGACCTCACTCGAATGCTTTCAGCTCATCCTCCGTCCAATTCCATAGCTCCTCGGCCAACGCATCGTCCCTCCCATCCTCGCTTGCCTTTCCAACAACTCCAACCGGCTCATAGTACTCTCCACTCACAACATCCTTCGACACCGACGCCCAAAGCTGATTCTTCACGCCCTGGTCGACTGGAGTGAGCAGCGCACCGCCCACTTTGGTAAGAGTCCTGACGATCCAAGGCGTGGCCGTTGCACCCTCCATGAGTTGGGTGCGCACCAGGCCAGGATGGATCGCGGCCACCGTAAGATTAGGATGTACCTTGGCCAAGTGACATATCCAAAGCACATTGGCAAGCTTACTTTGGTAGTATCTTCCGTACGCTCCAAGATCCTCAGCGGTGGTCTTGAGCATGTCGAAGCGGAAGCCACCTTTGGGCACTTGGGTGTGACCGAACGACGACATTGACACAATACGCACATCCACGTCCGGCGAGGCCGCTGCGGTGGCTTCGAGAGTGGGAAGCAGGAGTTTGGCGAGGAGGGCATGCCCCATGTGGTTGGTTCCGAACTGCATCTCGTAACCGTCCTCTGTGAGTCCTGGAGGCACAGCCATGATGCCAGCATTGAGCATCAAGATGTCAAGACGAGGGGACTCAGCCATGAACTTGCTTGCAGCCCTCCGAATGGAGTCAAAGGAGCTCAAGTCGAGCTCGAGAAGCTTGAGGCAGGACGAGGCATCGGGGACCTGTTGCGCAATCTCGGCCGCTGCAGCACGAGCTTTGTCCACATTGCGCGAGGCGATCCATATCTGGCGCGGTCCGTGTTTAGCAAAGTCAAGGACGGCCTGCTTGCCGAGACCGACATTGCCCCCGGTGACGAGGATGACCTTGCCGGCGAGGGATGGGATGTCCTTGTCCTGGGCGAAGGACTTTGAGTGGTTGCAGATGGGCATATTGTGAGCAGATTGGAAGATGGAAGATGGAAGGAACTTGAGATTCAAGAAGTGAAGACTCAGACTGGTTTATATATCCACTCTTGTTTGACAAAGACGATGACGGCGTCTCCCGTAATCGAGTCACTTACACCGGCGGCCGTGGTGTTTAGATCACGAGCCAATAGCAGCCCGAATCGATGTGCCGCTAGTCCCGAAAGGGCTTCCAGTCTCAATCTTGGCGGCATGATGAGACCCACTCTGAGCGGGACCCGCTTGCACATCGCAGCCCACCAATGATCGATCACAACTGGTCACTCGGTTAGATCCATGTCCCTCCCCCGTTCATTCATGTTGTCAAGTGTCAGCGTGAGCTTGCCATCTTCAAGTTGCACACATAAGCTGACATGACAAAACCATCATCGGTCATGTCGTAGGCCGTCTCAAGATCCAAAGAGGCCTACCTTAATCGGATTGTCATCCGCACTGACGCGACAATGCTACATCCATCATCAAGAGCGCAGCATGCCTCAGAGCCGAGCCTCTTCATCACCAGCTCAACCACTGACAAGGCAGATGCCCAAACGCGCCGGCTGATACGCCGCCATGTCATGCGCGGGAAGAACAAGCGGAAGCAAGGCGAAGACAAGTGCGTAGGCCAGTTGGGTTCTACCAGCGATTACTGGACTCTCACGTCCCCTCGAAAGATCACGTCGGAGCTCTCCTTGTTGACGGGCGTCCCTTACATGCAGCACTTGATCTATCGAGGTATCTATTGCCGAGCTATTCTCACACCTTCACAGGACTCACTGACTTCCATCCTAAGCATTCACAATCGTCAAGCCGTCGACGTACAGAGTTGAGGTGCTTGTCGCCGACGACCCAAGAAACAACATGCTGTGCTTCCCGGCCTTGGCCTCAAACCCTGCTCTGCTGCATTCCGTCTGTTTCTTCGCCCAGGCCTTCCACGACATATCACAAAAGTCGCCATTGAGTCCACTGGCGCAGACATACCTGACCATGGCTCTCGTCTACCTGCAGCAGTCCCTCGTTGACAGCGTCGCCGCCACGAGCGAAGCCACCATGTCGACGGTCGTGTCGCTTGCCACTGCGGCTGCAATCCTAGGCGATCTTGACTCCTTGCAAAAACATGTCGACGGCTTGTCCCGTATGATAGAACTACGTGGCGGTCTCGAAACCCTTGAATCGGGTAGCTTCATCGCCCTTAAAGCGACAAGGTAATGGGGGACCTGACTCCAGCCACTGGGCCTCGTCTTTGTTAACTTTTGCGCATAGGCTCGATTTTGGACTCGCAATGGCCACAGGAGCCAATCTACGCTTCACGCCAAAGAACTTGTCGTGGGATCCTATCATTGCCCAGGGTGTTCATGCGGACCAGCTCACTGAGTTGGCCATGCTTCGTCCCGAACTTAACACGAGACTTGTCAACATCTGGGCCGATCTGCGGGTCTTTGCACGAGCAGCGAACGATGCCACGGCATCAGGTGTCAAGATGCCACATGACATGTTCCATCGACTGTCGACTGCCATCCCTGCTCGTCTTATTGCACTTAAAGATGCTTGCCGCAGCTCCCCCATTTCTGAGCTGCTCCGACTGGCCATGATCGCCTTCATGAAGACCATCCTTGTGCAGATCGAGGGTCTTGGCCAGCGATTAAAATCATTGGCCACTGATCTGAAGGAAATCCTTCTCTCAAAACCACCGTGTCCGTCGGACCTCTTCTTGTGGGTTCTGTTTATCTCCATGATGTCAATATTCGAAAACCTGGACGACCACGAGTGGCTTCTCTCCGCCCTTGGCCAAACCCTTTCCGAACTAGGACTGTACACATGGCCAAGAACCAGGAACACTCTGAAACATTTTCTCTGGATCGACCTTCTACACAACAGGCCTGGGCAGGAAGTCTTCAACCGGTTCATCAGCCTCACCACCGAAGAAGCCGCTCAGACTCCACCATAATACCCAGAAACAACAGTCCTATATAGGTCGAACATGTCCACTGCTCTCTATCGGACCTCCCAATGGCCCAGGGATCATCGCTGGCGCAGGCCGTCTACGAAGGCCGCGAGCGCGTTGTCAATTCCCTCCCCAAGGGGATCGATCTCGGGACATGTGATACAATCAAACTACTTCACATCTTCCTCAGCCGCGTTGAGAACGGTTTGGAGGTCACCATTACGGCATCAGTGAATCACGCGACGAAAAGCAAGCGGTGGGAAGCTCGTGTTTGCTATTGATCAAACCAAATCAGAGACAGTTCACGCCCTTCTGGATCGCCTTCAGGTGACTCCAGTCATAGCTATCCTGCGCGAGACTCCAGGCCATGACGCCACCGAGCCCCTTTGGCTTGATAATCTCGTCAAACTTGCGCGCAATGAGGGCCGGCGTGTCCCACGTCCAGAACTTGTTGTTTGCCCAGTACCACTGGCCGCCCCTCTCCTCGTCCGTCTTGCCATTCTGCATGGCCTGCACAAACTCGGCGTCGCTGTAGCTCGCGTTTTCAAATGTCACGGCGCCAGACAGACCCGTGTCCGTCCCGTCAGGACGCTCCAGCTCAGCTGTCGGGCAGCCTACTTGGCCCTCGCAGGGGCCGGACGTGGTGAACCACTTGCTGTAGAAGGCGAATCCCAGAATCAGCTTGCTCGCATCCATTCCCCTCTCAATATACAGGTCGACAGCACGCGCTGACCCCTGGATACCAGTGTGATGCGTGGTCTCATTGTTGCGACGATTCATCAAATCGTACGACATGACGTTGACGTGGTCGACAACCTCGTTGATCAGGGGCACCTTGTCAGCCGTAAAGGCAATCATGTCGCCCTCCTTGCCTGGCACGGCGATGGAGAGCTCCCTGTCTCCAATCGCAGCCTTGATCTCCTGCAGCAGCAGCGGGAATGTCTCAATCTCCTGCACCTTCTGGTCATTGGGGACTATCCTGTAATCCTCGCCGTTACCACCAGGATACTCCCAATCGATATCCACGCAATCATAGCCGAGATTGTCCATTGTCGTAGCGACATTCTGTGCATACGTCTTCCTTGTCTGCTCCGTCGCAGCACCGGCGCTGAAGCCAGACGTATCGCCCCATCCGCCAATGGCCATGCACACCTTGCTGCCGTCGTCAAAGAGCGCGCGCACCTGGTCGAGGGGCATGAAGGGGGCGTACGACGTGCCCGAGTTGAAGATGGTGGACTGCGCAAATGCGGTGATGACATGCGTGACGCCGGCCGTCGTTGCGCGTTCGGGGAGGTATGTCGTATGCCACTGGTCAAAGTAGACGGCGAACACGGGGGCAGCCGAAGCCCCTGAGGCAGCGGCGAGCAGTAGCGATGATGGATGCATGGTGACTTGTGTAGTTTGTCCTGGCGCGTCTGCTCCTTCAACTATTTCGTCCTTCACCTTTTCGTATCTTATACTCCTATTGCCCCGTGATTCACTAGACCCGCGAGAGCAGGTGGTCGTACGTCCATCATTGCTCAATTGGGCAGCTAATCACGGACAACTCGGGAGCCGCGCAACGTCGCGAGAGTCACGTTGCTGCGCACGCATCCCCTTGGACTGTCCGACGGTCCGTTCCATGGGGAAACATTGCCTACTACGTATACAGTCGGAAAGTCCGTACCTTGTCGGGCTCAAGTCGCTCTAATTAGCCATGCTCACCCAATCCCATCAAAAGACGCGGCTCATTGCTCGAGTCAGCAGCTGGACTCAGCCACTGCTAAGATCGGGAATAGGTGAATGTCTGACTACATAGAAGCGATCCTGCGCTGATTGAAACAGGGATGGCTACAGTAATGGCGTGCCCCGGTTACATCCGAAAAGTCCGCAACTTGCTCACCCAGTCATGTCAAACATATCATGACCAATTGCCTCACGGCGCGACGGCTCTTACGTGTGACGACCCAAGGGGCCACGACTTGCGAAGGCTACTGACAGCACCAGAAGAACAGCCGAGAAAGAGCACGGAGATTGGCTGACGCGTAATTCGAATGAGCTCAAACAGGTAACTTATATCTCGAAGAAACACAAAACAATGGGGTATCACACGGGTTCACTCGCAGGGCCTTTGCCACAACCTCAAACCACCACAAACACTGCCATCACTGCCAGCAGGCCAGCCCATACACCCACACGGCCCGCCGCATCATCCTCGTCCACGCCCGTCGAAGCCTCATACCGCTCCCCGGTAGGATATCGCACATTGTACACAGGCTCGTCCTTGAGCTCGGGCGCATCGCCCAGCGTGTGCTTGCACGTGGCCTGGTTCGCATCCGGCCAGTCCAGGTCGCACTCCTCGTCGTAACCACGTGAGCAGATGGGGTCGGCAATGTTGAAGAGAACATAATTTTCCGCGACCCAGCTGTCCTCATCGTCGAGACAGCTCGCCAGGAAGTTCATGCTGTTGGCCGCGCTGAGGGGCAGTTTCTTGCCCTTTGTCTTGATGAGGCTCTTGCACTCGGACGCCTTGACATTCTCAAACTCCATTTCGATGGCGCCGCCGGCAGTGGGTTCGTCCGTGGCGGACTTCCCGATGTAAAGCCAGTTCCAGGCGTCGTAGCTCACATCGTAGGCTCCCTGTGACTGGTCGATGCGGAGGAGCTTGACCTCGCGGTCCTCGTAGCTGAGGGACACGCAGATGTTGGTGCAGTCCACAGAGGCGGGCCAGTATGCGACACGGTCGGTGTTGATCTTGCAACCCAGCACACCAACGGACGAGGAGTAGCTCTCGTGAGGCGTCACCCACACCGTGCCGCTTGTCTTGGGCTTGTCGTCTTTGGCCAGTGCAACAGCGCATAAAAGGCAAGAAAGAAGAGCTGATATATACATTGTGTCAAATGAGTGTAGGAATGAGCGACATGCCGCGTCACTGCGGCCTGACGTGACCACGCGGTGACAGCGCGTCTGAAAGGAAATTTGACGATGGCTTCATTAAGGGGCTTCCGATTTGGGTTAGCTCGGCAATTACGGGAATTGTCTCTTATCGTCTTATCGATTGGTCTGATATTTTTATCTTATTAGCCGACGGCTGGCCCAGAGCAACAGCCTACCCTATCCCCAACCCGCCCTTTGCCTCTTGCGGTCAACTTTTGTGAATAAAGGCAGAATCGTCTTTCATCACTATTTACCGTCATGGGGTGAATTTCCCTTTCCATCTACTTGAGATATTATATGAAGGTTCTCCCTATGCTATTCGTCAAGTGTCACATCTATGCATCGCAAACTAAAAAAACGAACGCAGGCGGGAAACATTAAGCGACACCCAAACAAGGGATACAAGATTAGAAGCGAGAACCTCTCCTTCTGAACTTGACTGGTTGATTCAGCGCGTGAATGACCCAGTCTCTCGATGTCTCGCAATCTCTCGCTTCACCGATCGGTCCCGAAATGTCGTCCAACATCGCCAAGACGACCACAAATTCAATCCACATCAACGAACCATCCAACAATCAAACACACCACCAACCGCGTCTTTTTGTGAATACCCACCATCCTCGCTGACCCGCTCATAACGGCTCGACGATTCAGGATAAGCCGTGCGTCTACTTACAGACGGCTTGCTCCAACAGGTAACTTGGAGCACGTCAATGCTCCCGTCTCTCCAGACGAGGAGATTGCGCCTGGGGATGAATCTGGGGGCTGCCATCATCCATGTGAACGGTTGCAGCACGACGCCTGCGTGGTGGTTTGTGGGTGATGAGTGTCCACGACTCCACGGAATCACACGTCGTGCTCGGTGGTACTCGGGACTCGGACGGCTTGAGTTGCCAAATCAGTCGATGAGTTAATAATCGCAAACAGGCATCAGCTTCCCTGTCCCAGCAACAGCAGCAGCACCGTTGTTAATTCGCGAGTCAGCCGCGCTAGAAAATCTGCGTTCCTGCGGCCCAACAGACACGAAAAAGGCCATTATCCAACAGAGACAGGCCAAGAGACGGACGGATCCACAGGTGCTCCAGCATGTGAAATCGGACCATTCGACTCGTACGTACCACTTTGAAGAAGAATCTCTACGCGAAGCAAATAGTGGTGACTGATCTCGAAGGTGCACATGGTCGCGAGCGTGCTTGAATGTTGATGTTTTTCATTGATACCTGCGGTTAAGGTGGTTAAGCTTAAGTGAAGCCAAAAAATAAGCTTAACGCCCTTGACGTCAGCGAGGAGAATTTTGGCCCTTGGTGTGCGTCTAAGCTTACCGTCTCCGGCCACCCACGACGATCGATCAACAAATGCCGCTGCCGCACAGGGCCGGCATGGGCTCCGAGTGGAACCCGCTGGCTGGGCAAAGTCGGTTTACTCGATTTGGGAACCCGGCTATTGACGACAGCCCTCGATATTTTGAATCGCCGAATGCTGGATAGGAAGAACATGGAAGACAAGAAGATACGTAGAAGATAGCCACGCCCGCGTCCTACCAAGCACGCTCTTCCACGACCGTATTCCCTTCCGAACAAGGCTTTCCGTGTCCGAATCGCATGTACGTAGATAATGAACGTGCAGGGGGAAACACAAAGTCGAAAGCCCAAACCCATCGAGGTGCGCGCGCGCCCACCCACAGCCAAGAACAGCGAACCAACCGGCCCCCCTCCAATTCGCGAGGCTGACCTTGGCCCATGACGTGCCTTATCCACAGACAATCTCGCGTGTCTGGGGTCTCCAGTGCTCCAGGACAGCTCCTCATCTGCATAAGAGACAGCGTGCCGCCACCCCATCCATCTCACATGGCAGAGTGAGTAGCAGTAACACGACTTGCAACCACCATGGCGGATCAGACTCCCCGCACCGACGGCGTCCTCGCCGGCAACGACGCCATTGACAACTCATCTGGCAGTCAGATCAACCACGCCCAGAATGAAAAGTCCACCCCCGTTACACCCACCGGCCCCACCAAGAAGAGTGGTGTCGTGGGCATGTTCTCCAAGCTGGGCGATCTTCCCGAGTGGAAGGTGGGCGGCAAGCACCTCCAGGGCGCCGTGCTCAACTACAGCATCGGCTTCATCGCCTCGTGCGGTTTCCTCATGTTCGGTTATGACCAGGGCGTGCTCAGTGCCCTCCTCACGCTCGACGACTTCCAGAAGGACATCCCCCTGATGACGCCCCGGGACAGGAGCAACTCGATATGTTGGCTGGAGAATGGAGACCCGGACCCGACCATGTGCACGGGTGACCCCAACACCCAGGCGGCCGGCGTGGCTATTTACCAGATTGGATGCTTCCTCGGTGCCATCCTGATTCTCTTCTACGGCGAGGTCTGGGGCCGCAAGTCGTCCACCTTCTGGGGCTCCGCCATCATGATCCTCGGTACCGTCTTCCAGGCCGCTGCCAACGGCTATGCTCTGCTTGTTGTCGGTCGTATCGTCGGCGGTATCGGCAACGGCATGGTCACGTCCACCATTCCTACATGGCAATCCGAGTGCGCTCGCCCTCACCAGCGTGGTTTCCTCATCATGATCTCCGGAGCGCTCATATCGGGCGGTATCATGATCGCGTACTGGGTCGACTACGGCTTCTACTTCCTCGAGGGCTCCGTCCGCTGGAGGTTCCCCATCGCCTTCCAGTCCTTCTTCACCGTGATCGTCATGATCGGCCTGTTGTACCTTCCCGACTCGCCTCGTTGGCTTGCCATGCAAGGACGCATGGAAGAGGCGCGCGAGGTCACCTCTCGTCTGCTGGGCAAGCCCATTGACGATGCTGCCGTTTCAACTGAGATCCAGGCCATCACTGAGGCCCTCGAGGTCCAGTCTCGCGGTGGTGGCTTCAAGTACAAGGAGCTGTTGACCAATGGCCCATCGCAGAACTTCAGGCGCACACTTCTTGGTATTTTGAGTCAATTTTTCCAGCAGATCTGCGGCATCAACCTCATCACCTACTACGCGACCTTCCTCTTTGAAAACTCCCTTGGTTTCGACCCTGCCATGTCGAGGTTGTTGGCCGCGGCGAACGGTACCGAGTACTTCCTGGCGTCGTTGATTGCGCTGCCGCTGATCGAGAGAACCGGTCGACGAAACCTCATGTTGTTCGGTGCCTTTGGCATGATGGCGTCCATGGCGATCCTTGCCGGTACTGTGTCGACTGGTGCCGTCGACGAGTCTGGCGCACCCCAGCTTGAGACGCGCTTCGGTGTCACGGCCACGGTCTTCCTGTTCGTCTTCAACACCTTCTTCGCCATTGGATGGTTGGGCATGACCTGGCTGTACCCTGCCGAGATTACCAACCTGCGCATCCGTATCCAGGCCAACGCCCTGTCGACATGCTCCAACTGGCTGTCCAACTTTTTGATTGTCATGATCACACCACCTGCGTTTGCCAACCTCGGCTACAAGACCTATGTCATGTTTGCCGTCTTCAACGCGGCCATCCTCCCGTGCGTCTACTTCTTCTTCCCCGAGCCCCGTGGGCGCAGCCTGGAGGAGCTGGACATTATCTTTGCATCGGCCCACTTTGACAAGGTCAACCCCGTCAAGCGGTCCAAGGAGATGCGTCACATTGAGGGCCACGAGATGGAGAGCGAGTTGGAAAAGTACTTTGGTGCGGAGGCGGCCCAGGTGGAGCGCGCGGCTTAGAGTAGTGTGTTATTGAGGGGTATTGGATGAATCAAATCTTGTTCCCCTGCTCCTGTTGTTGTCACGTTGCAGTTGCTTGGCCTCCCTGACTTTGATGGCGGACCCAGCCCAGTCGGTGCCGTCGAGGGCGCGGATGGCATCCTGGCCCTCCTGGCGGTTGACCAGGTCGACGAACGCGTAGTGGTGCTTGCCGGGCATCTCGCGGGTCGATTCGTGGGGGGTCATGCGCTTGCTGACAGAGGCACTTTTTGTGTGTTAGCAGGGTTGACTGGCGACACATGTGAGTGTACGTACATTTTGAAGTCCTTGAACATTTCGCGAAGCTCCTCCTCATTCTGCGACAGGTCGCTCATCTCGTCAAGACCGCCGACGTAGACCCTGTACGTGTCATCGGCGTTGCCAGAGGGCTTGTCCCTGGAAGGCGAATCACCCCAGCGGTCAAAGGCCGGGCGGTCGCTCTGGCGAGGAGTCTGGCGGGGCTTGGGGTTGCACGGGCCAGTCTTCATGGGCCTGTTCCTAATGTTCACGCCATTCATGTGCTCAATGGCAGCATCCGCATCCTCCTTGGAAGGGAACTCGACAAAGCAGTACCCAGGGTTGCGGCCTGTGACTGGGTCGGTGGACAGGTGGAGCTGCTCAAGCGTAGCAAAGCCATTCTCGTGGAAGACGGCGGTGATGTCTTCGGGGCGGACATCGTAGAGGATATTACCCACGTAGATGCGGCGGCCCTCGCTGAGAGCACTCGACTCCTCACTGTTCGTCCTGTTGCCCCACGATCGCTGCGGTCGCTCGGCCCAGCGCGTGTTGGTGCGGGTTCCGTTGGTGGTGTCCTTGTCCTTGCCCCTCCATCCAGAGGTGGCGGGCGGCGAGTCGGTGACCTCGCTCTTTGTGCGCCAATTGTTGGACTGGGCGTGACGAGGAGGCTCGCGGCGCTCTTGAGGCTGCTCGTTTTCGTTTTCCATCGTGGGCGGTTGTTGGTTGGGCGCTCACGGTTCTCAGGGGCGGTTGTAAATCAGAAAGTTTGGGCAAGAGCGAGCGGGATGGGAAAGTTTCGCGAGTGCCATTGGAATTATTTTTTCAGGGTGCAGGTGGATGCGATGAGTTCCTAGCAGGAACAGCGCGTGCGCACCACACCAGCTGTTAGCACAGTAGCGTGCATTGCATGCACAAAGACGCGCCTTCCTTCACCGTCAAGGAGCTCAAAAATCACGTGCATCGCCTTCATCTTCACCTTCATCATCGTCGTGATGGCTGTAAATGTTTGGCCCGGAACATCCAGAGCTTTAGTCGGCCATCCATTCCCCCCCGCGTATCTCTAATTGTTGACGCGCTTCATTCCAGGCACACGACCCCTCATCGCACCACCCTCCTCACTCGCCTGGTCACCCACCTTGAGAGATATCGATTGGTCTTGGCGTTCTTATCGCCATTAAACAACAGCAACGCGTGCGGGGCGCGCCGGGAAAGGGCTTTTTGGAGATGCGCATGGCCTATTCGAGAAGGTCGCTATGCCGACGAGATTGGGCCCGGGAAGATTCCTTGGATGGGCTGCTGGCAGCCGGGGTGCCTTGAGCCGTCGCACACGTCTATTGACGCGATTCCATGGCCCTTTGACCAACCTGACGAGAGCCAAGAGTGAACAGCCTCGTCGGCACTTGATCTCTTCGGGAAGGCCCCTTACGCAAGGCTGGATATTGGCCAATTGATCCCGTTCGCCCCACCTTGGAGAACCTGGCCCGGCCATGGGGTAGCGCGTGTAAGCTGGGAGCAAGGGCCATGGCGTTGTATAATAACACCAGAGGCCCTGCCCGTCTACAGACATCTTTTCTGTGTGAACTACACTTCGCCTGTCTCTCAAGATGCCCTCCCTCTGGACCGTGGCCATTGTGGCTGGCGTTGCTGCCGCCATCGACCCTCCTCGAGCGCCTGAGCACCCCAAACCTGATGGCGACCGCCTGCTCGCTTTCAACGAGACCGTCCCGCGGGCGGTCTACGGCCCCAAGTCCATCTCTGTTGCCTGGTCGTCTGCCGGCAACGATGGCCAGTACATCACCACCAACAGCGATGGTGACCTGGTCCTCGAAGACATTGTCACGGAAACGACCGAGACCTTTGTCCCAGCTGACCAGCTGCCCGAGGACTACAGCGAGTACTGGATCAGCAGCGATGCCTCCCGCGTGCTCCTCTCGGCCAATGCTACCAAGCAGTACCGCTACTCGTACTTTGCCGACTACTTCATCCTCGACGTCGAGTCCGGCGAGTCCACGCCCCTGGTGGACGACCAGGTCGGTGACATCCAGTACGCCGAGATGGCACCCACTGGCGACGCCATTGCCTTTGTGAGGGATAACAACCTGTACCTCCGCGACCACGCCACCGGCGACATTACGCAGATCACCAACGATGGCGGCCCGGACATGTTCCACGGTGTGCCCGACTGGGTCTACGAGGAGGAGATCTTCGGCGGCCGCTACACCCTGTGGTTCTCGCCCGACGCCAAGTTTGTTGCTTTCCTGTCCTTCAACGAGACCGGTGTTGGCACCTTCACCATCCCGTACTACATGAATAACCAGGAGCTCGCCCCTGTGTACCCCGACGAGCTGGACTTGCGCTACCCCAAGGTCGGCAGCAAGAACCCCACCGTCCAGCTGAACATCCTCGACGTGGCCTCCGGCGAGTTTGAGACTGTCGAGACCGATGCCTTCCCGGAGGACGAGCTGGTCATTGGCGAGGTGGCCTGGGTCACAGACACCCACACTGATCTCATCTACCGCGCCTACAACCGCGTCCAGGACCACGATGCCCACGTTGTCGTCGACCCCGTTGCCCTGACAAGCAAGACAGTCCGCGAGCGCGACGGCTCGGACGGATGGCTCGAGAACACAATGTCCATTAGCTACGTTGGCCCCCTCAAGTCGTCCTGCAACAACACGTACTACGTTGACATGTCGGACGAGTCTGGCTGGGCACACATCTACCTGTACCCCGTCAAGGGCGGCAAGGCCATCCAGCTGACCAAGGGCGACTGGGAGGTTGCCTCCATCCTCAAGATCGACACCAAGCGCAGCCTGATCTACTACTCGGCCGCGCAGCGCCACAGCACCGAGCGCCACGTCTACAAGGTCTCCTACAAGACCAACGAGATCACGCCCCTGGTCGACGACAAGGTGGCCGGCTACTGGTCTGCCTCCTTCTCGTCCGAGGGCGGCTACTACATCCTGACCTACGCCGGCCCCAACGTCCCTTACCAGGAGCTGTACACCACCAACTCGACCTCCAAGCCGCTGCGTACCCTTGTGGACAATGCCGAGTTCATCGAGACGCTCTCCGAGTTCCGCATCCCCAGCGTGACCTGGTTCGAGCTCGAGCACCCCGACGGCTACAAGATGAACGTCCAGCAGAACCTGCCGGCCAACTTTGACCCATCCAAGAAGTACCCGGTCCTGTTCACGCCGTACGGCGGCCCCAACTCGCAGACCGTCGCCAAGCGCTTCCAGTCCATGAACTGGAACATGTACATTGGCTCGGACCCCGAGCTCGAGTACATCACCTACACGGTCGACAACCGCGGCACCGCCATGCAGGGCCGCGCGTACCGCTCCCTGGTCACCTCGCAGCTCGGCAAGCTGGAGCCCCTGGACCAGATCTGGGCCGCCGAGCAGCTCATTGCGCAGAACGACTTTATCGACGCCAAGCGCGTCGGCATGTTTGGCTGGTCCTACGGCGGCTACCTGACCGCCAAGACGCTCGAGGTCGACTCGGGCGTCTTCACCCTCGGCCTCATCGTCGCGCCCGTGTCCGACTGGCGCTTCTACGACACCCTCTACACCGAGCGCTATATGAAGACGCTCGACGGCAACAAGGACGGCTACCTCGAGACGGCCGTGCACAACGTCGACGGCTTCAAGAACGTGGCCGGCGGCTTCTCCGTCCTGCACGGCACCGGCGACGACAATGTGCACTACCAGCACACGGCGGCTATGATCGACCTGCTCGTCGCCGAGGGCGTGCCCCCCGAGAAGATGCACATGTTTGCCTTTACCGACAGCGACCACAGCATCAACTACAACGGCGCCGACGTCTGGATCCGCAAGTACCTGACCGACAGGCTGTTTGACGAGAAGCTGCGCAAGGTGGAGGGCGAGCGCCTCGTGCACCAGTGGTCCAAGAGGGCTGTCGTCTAGATTAGACTGACCTACTAAAATGATTTGGTGTATTTGACATGGTTTCCCCATCCATCGCCGTAAACTCCCCCCTTTCCCTCCGCTACTCCTCCAAAACCCTCGTCCAGTCGTACTTCCTCCAGTCCTTCTTCCACTTCTCCGCCCTCGCCGTGTCCCGCCCCCTCTCCCAGCGGCCCTGCTTCTTGACAATGTGCGGCTCGGCACTGACAATGCCGCCAATGACCTCGCGCGCGAACAGATCCCCCTTGGGCCATCGACCACCCCCGTCCTCCACGACGTGGCCCATGCCCCCGTCCAGCGTGAACCAGACGTGGAAATACGGCGCCTCCTTGGCGATGCTCTTCCTGAACGCCGCCCGACCCAGTCCACCCTCCGCCGCCTTGAGCGTGTCAATGACAGGCCGGTGCTGCGACCAGTCCGCGTCCGACGAGAGGAACGCCTCCTTAAAGTGCGCGGGCACCATGGCACCCTCCTCGTAGGGGATGGGGACGGCCACCATGGCGGCGTGCCGATGCTGCTGCGGTGCAGCGGCATTCTCGTAAAAGACGACATCCTGGCCCGCGGCGTGGTACTTGCGCGTCAGACTCTTCATAAAGTTGCGAATCTCTTCCCACTCGTCGTCGTCGCACTCGAGCAGGTTCTTGCGGTGCGTCGTGGGCACAATCACCGCGCCGCCGGGACTCACCTCCGGCTCGGTGGGCAGCGTCAGGAACGTCCTCGTGCCCAGGGAGATGACGGGCGCCACGGGTGGCCGCCCACTCTCGTCATGGTGGCACAGCGGACAGTTGTCCAGCACCCTGTTGAGCTTCTGGAACTCGTGCACGGCGACGTTCTTGAGGTTCGCCTCGCTCTTGTGCACCCTCTTGGCCAGCTTCGCCGCGTTGTCGTCCATGTAGTCCAGGTCCGTCGTAAACTTGCCATCCTTGGCGATCCGCTCCGCCTGTCGCATTGCTTCGCCGCCGGCCATGTTCTTGGTTCGTCGCTCCTCGCGCACCATGTCCTCAATCGTCATTTCGTCATTCTCCTCGACGTTGCCGCGCTCCCGACCGCGCCTCGTCGTGACGGCCTTAACCTCCCCGCGCGTCCCGGCCAGATGGCGGTTCTCGATGCCTCCAATGACGACGGAATCGGGCGGCCTGTTGGCTTGAAATGAGGCAGCCGCGCGGTTGTATTCTTCTTCCAGCTGCTCTGCATTCGGGGCCTTGCGCATCTTCGCCTTCATCATCTGGGCGCGCAGTCGATTCAAGGCCGTCTGGTCCATGGCTTGCGCAGCAGCGGGTACCTCGTCAGGGATGACAGTACCCTGTGGCGCTTCCTCCGCTTTGTCAAGCGGGGGCTGGGTATGTCGGATGGTGCGCAGTCTCTCCTGGTATAGTTCTCCAGACGGCTTCTCCTTCGCCTCGTAGCCTGTGCCGTAGACTCTTCTCCGCTCGAGCTCCTCCTTCTCCTCGCGGGCGTCGTCAAAGTCCTCGAGATTGCCGTAGCGCTCCAGAGCCACCTGCTCCACTGGTTGGCCACTCTCCTCGGCCGCTGTCATGACGGTCCGGAGCTTGGTCATGCGCCACGACGAGCCTCGATCGCCAAATGTGTAGTCAATTGTCCTTTCTTTGGACGGCTCAGGGGAGGATGAGCTTTGCGCGTCGTCAATTCCCCGGTTGAGTTCTCGATGGTGTAGCTCGCGCTTCGGTTCAGCTTCCTTTGGTGGTGGGGACTTGTCCTTGGGACGGTGAATGTAATCGACGTCCAAAGATCCTGGCGCCGTCATCCATGAGTCTCGTTCTAGTTTGGGCTGGGAAGTGTCGACAGCATTCTCGGCAGCGGGACGCTCCTCGTCGGGGAGGGGGAGGTCTTCCTTGGGATCGTCCACGTCCAGCGCATCATTCCGTCGCGGGCTTCTGCTCCTTCTCGAGCGCTTGTGGCGATGTCCATCACCATCGCCATCCCTGTCATCGCGGTGTCTTCGGTGGCCCCGTTCGTCTCGATCTCGGTGTCTGTGACGGTCGTCGCGGTCGCGGTGGGAGCGATGCCTGGAAGAGTGACCGTCACGCTCGTCGTCTCTGTGGTGATGGCGGTGGTGGTGTTTGTGCTTGCGTTCACGATGCTCTTCCTTTTCGCGCTGGGCTTTATCGGCCGCGAGCGATTTTTCGAATTCGTCAAGGCCGTCCATGGTGGTTGACTGACAGATGGATGGACTCGGATGGATAGTATGTAGTGTGACAGGCGAATCTAGAAAGTTACGTCAGGTCGAGGACCAAGTTTATAGTGGGGCACCTTTCATAATGGACAGACAGGCAATGTTCATCAAATTACATTATCTATCCAAACACGATGGGTATACCAATCAGAAGAAAATATACAAGAATCAAATGCGCTCGTCACCTCGAGCTCTAGTCCCTATTCCCCTCAGCCCATCCGCGTATGGTGCCTCGCCGGCCACGCTCCTTTTCCTTCCGCCCATCAGCGCCTGTCACCCTCATCCAGTCCTCCCATTCCTTGCTGATCTCCATCAGTACGTTGCCCATGACGGTGGCGCTCGCCATGAGCCCGTGGCCCTCGCCCTCGAGCACCCGGACCTCGCACCGCCGCATGGTCTTACCCAGCCAGCGGACGTTGTCGACGGGCACGCGCGTGTCGCGGCTGCCGTGATGGATGGTCACCGGCCTGTTAATGTCCACGTACCGGAACCCGATCGTGTGCCGTCGCTCCAGGCAGATGAGGAGGTCCACCGCTGGGTTCGCGCCCGTCGTGGCCAGCTCCCAGATGGCATGGGTCAGGCGCGTGTCGTACGTGACCTGCCTCTCCTGGTCTGCCATGGCGTCCAGCGCAGCCGTCTGCGCTCGATCTGCACTCGAAGGCCGCAGAGGCTCTGTTCGCTGTTTAGGCGAGGTCGTCATGCTCTGTGCTCGACCTGTTGTCTCCAATGGCACGTTCTCCTTGTCGAGAGCTGGCGTGATATTCCTGTTGTTGCCAGGTGGGATCTCCTTCACCTGGCCAGTTGACCTCCGCTTCGTCCTTCGCGAGTTCTTCGGTAGAGACGTTGTAATGGATGTACTTGTCGCCGACATGAAGCTGCTGTTGGCGACCTTGAGCATGGGCGTCGGCAGAGCCCGCAAGATACGCTGCGACGTGGGGATGGCGTGGGTAGGTGGCAGAATCTGCGAACCCCCGAAGACGTTCATCTGTGAAGGCGGGATCCACGGTGCCAGGAGATGTATCCGGCCGCGGATATGCTGGGGCATACGTAGGGCTGTCGCCAGAGCATAGATGGCGCCGGCCGAGTGCGCGAGGATGGAGAATTTCGTAATCTTGAGCGACTGGCAGATGGCGTACACGTCGTCTATCATTGTGAGCATTCAATCCAAAATCCTAAAATGCAGGATACTTACCTGGCCAGTTCAGAGGCACCGTTGTCCCATCCGGATAAGGCTCGCTGTCGCCCACGCCAGGACGATCCGGTGTAATCAGACGCAACTTGAGCGTCAGGGCCAGCTCGTCGTAGAACGCAGTGATGTACCTCGTCAAGCCCATGCCGACGCAGCAGAAGACTGCTGAGCCCTCTGGGTCCCCCACCTCGGAGAAGCAGATGACTCGGCCCGTCTGCGGGTGTTTGATCTTCTGCGAGAGCCGCGGCGAGCACAGGTACGAGTCCACAGCGTCGTCGATCGAATCAGCCGAGTCCACCCGGTCCAGGGGGGCTCCGTCGTCCAAGTCAAGCATCGTCCTGGGCTCGGGGCTGCTTTGCCTTGACAGGCGCGCCAATCGCGAATTGCTCCGTTTTGGCTTTCCATCGGGGCTCTGCGGCGCGGAGCGACGCCTCGACCCGCTCTCTAGGCTCTGTTCTGAACGCCTCTTGCTCTGTGGCACAGCGGGGAATGGTGCTCCATCTCCCGTCTCTTCTCTCCCGGGTGTGTGAGCATCAAATGCGAGGTAGTCGTCGCGGATCGACTCGAGGAACTGCTTGCTCCTCGGTGTAGCCGCCGTAGGGTCATGTTCATCGGGCCCCAAAAAGAAGCTTCGGCCCTCGTGGAGCTCCAGTTTGGCTGGTGTCCTCCGTGGTTTGCGACCGTCGTCAACGGACGGCTTCCGCCCGCTCGACCTCTTGGGCCGCAAACTCGAATCGCGATGCGGTATCGGCCGCGGGCTATCGGTCTTGGACATGGTCTCTATAGGTTCCTCGCTGATGGGTGTTTCGGCCAGGAATGGATCCGGCTTGTCACTGCCGAGGCCCGTGCCAGATCCCCTTTCGCGCAGTCTCTCCTTGGAGCTCATGTACATGAGTCCCTTTGCGCTGCGGCTGGCTTTGCGCCCCCAGCTGTCGGCCGATCGTCGACGGTGGAGGTCCGGCTGGTCAGACGTCGAGTGACGTTCTATCGAGAGATTGCCAATGCTCTGTGAATCATCGTGGTCGTGCGTGGACGGTCGGGACGGCGTGCTGCTGCTTCGCATAAAAGACCGCAGGCCTCCGTTGTTCTCTCGGCTCGAATGGCTCCGTGGGGTCTTGGGTGGACTCAGGGGCGAGTAGCCGCTCGTGGGCTTCGAGGTCCGGATCACGGGTGCAGAGGCAGCAATCTCATCGAGTGAGAGAGCCTCCTCGCGAAGGTTGGGAAGACTCGGCTTGCTGTACGCGCCGTAGTCCACGCCAAAGCTGCCCGTCAAAGCGCTCCTGCTTCCCCCACTGGGCGAGGCTGGGGAAGAGTGCGTAACGCTGGGGGTGTATCCGCCCGAGGTCGCGTGCTTGCCCTCAAAGTAGTCGTCTGCCGGTTTCGAGATGCCGCTCAGGCTGGTGATCAAGCTCGATATGACCTCGGGGCCGCCTGCTGGAGGGATGCTCTGCCGCTTCGCAGAACCGACCGCGCCGCCTTGCACCGATCGTCGTCGCGAGCTACTGCTGGCGCCGTGCGTCGTCGTCGAATTGAAGCGTGTGCGCGTCGGTATCGATGGCGCATCGGTAGGCAGTGGCGGAGACGCCATGACTCTTGAAGACTACTGTCGTAGTGAAACGGACGTCAGGCGAGCGAGTGGCCCGTCCGGTCGCTTGGCCACGTCCAGTCCCCCAATGCAGGAGGTCCCTTGCGTCGGTCGGTGGGTGGACTGGCTGCAGATTGTGCCTGATCGGCTGCAGGAGTCGGAACTAGTTAGTGCATGGAAGCTGAACGGGGCCAGAAGCAAGGCGAGGTTGGTTTCTGCTCGCTCGCTCTGCGTTTCGGAGGCGAGACGGGAATACAGCAACGAAGGGGTCGAGTCTGGATCACGGCAGTGAGTCAAGACAGACAGAGACAGCGGCACGGCAGCAGATGGAAGGAAAAAAAGAAGCACAGCCAAATCTAATCTTCCGAGTCCTGGGACTGGACTCCAGTCCTTGTCGCCCAATTGACGGGACTGGACTCCACGCGCAGAGATGATCCGCGGGCAGGTCAGGGGTTCAGGGCCACTTTCTTCTGGCAGCAGCCAGCTGTCCACTGTTAGTCTGTTCAGCACCACTGGCATATGTCACTTTTCAGGGGCTGCGAGTGCGGCTCAGGTACTGGTAACAGCGGGGTAGGCCGCCTAGATGGCAGACGGGACGGCAGTGTCCCTGAGGATCCGTGGCGGTGATTGGGTCGACGGAAAAGGGGCGTCTTGGGCAACGTGACACAAAACACCACATCGTGATCCAGACAGATATTACAGTACGTACTACGGATAAGATAGACTGTCTTGGATAAGGACTGCTTTCTTCTTGGATAGGAAGGACGGGCTGAGGAATGACGACAATGGGCTGCCTGATGCCTCCTGGAGCACATGTAATTACTACCGTGGGGCTTCTGTCTGGCAAGACGAACATGACTGTAATTGGACTTCATTTAAAAGAGACCCTTTTGCAATGCTTGTTGCAAGTCGATGACGGCATTCACTTGGTACAGACTACGTGACCAACCTGATTATAGCCAGGCAAGCAATAATTAATTAATGAGCAAGCAACGTGGCCTGCCTTATCTTGCTGGCAGAGAATCGTCCACTGTGCCTTGTGCGACTGCTTCAGTACAGGGTAGGCCCGGTACAGTTGAGTTTATCATCACCTTCACTCGGACTGCCAGGCGTCGCGACTCGCGATCAGTCTCCGCGTCGCATTCGGTAATGGAGCCGCACGCAGCCCTCGTCGAGCGCCGTCGCGCTGATCAGTATGGGGCTCGCCCGAAGACCCGTGAGCGGGAAAAGTGGCTGTCCACCACCGAGAATCTCCGGCATCACGTAGATTTCCATCTCGTCCAGCGCGTCGCGCTCCATGAATGCCATCTGCAGTTGACCACCGCCCAGCATCCAGACGTCGCCGTCGTCGAGAGCACGGAGCTCCGAGATCAGCGCGTCGACATCACTGCGAACCTGGAGCGGCCCCTTTGGATTGAACAGTGGTTTCGAGGTGACGACGAACACTCGCTTGTCTCCATAAGCCCACGGCGATTGCTCTTGGGCGAGGAAGTCGTAGGTATTACGGCCCATGACCACCGTGCGGATTCGCTGTAAGAAGATGCCGTAGTCGTGCTCTCCCAGGTCCATGTCATTGTGTTTGTAGAGCCATTCGAGTGAACCGTCGCCCGAGACGATCCTCCCGTCAAGACTGGCTGCGATGTATCCTCGAATCTTGGCCATGATGCGGATGGATTATCGGCGATGGAATGAAGGCTTGGATTCACACACATGTATCTTGGATCAGCAGGATCTTGCCCGCATCAGGCCTCTTTCTGCCTGCAGAGTGCAGACGCTGTCAGCATGCTGCCTGTGAGGCTGTGACACCCAACTCACATCATTGCATACGTACAATGATGGCACACGACAACAAGAGGCCCCTCGACTCGTGCTTTCGGACCCTTTTTCCCATTGTGCAGGTAAAAAGCCTCATCACCACACAATACATGTATCCTACTCTGTTTCAGCAACGTCATCGAGCCCCTCAGCCACATCCACACCCACATCCCGCTACGTACGTACGTATTCAAGCGGGATTTGGGAGACATCCGGCGATCCGACCCCGAGGGCGCAAGCGGGTCCAGGGTCTACCCAGTGCTGACACGTCTTACCAAGTGCACAAAGCACGCGCATAGGGGTTGACTTTGCTCAGACAACTCGCCGATCAACATGAGCAAACTGGGCGGCTGGCTGCGCGCCAATGTCAAATCGGACCATGCGAACCCGGAGAAGGAAAGGAGAGACCTCGTCGAGGCGCTGGACTACGCGCAGCTCATCATGAACGATGACATTGACGCCGCGTACGAGGCGCTACGCAAGGGGGGCTCGTCCTTTCACTCCCTCGGCGCTGCGGTGGCCTTCTTCATGCGCTCGGTCCTGGGCATGGAAAAGTCCATCATGGCAGAGACGACGGATATGCTCAACGCCTGCGAGAACAAGGCCTTTGAGGATGCCAAATTGGCCGAGAGAAGGGGCAAGAGGGCGGAGGGAAATGGCATGTACCCAGCAGGCACAGAGTACGAGCTCATCCGGGCTGAGGTCTGGCTTATGGGCGCCGTCGTCGGTGTGCTGCACGAGAGCCTGGTGGAGGCGATGAAGAGCTTCTACAAGCTGCGCAAGGCATTTTTGACGCTGGACGGCATCATCCAGATTGAAAAGGGGGTCATTGGCGAGGCCACCCCGGGAGAGGCCTTTTCAGACCAGGGTACGAGTGGCGAGAACACGCCGCGCGACAAAGACGACAGCGGCTCCGAGGTATTCGTCGATGCAAAGGAGACGCTGACCCCGGTGGTCGAGGAGAAAAAGGAGCTCATCACTGCCGAGACGACGCCGGAGCCATCCATCTCAGGCGAGGCACAGACAAGTCTTCCAGTGATGAAGCCACCGGCCGAGACAGAGCTTCTCATGACGGATCCCGTCGACGTCTTCATCCACAGCGGCGCCAACATGTGCTTCGGCATCCTCATGCTCATGCTCACATTGGTGCCACCCTCCTTTTCCAGGATCCTCTCCGTCGTCGGCTTCCGAGGTGACCGCTCACAAGGCGTGAGTATGCTGTGGCGATCCTCGACCCACGACAACATCAACGGTGCTGTCGCGGGCATGGCTCTCCTAGGCTATTACCAGAGTCTCCTGGGCATTGTCGACGTCCTCCCTCACGAGCGCGATTACGACGAGGCCGCCGAGACCGTCGGGCCTCCGCGCGAAAAGTGTGCGCGTCTCCTCGCCACCATGCGCGAGCGCTACCCTGATTCGCGCCTCTGGCAGATCGAAGATTCCCGCCGCCTCTCTATCGAGCGCAGGATGTGCGAGGCGATGAAGCTGCTCACGACGGGCAAGGCACCCAAAATAAGACAGGTCGCCGCCTTCATCGACTTTGAGCTGGCACTGGTTGGCATGTACGTGCAGGACTGGCCCGTCATGCGCGATGCGTTCCTCAAGGCCGTCGACACCAACGACTGGTCTCCTGCCCTGTACTGGTTCATGGCCGGCTGCGCCTGCATCGAGATGTACCGCGACGCCAGGCGCAACGGCGACGAGAACGAGAGTAGGCGCCAAAAGGCGGCGGCGGACAAGTATCTCAAAAAGGCGCCCACCGTCGTGGGCAAGAAGAAGCTCATGGCTGGCAAACTCCCCTTTGAGGTCTTTCTGCAAAAGCGCCTGCAGCGTTGGGAGGAGCGCGCCGCCCAGCTGGGGGTGGACGTGGTCGACGCTGTTGGCATTAGTCCCGCTATGGAGCTCACATACTTCTGGAACGGGACAAAGAGAATGAATGAGACGGAACTTGCAAATGCCGTCGACACGCTGAGCTGGGAACGCTGCACATGCGGCGACAAGGGCGTCGAGCTGATGAAGAGTGAGCTCGATGAGATGGGCACCTGGGCCGTCTGCATGTCCTCTGTCAAGCGACAGCAGGGCGATTACGTGGCAGCGAGGGGCCATCTCAACGAACACGTCCTCCTACACGACCGCGCGGTCTTCAAGGGTCCTACCAAGAACGACTTTGTCCTCCCCGCCGCAGAGTACGAGGTGGGCGCCATTGCCTGGGAAGAGTGCGGCGCGGCACAAGACGATACCGTGAGGAAAGAGAGACTAGAGGAGTGCGCCGCACAGCTGGAGAAGGTGAAGAACTGGGAGGCATTTACATTAGACATGCGCATCGGCCTCAAGGTACAGTCAGGTCTGGAGACACTCAAGTGGTTCAGAGCGAAGAAGGGATGGCATTAAACAAGAAGTCAGCCAGCTTAGACAAAGAAAGAAAGAAAGATACACATGATCAGTTCTTCTTGGGGGTCCTCTTCCGGGTGCTCCTCCGCAACGCATCGACGCCATCTTGTACCATCCCCGCGCCATCGTCCAGCTTGGCAGACGAACGCTCCTTTAGATTGTGCTTGTCGGCTTCATCCCGAGCGTCGTCCATGAAGTCCTTGCCCTTGCTCGTGCCGTGCGCCCAGTCGAGAATCCCCCACGCGCCGTAGTTTGCCGTACCTCTGCTGGCGTAATGCCTCGCGGTGCGGCGGGCAATGCCTCCCAGAAAGATACCGGGGACGATGCTGTAGCCGGACGTGACGAGAGTGCCCTCAATGGTCGTGAGCAGCGTAAAGGCCAGATACGTGAGCAGATGCGGGTGGAGCAGGAATGCAGGAAGCAGGACCGGCACGAGGTGGTAGATGACCAGTGGAAGAGGGTGATCCGCATAGAGCTGCAGAGCGCAAATCGGCTCCCCGTGCGAGTACGAAGTATGCAGCCTCGTCAAGAGGGGAACCACAGCTCCTTCGTGCAGCAGATATCGGTGGATGTAGTATGTGAGCGTCTCCCGCGCCGTGAACAGAATGGCCGTTTGCTTGAACATCTGCCACGGCAGTGGTAGCGTTGTCGATACCTTGTACAGCGTATTTCCTGTGGCGAGAGTATACAACCAGCTCACGCCAGCTTCCACGGCCACAACGAGAAGCATGTTGAACGTGGCGAGCCCAATTAGCTTCAGGGGCCTGCGCGGGAGTCGTTTGGCGCCATCAAACTTGATGCTCCCCGCCACGCTCGGTATGCCAAAGTCGAAAGCGAGGAATAGTAAGGACGGTGCAAGCCAGAATATGACTCGCACAACGAGCAGGGACGTCGCATGGATCGCCTCGGGCTTGTGGCTCAGCACCAGAGCCGACCACGTCGCATAGAAGAAGAGGATGTTGACAGAGGTGGACAGCGACGGTGTCAGCACCGCTGAGATGAGCGGGATAGAGAGCAAGACGTCCATGGCGAGGGTTTCTGTTATTTGGTGCAGAGCGGCAGATGTGTGAGATGAAGAAGAGAAAATGGGCTCACCATGCCTTGCCGTCCCTGCGCGCAGCAGCTCAAGAAGATCGCCTCGTGGTCAAGATCCTGATCTCAACGCGACTTTCTACACCAATGACGTCGGTCCGGCGATAGCAGCCACAGCACACACTAGCCACACATTGCTCCGGGTAGGCCAAACTGACTGCCCCACCATGGCCTTCTCACTTCCACAGGCAGCCAGCCAAGCTATGATACATCCTAGTGCTTCCATCATCAACGCGACGCCATCGCCAGCACCACCTCACATCGCCCACCACACACCGCAGCCATGGCCGCCGACAAGCCCACAGAGACTCCTGCTGCCGCCGAGAAAAAGCCCGAAGAGACCAAGACCGCCAAACCCGCAGCGCTTGGCGAGGACGACGAGTTCGAGGACTTTCCCGTGGAAGGTGCGTGCCACCTCTATCCGTTGAACGAACCCACGCTGACTTTTTCAGACTGGCCAGAGAACGAGACCGAGGCCGCAGCGCAGGGCGAGTCGAGCAAGCACTTGTGGGAGGAGAGCTGGGACGACGACGACACGAGCGACGACTTCTCGCAGCAGCTCAAGTACGTTTTGACACCCAGCACGGACGACTCTACAATACTGACGCGCATCTACAGGGCTGAACTACAAAAGGTCGAGGCGGGCAAGCGGAAATAGACAAGCACAATCATGACATGAGTTACGAAGATACAAAGGGTATTCTATTGTTCCTAGGTCACAAACTAGATGATTTCCTTCGGCCTATCCCGTCAACAACGTTCTTTTTGCTGATATATATTCCCCTGCTCGCCTACTTACTCGACAGAGCCGTGACGCCAGGCAGCTCCTTGCCCTCGAGCAGCTCTAGCGAGGCACCGCCGCCGGTGGAAACGTGGCTCAGCTTGTCCTCGACGCCATACTTGGCGGCCACAGTAGCGGTGTCACCGCCACCGATGATGACAATCTTGCCCTGGTTCTGGGCACCGTCGACGACAGCGTCGAGCATGGCCTTGGTGCCGTTGGCAAAGTTGTCAAACTCAAAGACGCCGGCAGGACCGTTCCAGAGAATGGTCTTGGCCTCGCCAATGACCTCCTTGAACGACTTGATGGACTCCTCGCCGCAGTCCAGACCCATCCAGCCGTCGGGGATGCCCTCCTTGTCAGAGGCTTTGCCAACCTTGGCGTCCTTGGCGAACTTGTCCGCCGTGATGTAGTCCGAAGGCAGGACAATCTTGACACCCTTCTCCTGAGCCTTGTTCCTCAGCCCCTCCACAAGCTTGGAGCCGGCCTCGTCAAAGAGCGAGTCGCCAATGGCCACGTCATAGAGAGTCTTCTTGATGGTAAAGGCCATGCCACCGCAGATGATGAGCGTGTTGACCTTGTCTAGCAAGTTGTCAATCAGCTGGATCTTGTCCGACACCTTGGCGCCGCCGAGGATGGCAAGGAAAGGACGCTGAGGGGCCTCGAGAGCCTGGGCAAAGTAGTCCAGCTCCTTCTTCATGAGGAAACCAGCGGCCTTCTGGGGCAGGTCAACGCCGACCATGGACGAGTGAGCACGGTGGGCGGTGCCAAAGGCATCGTTGACGTAGACATCACCCAGAGCAGTGAGGCCCTTGCGGAACTCTTCGACCTTGGCCTTGTCCGCCTTGGTCTTGTTGCCGTCCTTGTCCTTGGCGCTGCCCTCCTCCTCAATGTGGAAGCGCAGGTTCTCGAGCAGGACAACCTGGCCGCCCTCGGCCTTGTTGACAATCTGCTCGACCTCGCTTCCGACACAGTCGGGGGCAAAGGTCACGCTCTTGCCGAGGAGCTTCTCGAGCTCGGGCACGACAGGCTTGAGCGAGTACTTTTCGTTGACGGCACCGTTGGGGCGGCCGAGGTGGGACATGAGGACTACGGCCTTGGCGCCATTGTCGACAGCGTACTTGATGGTGGGAAGAGCTCCGACAATGCGCTGGTTGTTGGTGATCTTCTTGTTCTCGTCGAGAGGCACATTGAAGTCGACCTGGATACCGTTAGAAACGCGTTGCCAGACTACCCCTCCATGGCGGGCAACCAGAAGAAGAAGAACTCACGCGGATAAGCACGCGCTTGCCCTTGACGTCGACGTCAGTGATGGAGAGCTTGCTGGAGAGAGACATTTTGAAATGTTTCTGTAGGGCTTGGTTGGTGTTGGTGGTGGTTGTGTGGTGACGGAGAAAAGAGCGCAGCTATGGAAGCTACGGGCGGGTGGTGAAGCAACGCATGGTGGGGTCGAGGGTGACGTCCGTGAGGCGTACTTTGTGGCATACCTCACGTCCCCGGGGTAGGTTATCAATGTTTTGCACTTTGGGCTGAGGAAATGGCAAGTTTCATTGGCTTAGGGACGAATCTACCCGATTTCTGGCTACTTGTTGACTTGAGCTCCTATTCTAGCCGAGCACGAGCTTGTATCGGGACTGTACATAACAAAAGAATCAATTGCCGTCTATGGAATCCAACGCCAGATAAAAGAGCGACACGGAGTGTAGCAAATATTTGATCAACGCCAAAAAATGCCCAGCACGCAAATGTAGAGTTTCCGTCTTCCAACACTCACCGACCTTAGTCCGAGCTGTTCGACAGCGAAAGGTAGGCAGTCCAAGCAATACCAACGGTCGAGACAAATGGCAGTTGGAACTGCACAGGCATCAAACGAAAGTTGACAATCTGCACAGCCGGCCACACAATGTAGTTGGCCTTGAGAGTGGGGATGTACATGTCGCGCAACTTCTGGCTGATCGCGCGACGGCCACCGCCCTCGGCGACCGTCATTGTGGTGAAGAACGCCAGCAAACCGGCCGGGGCGAAGATGAGCTGGTCGAATGCAACGCGCTTCATCGCTGGCCCAAAAGCACTGGTCTTGCTGATCGGGAAGACCCGGCCTAGGAACTGGAACCATTTGAACTGGACCGGGGCCATGCAAAAACCGTACGCCATGAAACGTGTCAAACGCTCAAAGTCGAATGGAGGTGGCGCTTGCGGGCCAGGGAGGACGTCTCGCTCAAAGTAAGAGTCTTTGCGGTCGAGATCGGCAATTTCGATGGAGATGTCGTCGCGCTTCGAGAGGCCATCCACCTTTTGGTGGGCGCGTAAGGTATAGGATGTGATGGTTTGAGCGACCGTGTCTGCAATGCCACCGAGAATGGCATTGGTGACCATCATGGTCATCACGGGCCGTTCATCGTAGTACGCATTGTACCTGGCCGTCAGGCGAGCGACGAGAGCCATTTCGATGAAGAGTATGATGGTGTGAAGGAGAGGCTGTTGGAGAAATTTGAGGTTAGCGATAAGGATTCGCCGGGTGGAGTGGCGATCGAGCGATCGCGGTCGCAACACCAACGGATGGGACATACAACTTTGCCAAAGATGAACTTTCGGTTGACGCTGCGCTCGATGCGGCGCTTGGTGAGTTCCCAGGTCATGTTGGCGGTTTTTCTTCACTGGGTATTATGTAGGTGCGATGCCGGGATGCAGAAGAAAGGGAGAGAGTCAGGCGGTGGTCGGACTGTGGATCTCGTGTACCACAAGGGTCGCCTCGATGACGACGGGCGGTGATAGTGCCACTGATCAACTGGCCAGCTGCACTGGTGTTGGAGTTGAAGATATCAGAGTGATAAATCCAAGCGCGGGCTTTCTCCTTTGCGTGCGTAGGGAGGCTGGGATGATGATCAGAACAATGCAGGTTGCGGAAAGGCGAGAGGCAACACGATCATCCGTGACAGCACCTGTTGCGCTTGCCGCAGCGTCAGCTGGGCTGAGTCGGCGCTTCCGGAAGGCACGGGCAATCGGGGGTTTCGTCCGCGACCGGGGGCATGCACTTGACGGGGCGCGAGGCGTGACCTGACCGCTGGCGCGGCACTGGCAAGGGGGAGGAGGAGCATCGACCATCAGCCTCAACAATAATCAGACTGTAATTGACCTATCTACTTTTAACACAAAAATAGGTAGTGATACTTTGTTATAATAAAGGTACTTTATTTAACAGTCAAGAAGTCTCCTCCTCCTCCGGTTCTTGGCAAAAATTAAAATCAATCAAAAAAAGGCATTTCGTAACTACGATCCCGCCAGGACTCGAACCTGGAACCTTTGGTAAGTACCTAATCCGGAAACCAACGCGCGGCCATTGCGCCACGAGACCATATCCTTAGAAGCTAGAAATTATATCCTATACACGTAAATGCTTCCATCGACTCGAATTCTTAGTACGTGCGGAAGTAGTTTACAATAGACGAGCCTTAGTATAGACATTGTAAGTATTGAAGCAAGCCATTAATAAATTATTGCCCTAATTTCGTAATTAGATTAACTAAATATCTTTACTAATTATTAATAAAGATTAGTTATAAGTGAAAATTCTCAATTCTTAGTGGAGTTTCCACGCAGAGTTTCCACGGACTTAAGTACATAAAATAAACATACTTATGAAGGATTAAGTAGCCCGTAACAGTAACTAGAATTCAGGAATCCTAAGAAACGTCCCTTACTTCTATATCTATTACTTTAAATCCTCTGCAGTCATTGCATTGCCTTGGTGACTACTGGGTGGTGGAGAGACAACCATCGGATGAAGTTCAGACGAACTTGGTTATTACATAGTATTCCTCAAATGCTCTTGTAGCACGCAGTGGAAAGCTTCTTTCTTTCTTAAAGAAGCTTATTATCAGGGACTACTGCGTTATCTATGCAGCGAGTGCTGGTCTGAAAGATTGTCTCGTTGTGATGTTCACACAAACAGAAGGCACGAACCTTGCAGTGGCAGGTACCCAAATACATTCTGCAACCTGAAAGACTGGATGGTAGGTCAGATAGAAAGAGAAACACGTCGACTATCGTCAACGGCACTACATACCCACGGCAGTATGCCCCAGAATATTTGATTCAGTTAGAAGAGTATGATCGACTCCCCCAGTGACACACACCGTGGGTGGCACAATCATTCCTAACTTACTACATGCTTTAGATAAGCTTTCCTATAAGGGATCGCATTGTTTGACGGTATTGAGCACAAATAGATAATGCACTGTCAGTCAAAGACATTAAGGGCTTCTCTATCCCGAGGTCGGCTATAACGACATAGAGATGGTTGTATGAACTGGCCCGTAATTAACGCCTTGGCTGAGAGTTTTCATTAAGGCTTTAAAAAAAAAGCTTGCTCCTTCCTCTCTAGTCATCCCATCCATGTTCGGGGGGGCATGTACCCGTTGTTGAGAGCTCTTGCCCAAAGACAGGCCAGTTTCGGTGGCCTCCCGAGGCAGGTACGGCATATCGCCCCTCTAAGAAGGCAAGAGCGGACGGCAAGCGCTGTTTGTCGGGTGTGCTTTAATAAAAAGCCTGATTCAGCGGCGATCGAAGTCTTCGGCAGATCTTGTCCCCAATTTTGCCCTGTTCATCACAGGAGAGATATTTGAATTGCCGCAACCACCCTGCGCTCGAATCACTGTGCTCAGTTCTCAGTACGTTAAAGAAGTTCGTAAGGCTTAGAATTGTTGCCGCGATATTCAAAGCACGTCGCTGGGCTAGTTGCTATGCTTGTTGTCAGCTAACCCCTGACAGAAATATCGACCAATCCGAGGTTTGAGCAGAACTGAAGAGGCCAAGCAGGTTGGCCGATGCGTGAAAGCAATATGTTCCATTGTACTTCTTAGTGTTTGCCGGGGGAGCAACTCTAGAGTAACATTGCACCAGGCTCTAGCTTCATCTTCTTCTCAAAAGTCAGAATAGGGGCTCGCCAGCTGCCCCTGAAACAAGCTGCGAGAAGCCCCTTTTTGGTGAAGTCGGCGAAAATGACCAAGGCTACATGTCTGACATGGCTCCTCCTCGGGCGCGCTTGATGATGAGATGACTACTGTCTACTACCCGCCTAGTGCTAGATCACAATGGCTGGATCTGGGGCGGCCCACGGCCGATCAAGACTAAGGTCGTAAGATACTGTCTGCTTCTGTATTTTGCGCTCCTCTAAATCAAACAAACGTTTTGTTTTGATAGCTTTCAAGACCGCGAAACAGCGGTGTGCTGTTGTTGGTCTCTTGTTAGCTGACATACAAACACGGCACTTTACATGAGGCGGCTTTCACAATGTGCGCACTTGATATTGAAGAAACTTTTTGATTGTCCTGCTGCTAAGAACGCCTCCGCTTGAGAGGGAATTGACCGACGCCGTCGCGCCTTGGGTGCTAGTAACGCTAGGTACCTGATGAATCAAGTCTATTCCTGCGCCCAAATTATTAAAGACAAAGGAAAAGAATGTTGATCTTGCAACATTAGCAAGGCCAGGGATAGGTCCAACTATGCCGTCCTTGTTCGTAATGTGGGGGACACTCCTCGTCGAGGGTCGTGTCATTAGAGCTGCAAGCCAGCCACCTCGGAAGAGATGCTCTTCTGCTTCTTGTGGCTGTTGAAACCCTCCGTCTCGCCCGAAGCCTTACGCTTCTGCGAGACGGCATCCAGGGGGCTGCGCATCATGTCGCTTGACTGCCTCTTGTGACGACGTGCTGGTGTCAACGGAGCGGCGGCAGTGTCGAAGCGGTCCGACTTGATGCCACGGATGGTGGTGCTGTTCAGGGGGCCACTGAAGGCGATAGAGTCGTGCGTGGCACCGGTGCCCATGAGCTGAGCGTTGGCCTGGTGTTGGCGGAACGCGCCAACATTGCGGGAGTTGATGTGTGACAGATTGGCATCGCTGTATGCGGTCACGGGGCGACTGGGCGTCGTAGCATCTTGGCCATCCCCCTCTTCATCGGAGGAGTCCTCGCTGAGATTGATGTAGCTTTCGAATGCAAATCCGTCGCCCTCCTGGCCGTCTAGATCTGACGAAGCCTGATCATCCATGGCATTGTGCTCAGATTCCAGCTCCGAGACGGACGTAGGGAATAATTGCCCATACAATTGCAGATCGTTGTTGGCAGTGGCGTCGTTGCCTAGATCGAGCGGATACTGGCTGAAGTCCATGTTCATTTCGAGGGGCGAGTCTGGCAGCATGGGCTGCAGGTAGGGGTTGTCTGGAATTCGGCCCAGCTCGTGATGACGGTCAGGTGTGAAGATCATCATGCGCTTTGTCTCATGGTTGTACAAGGCAATTGGCTTCTTTCTGTATTTCTGAAGGTTGAAACGCGACGAAAGAGGCTCGCCCTTGCTGCGACGCGCGGGCTGCTCGTCATCGGAAGAATCATCGTTGGAATGGTCATGGAGAGCTGCGGCCGCGGCAGGAGCGCGCACTTCAAAATCCTCCTCTTCGGTTGTGGAGCCGTCGTCGTCGTAGTTGTATCCTTCAATGAACTCTTCGCTTTCGGGGATTGTCTCGCAGGTCGTTGGCTCAAAGGCAGGCTGCAACTCCTGTTGGGGTGTCCGGGGTGTGGCGTGCCTGTCTGCGACCCTCTGGAACATAGCCTCCTCGTATTGCTCATAGTCGAGGTCGGTGTAATCGGAGCCGCTGTTCTCTTCATCCTCGATACGGCGGCGGAAATTGCGGTCCAGCTCAGATTGAAGCACAAAGATGTCGGGGAAAAAGTCCTCATTCTCTCCGTCGTTGTCATCAGACGAGTCCTCTTCCTCCGAGGCCCAGTGGACCGACTTTTTGCGGATAGGCCACTTGAGCTCCTCATCCTCCTGTTGGATCTCTTCATGCTGGGCGGGGCTGAGGCCTTCCCAGCTTTCGTCACTGCTGGGGATCAAGCCAGCGCCTCCTTCGTCGTCGTCGTCTTCTTCCTCTGCCTCCTCCTCATCCTCGTCGTTGGAGTCGTCGTCGTCACCGTCGTTATCGGAACCGTCATCATCGAAAAGCGATCGAGTAGCGCCAGGGCTGGACGTGGTCTCGCCCACCATTGCACGCTCCTCGACCGCAGTCACGTCCTCCTCGTCGTCATCTTCGTCGTCGCTGATGTCGTCAACGGCCGAATAATTGTCGTCTGCAGACGATAGGGAGGAGGAGAAGTCAAAGGTCGAGGCGGAGACGGTAGAGGAGCGGCGTCGTCCCTTTTTGCCAATCTTGATGGCAGTGGTAGGGGGAGCCTTGCGGCTTTTGGGTGTCTTTGGGGAGGGCATTGTTGGTATTGCGTGTGGCGTGTAGCCTTAAATATGATCGTAGTGTTTGCTGATTGTTCTATTCACAGACCAAGCTGCAGCGCGAGAGGCAAGCTGGGTCTGTCTAACTCTGTCGTTTGGATTCACTGGTGAAATTGCTCGATGAACTGCTGGACTGCCGGCCCAGCGTACCTGGGCCGGCAGTGGGCGTTTACAGCTCAGCGAGGGCCGAAGGCATCTTGACTCGACAAAGTTGGGTAATTGGTATGTTCCTGCAGTTAGGGAGGGATGTGTCGACTTCGTTGTCTTTTGTAGGGTGTTTGGTTTGAGGAGGAGAAGCAGGGGAGAGACAGGAAGACGAGGCGGACGGAAGTTCTCTAAAAGATAACTTTTTTTGGTACAAGTGGAGATGCATTGGGGCGCTACAATTGGCGGGTTGCGATGACTCTAACACAGACCGCAGTGGACTGAACCTTTCTCCAGCGCTTGGATGTGGGGCAGCCCCCTAACGAAGCATGCTGATTGTGACTGTGAGGCAGGAGGGGTTGATCGTGCCTTCTGTTTCTTCTGTTGATGACTCCCATCTGGAGGTTTCTGGGATCATCATATGCAAAGTGCCGTGACTTGAGAGTCACCGCCTTTTCATGTGTGAGTTGATTGGCGGCCGGCATGCAGCTTCACCATGCACTGTCCTAGTCGAGAAGGATTTCGTGTTCAACCCTTGGGCGATGCAATGCCAGCACAAAGTATCGCGAGGGTTTGGCTAGGTCAGGCCATTTTATGTCCTCTTTCAATGCACCTTGACAGAGCAAACCTCAAGGCTCAACGAGATAATTTTGGGGATCGGGCGAGGCGAGCCTAGACGTCAACCAGGAGAGTCGAATGTCCCCTCTATGGGTCCGTCGTCGTAGCGGGGCATTTTCACTTTGATTGCAAGTATGACGAACGGCTGGCGGGTCTAACGTTCCGTCACTCGGTCGAGGCCGACGATCACCATTATTTCCATCATAGGTCGCGAGCGCGATGATGAGAATTCTATGCGCGTAGATAACCTTCGCTGTTATCTCAGAACACGTGTCTAGCCCAACCAGACTGACATAGCGGGACACAGCTCTGCAGACTTGATGCGAAAAAAAACTGTTCGAGGGATGGATGGAATTCAGGGTCCTGCGGCCCTGTGGAGATTACCCACCCTGGAGTTGCCTTTGTCGTGAAGATAATCAGCGCAACAATTTGTTGAACGTTTGAAGTGCGTAAATGAACAGCTGTCAGCGGAGTGGCCTATGATGAGCGGAAATGTCGAAACAATTCGTGTCGGGTTCCTAGTCCAGAATGCTTTGCCTAGCCCCTTTTTGCAGCATCAGGCTTATGGTATTTGCAACCTTGTTGACATGGAGTCCGTGCTCTCGCCTGAATTGCAAGCAAATGGAAAGTAGAAGCCGGGTGTCCTGTAATCTGCAATGTGTCTGATTGCTGTCCATCAAGAACTGGCGCACACTGTTCTAAGCATCGAGCCCTTGAAGTGAACATAGCTAGGAAGATGTCAGTAGGTTGATAATCATAGATGTGCGGCGCGCCTGTGTTGTCACGCACTTGTTAAGTAAAAAGCGGGGGCACCAGTGCGTAAAGACAGCAGATACCTGGCTGTATGTCGTGCATTCGCAACTCGCGATATCTTGTCGTGGAAGCCAGGCCGCATGTTGCATCAGCCTATCTCAAGCCAAGCTGAGGCGCGTTAAGTGGAGACGCGACGTGGTTGCCCTGCCAGCGCGGACAATATTGGAAATCCCCGAGTAAACAGGGGTGTTCTTCGATCAAATGCAGACCCATTTGGTATTTAGGCACGTCCTTACCTTAGCGACAGGCTACAGCATCAAGACAGCCGCCAAATCATCGAAATGGAGTCAAGAACCTCGCACAACCTCTTCGAGGTCTACCTTCGATTACGACCCTCCCCACCTGGTGCGCCCGCCTCCGAGCGCATCCTGACTGTCGAAGCACCAGAAACGAAAGAGGAGGAAGCCCAGCGCGAGGCCACTGGGGTGACACACATCACACTGAACCCGCCGACTGATCGCAGACGCGCCATCGAGAAGTTCGCTTTTACGCGTGTCTTTGAACCTGACGCCGGTCAGCTCGATGTCTTCCATTCTGCCGGAGTTGTTCCCATGGTTGAGGGCGTGTTGGCACGCGATGGAGGCGATGGCACAGACGCGATGATTGCCACACTGGGCGTCACAGGCTCAGGGAAAACGCACACAATGCTCGGATCCAAGACCCAGCGCGGTTTGACGCAGCTCACTCTCGACGTCCTCTTCCGGTCAATCGGCCTCAACATGCTCGAAGGTCTCGACCTGGCCTCTGCCGCCGACTCACTTCAAGCAAGCGACCCATCCGAAGCCACACTGATAACGGCTCCCAACTTCATTGATGCCGTTTGCGGCGATGCGCCGGGGTCTCGCTCTCGCGCCGCGACACCCATGATTGTACGACTTCCCTGCAGTTTCCCCGAGTCTCCAACAACAAGCCCCAAGCATCCACGAGAGCGATAGTCTCGCTTTCGGAATGACAACCTACCTCCTGCCATCCATTCGTCCCAGCGGGCGAATATTCAACAACCCAAGCCCTTTATGGCCCTTACCAACGCATCCCGTGTCAAGAATGTTGCTAAAATAGAACCAAAGGGCGAGTCACACAATCACCTGTCGCCAGGTCCTGCGAGACGAAACATACAACGACCTTCTGCCCTGCCGCAGACGCCCGATGTCAGCAACATCGATCTGTGCTGCGATGCTTCGGCTGAGTACGCGGTTGTCGTGTCCATGTACGAAGTCCACAACGATCGCATCTACGACCTTCTGTCGCCTCCTTCACGGAACGCCACATCCAAAGACATTCGTCGCCGCCCGCTGCTATTCAAATCCACCGAAATGTCACCCGATCGCAAAGTTGTCGCCGGCCTGCGAAAAGTCATTTGCACGAGTTTCAGAGAGGCGATCATGGTTCTGGAGGCTGGCCTTCAAGAACGCCGAGTTGCCGGTACAGGCAGCAACAGTACGTCGTCGCGCAGTCACGGATTCTTCTGTTTTGAAGTGAAGAAAAGAACGCATAGCAGGCGACCTGGTCCCTGGGGCGGCAGCAAGCTGACGATTGTCGACTTGGCTGGCAGCGAGCGTGCTCGCGACGCTAAAACAGCTGGTGCTACGCTGGTCGAAGCTGGCAAGATCAACGAGAGTCTCATGTATCTGGGCCAATGTCTGCAAACGCAGAGCGAGGTCGGAACGTCCAGCAAGCCCAACATTGTTCCTTACAGACAATGTAAGCTTACAGAGCTGCTCTTCTCCAACTCCTTCCCCTCCTCATCCTCTTCTTCACAGCCTCAGGGTCCCCGACGCAACCCACAAAGGGGAGTCATGATTGTCACAGCCGATCCTCTGGGCGACTTCAATGCTACATCACAGATCCTTCGCTACAGTGCTCTGGCGCGGGAGGTAACAGTGCCTCGCATCCCATCAATCACGGCAACTATTCTCGCCAATGCTCCCCCCATGGCAGGGAGGCCGCCTAGCCCAGTCCAGACACATCATCCTCGCCCTTTCATGCCTCCTGGCAGCTCTGGCTCGTATCGGGTCGCTTCATCTGACGAGAGAGCGACTATGGAATTGGCTGCTCTAGAGATAGCGCGCCTGAGCGACGACATTGATCACTTGCGCGAAGAGGTGGATATCCAGACTGAGGCAAGAATGACGGCGGAGGCCCATCTTATGTCGATGGAAGACCGCATGTTGGATCTCGAGGCTTCCATAAGGGACGACTGTGCGACAGAGTTCGAGGAAAGGCTTGCGATTGAGCTGGCCAGGTTCAAGTCCTCACTTTTGCTGGAGCAAGAGCGCAACGATGAGCACTGGGATCGTAAAGTGGATGTGTTGGAGCGCGGACTTGGCTCCGACGAGGCGGATGACAAGGAGAACGTGCTTGTCGAGAACCTCGAGGAAGAAGTGGAGCGATTGCGTCGAGAGAACGTGATCCTCAAGCGCGAGCTGGCGAGTAGGAGCCCCAGCAAGCGCCGACCGCTCGAAGAGCGAGGCGACTGCGCTTCATCGCCGCAGGGCTCGTCGACAAAGGGCGAGGGTGTGGCTCAGTTGGGCCGCAAAATGGAGAAGATGCATCTCAGCAACAGCAACTCGCGGACACCGAATGGCGCGAGTAGCGGCAGCCCAAAGAAGTTGCGCAGGCTGGGCAACCGGAAATGGGAGCACGAAGAAGATGCGGATTTGGAGTGTTGATCTTGGTATAGATACCCGGTTCTTTCGTAATGCACTTTGGCTTCTAGCGGACAATGAATTGATTTGACTCGATCGTGAAGCTACTTGGGACATCGCTCGTTGTGTGAATGACACAGGCTATTTGTTCCAGTCCCTGTGAGCTCGGAGCACCATAACAAACAAACCCCCTGGACTCCACCATTTCCCTGAGATACGGGTCGGTTGTTTTTGATTCTTGCACCAACATCACCAGTCACCACGCGTTTGCCCACATCAATGATCACCATGTTTGCTCTGCCGCGACTCGTGACCACCCATTCAGGCCCTCAAGGATACATAGAACACCTTTGCACAGCTCGCACGGCCCATAAGAGGTGAGTGGTGTGTTAGATGCGCGTATTCTTATTGACTCTTCGACTCTACAAACTATTGCATATTCTACACGCATATATTGACTGTTCGGCTCTATCACTTATTACTTATTATACACGGACATATTGACTGTTCGGCTTAATAACTTATTACTTATTTTACACGCATGTATTGCCTCTTCGGCTTAATAACTTATTACTTATTTTACACGCATGTATTGCCTCTTCGGCTCTATCATTTATTCTGTATTCTATACGGATATATTGACTCTTCGACTCTATGACCTATTGCGTATTCTATACGTATATATTTACTCTGTAGCTCTATAACTTATTGCTTATTCTACACGTATGTATTGACTCTTCGGCTCTATGACTTATTACCTATTCTACACGCATATATTAAGTCTTCGGCTCTGTGATTTATTGACTCGTTAAACTTACTACGTGGAGACACAAAGCTATGTAGAAGTTTCCTAATACACCTTATATATTCCTCACGAATACAACAATTTGAGGAGGCGATAACCGGGACATGGGCAGGGGTTATTAGGGAGTTCTAGTGGTATTTCTGTTTTTCGATTAGGATCTTTGGGCGCATCACTGCTCATAATACACGAACCTAGCTAATAACAAGCACAAGATATCCCCCAGGGGGATTCCACAGCATCTTCGAGTGGACTCGGCGGAGACAATGTGCCCATGCTCTCTCATCCGACGCCAACGTTCGGTTATAAAGTCAAACCCTGTCGATGTAGCCCACAAGCAAATCTTCTTGCTCAGCAGAGACTCGACTTGGTCGGCTCGCACGCGCCATTGGACTTATCGCAGCCATTGTAGCCCTGGCACTGGACCTTGGGGTAGCAGTTGTTCGAGTATGTAGCCTGTACGTCCCAACATGTTAGTCCAATCGGCTCAAAACAATTCATGCGCGAGCAGTTTTCCACATACCTTGTCACCCAAGTTGAGGTTGATCCCCATCAGCTCACCGCCATTGACAGCAGTGGTGCCCTCCATGTGCACGGTCCGCCTGCAGTTGCCCGAGCAGTTGCCGCACGAGCGGTAGACCTTGCCGTAGTCGTTGGCGTAGAAGTTGATAATATTGACGTGACCGCAGCCGTTGTGCTGGATGACCTTGTCCGCAGCTTTGAAGGCACCGCCGCCAATAATGTTGGCGGTGCCGCTGCCCTTGATGCTGATCGCATCCTCGCAGACATCCTCGAACCAGACGAATTCGAGGTTGCATGAGCCCTTGCAGTAGACGCCCTCCCTCTGGTTTTTGCCAATGATGACGTTACGAAGGGTGGCGCCGTCCTCGAGAACAAAGACAGTGTCAGCCTCGCCTAATCGTGTCAGTCTGTTGTGAGGCTTGGTCACAGTACATTTCGGGTTCACTCACCTCCCTCGCTCTGGCCAGTGCAACTCTGGCCACGGTCATACTTGACCCAGCCAGCATCAAACACTTCACCCTTCTTAAGGTAGCGGGGTGAGCTCAAGGTCTTGGTGCCGGTGTGCTTGGGCAGACCGCCGGTGTAGCCCAGGCAAGCCATGGTTGCCGGCACGGCGGCAAGCAGAGAGAGGATGCTGTTGACCTTCATTCTGGATGGATTGATCGGGTGCGAGAATGTTGAGAAGACTTGATCAGGATTGTTGACTTGATCGAGAGATGCATTTCTTCAGCGCGGGACTGCCCTCAACTTATATGCAGATATTACCATTAGAGTTGGAATTAGTGTTGTATGCACGACCGCCAAGCATCTGGGGATGGCATCTACTCGCGACATGATTCGAAATTGCCGACGGATAGTCTAATAACCTAATCGAGGGAGGAACTCCCTCTTCCGGTCTTGGAACCCGCATCTGGTTCGGCGGAAACAACGCAATCTGTTTTCCAGTGCTTGGCCGCTTTCTGGCTGGGGGTTCCATCGCGCTTCGATCCCCCGTCGCGAGGCCAAGAGCCCAGGAGTCAGGACACGATTGGCGCGGCATTGGAGGCTGTCGCGACAATGGCTTGGCTCTTGTTCTAGACTCTCGGCAATGTGGGAGACAATCCGACCTTGAAACGCGGGATGGCACTCTTAATTTGAGACGGGCGCATGATCCCCAGGTTTCCACAAATAACCACCATACTTTGCTTTGCGCAGGGTGGCAAGCGTCGAGCCATGCAACCATAGCATTGGATGGAAGCACATTGTTCGCAGAGACGTAGAAATCGCTTGGTGGATTAAATGTACAGAGCATGCGACGCAGCATGGCCTTTCGTCAGATGGTGTGTGTAGGCCTGGTGATGTCCTCCTTTGGGCGTGGTACTACCCCCATGACTAGCAGAGATGGCATGTGGTCGACGGAGAGGCGCAACGAGGCCTGTCCATAGTCGCGAGCTGCCTATTACACCATGTTAATCAACATTACCCCTCGCGAGAGAAGCATCAAGCCGCAAGGCACGGATGGCGATGCCTTCACCGGGAAGAAAATTGCACCCCGCCAGGATCAACACCAGCGTTGTGACACTAGGAGCCCAGCGCCAGAGACCCAGAGTACTGTGTTTTCCCGGCACGTGTAAAGCGTTCCCAATGACTGTCTGGGTCTTGTCGGAGCAGAACTTGCGCGACGGTTTGTCAGGCTGAGTGAACGATAGGTATTGCCATCTCCGGCCCACTGAGTCTGCTTATCTACCTGAGACTCTGAGTACCTAATCAATCCTTCACCCTTGGATTTCTACCAGGCACCCATGTTCGTCTGGCCATACTCCGTACGTAGTATTTACACGTGACCCTGGCCGCATATGTGGAGACCAAGCATGTTGTCAGATCGTAACAAAGGGGCTTCAACACGTCCACAACCGCTCTGTGTTTCTGCGCGCTCCTTGCGTGCTGACAATTGTCGAAGCATTTCGACCCTGCCATGTTCTACGTTATGTGTGATTGTTACTGAGCTAAAAGACAGGCAACCGCTTGCGATCGTCATGCGGTCTCTTAACGGCTGTGTGCCGTTTCTATCAATGTTTCAAAGACGTCTACTGCGCCCCCTCTTCCTTTTCGTTTCTACCATCGTGGTAGTTGCCCTATGCATTGTCTCTTTCATTCGACTACCATACGAAACTAGGGCCTACGTCTTCAAACAGGGTCCAATCACATCATGCACCTTCGAGAAGGACGTGATCGCACCCGCGACATGCTTCGGCGTCCTTGACTCCGACACGAAGATACCTAACATTGTCCACCTCGTATACATACTCAAGGACCCCATTCAAGGCGACTTCCCACTACAGTTCAGCCAATTCTTGTCGATATACGCGCTGTCGAAGAGATGGCAGCCCGATGCGATCTACCTACACACGAATGCAGAAGCTGATGGCGGGTCGGTCGAGCGCGCAAGAAATGGCACGTCGGGAAAATGGCCGAAATTGTTCTTCGAAACCCCTGGCCTACATATCAACACCATCGAAGCATAATCGCACGCGAAGAATGGCAAACATATCAAGATGTTAGAACACAAGTCCGACTTCGCCCGGGTGAAAGCGGTCCATGACTTTGGCGGTATCTACGTTGACCTCGATGTACATGCCCTCCAGGATATCAATCCTGTCCATGAGGCTGGTTATAGAGCCGTTGTAGGACGTCAGCTAGGCGGTGACCTGCAAAGTGGATCGTTCATGTCGGAGAAGGGTGGGAGGCTGGTCAAGGAATGGATGGAACGCATGCACGAGGTATACGATGGCAGATGGATTACGCACAGCAACAAGTTGCTGACCACCGTTGGGGAGGAACTCGTCAACACAGGGCCTTGCGAGGTGCTCATCATGGGAAGAGATGCGTGGGCACCCGGCGGATGGGTCCGCGACGATACGGAGAGGCTGTACGGCGAGCATGACGATGTCGAGTCCAACATAGCCGGCCTCAAACAGGGCGACTCGCTGCCCGAGCATGACGACATGGACGGATACGACCGCCCAGAATGGGCATTCGACTACTCATGTACGTATCTGCTGCATGCGTTCTCTCTCGAGAAGCCAAGAGATGGCGTGAAGCACAACAGGATCACACCAAAGTACGTCCTAGAGAGGAGAAGTAACTTTGGGAGGGCTGTATACTCCATAGCAAAAGAATTATACGACAAGGGGATCATAACGATAGATGAGACTTTGTAGGCGTACTCAATTTGAAAGCACTCTGGTATTTCTTGATGTGCGTCGTTTGTGTAGTAAAGTCTTAGATTGTTATAATAGTATTCCTACGTGAAGGACTAGGCGCCTGGCGTAGCCTGGCGAAGCGCACGTGTCACGGACTATGTGGGGAGTGGATTTCACTCGTTCTCTCACTGCGGCACTGCTCACGCAATTCACCGATCTTCACTTTTCTCCTTTTGCAAACACGCGACCTTTTGGCGAGCACACACAACGCAACAACGCTTGCAAATCTTCCGATTGCAAAAGATCCAGTCTCTTTTGAGTTGAAACACTCAACCTCTCGTTTCGAGATTTTCTCTTTCGGCACAACGTGCAACGGGTTGTCTGTGTCAATAAACACACGCAGGATCGCGGATCAACATCACCCTTGCCTCACCTTACCATCACCACAACAGCCCACAGTCACAGCCTCAATAACAGCAGAAGAAAATGGGTGACATGTGTACGCTGGTGAGCCATATTCAGAGCACAGTGGGTTTCCCTTTTGGCCTGTTTGATGAAAATGCTCTACTCCGCGGAGCATAGCTCGCCAAAGGCGAAACTCACCACGAGAGCTAGCAGCGTTCAATGCGGGAAGAGACTTGGAGGAGTATGAGTCCGAAGAACATCTCCAAGAGATACCAACAGGTCCTCGACGACAGGGACTCGCCAAGACAATTCCATTGTCTACCCAAGACGAAGAATTTATCTGCCGAATGGAACGAGGACGACTCACAGAAAGAACCGGCCTCGAACATGGAACTTGCACCGTTCTTCATTCTCCACCCCTCTCTCTCAAATAATGCAGTACGAGAGCTGAACAAGCAGCTGGCCGAGTCGACGTACAAGAACACAGACGGCAAGGACCAACCGCGGTACCAACCGGTGTATTACCCCAGTGGCGCCCTGGACGTGTTCGAGTTTAGGCACGACCGTCCACCTGATGAGAGGACACTGGAGGACTACCAGTTCAACAGGGTTGTGTTGGATGGAGACGCTTCCTTCCCAGACCTGTGGACAAGCCCCATCTCTACATGCTCAACTGCATTGCATCCGCAATCAATACCTGTAGCCTGGGTTCACTCAATATCTCGTGAACGAGATTAGGACAGGGGCGAAGCACTATTTCACACGGCCAGGAGTCAAAAACACCAAGAGCTTGGCCGATCATGGCCTGGCGTCTACGTTGAAGCCCGAAGTGCCGTGGTGGGCATCATACCTACTGGCCGTGTGGTTTGAGCCTGCAAAATTGCAAGGCTACTCTACTGCTTACAGGACCATTTCGCACAGCTAATTCGTCTGCAAAGAATTTGGTCCCTCTCGTGTTGGAACCACAATACGCGAAATACCGCGACGCTCGAAGCGTCACCTGCTAAGACGTTAAGCCGGAGTCTATTCTTGGCTATCTTCTGACTTGGCGACGTTCAGCCATTGTCCAGCAGATGGCAGCTTCGCGGCACTGCCCGGTCGGACAGCCGCAAAAACCAATTCATGCCATCCTTCGAGATGATTCTCTGGCACATCCTCAACGGCATCTACAAGCAGTACAACGACGAGGAGACGCTCCAGATCCCATCCCCCGTCAAGCCAACAAACTCTCGGGCAATATCGACACCTGGGGGGTCCGAAGAAGCCGCGAATCAGAAGGATTGGAACTCATCGGTCATCCTGGCCCTGGAAGCCTCCTGGGAGTACATGAAGAAGCTCGCGGCGGAGTTGAAGAAGCGCGACGTGGACTTCATAGGGATTGTGCAAGAAAGAATACTGTTCGCATTCGGCGAGACTGTCCCAGGATCACTATGGGAGAAGAAACCACGCGCGGTCGCTCCAAGTGGAAAAGGTGGTCAAGTTCAAACGGGAAAGACACCACGCGGACCCGTAGCCATCCTGCGGTTACTACTGAACGAAAGCCGCAGAAGACAAACACATCCACAGGCAGCACGGACAACGCACGGACAACGACTACGTCTAAATCAACACCGACAAGTGACCGCCAACGCGGCGATTCCTCCCCGCGGAACACAGTTCCAAAGGGAAATCGCTTGCAAATGCCGACAACTCAATTGCAGGAAACTCTGGCTCTTCAGGCAGCCGTGGCGAGGACTCCAACAAATTCCAAGGTGGTAACTCCGCAGGGTCGTCCGAAGACTCTCGCAAACACGGCCACAAAAGCGCCCCTTAAGTCCGCAATGGCATCCACCAAGTCTCCAGCAAATTTTAACAGCACGAAAACCTCCGCAGAGACCCTACCAAGACTCATATTGTTGTGTATGTGTGCTGAGTACCCACATTCAGAGCACAGTGGATTTCCCTTTTGGCCTGTTTGATACATATGGATGCTGTTATGAATCGGTGATCTCTGAGCCGACCCTGTCATATCGAGGGCGCATCTTCTCATAGAGCTGTATAGTTTATATATACAATTCTCACTCACAATACTTTGCCACTGTACATACCCATACCCCCGGCCAGGAAGAGGGCCCTGCGTGTTGCTGTGGTGTATTGAGGCTAAATCACCGCAGTTATTGCGGTCCTCTTGAATGTCCTCTTGAATGTCCTCTTGAATGTCCTCTTGAATGTCCTCTTGAATGTCCTCTTGAATGTCCTCTTGAATGTCCTCTTGAATGCTCTCGAGTGCGGCCATTTGTATCTAGCAGGCCTCTTGTTAGTAGGACTTTGACACATAACTTATGCACGCTGAAAAATGACGGAACAAGGAAATGCGCCCTCGATATTACAAGCTGAATCTCTGAAGCAGAGGGCAATCATCCCTGGCATCCCCAAGTCCTGCGACGACAGAACCACCCAGAGCCGATGTTTGGCAAGGGAGCTGCAACTCATCAGTGGGACCCCACGAGTCTGGCAAAGAAGATCAACAAAACCGAGCTTCCCGATACTACCGCCGAAACCCGCAGATGCCCAGGCTTTCCTAATACCGGCGCCTTATTCTGGTTCACGATAAAGGGCAACGAGCAAGGGGAGCTGGACATCGCCAAGTCCGCCACCACATTTTCCGTAGTGAATGGTAGGATGATGTAAGATAGGAACAAGCGTGGAGAACTGCAAGGCCAGGTGGAAAATCAGCGCAAAGACCTTGAGTACTCTCAGCAGGCAATGGAAGAGCCTGTGAAGAGGAAGGAGGCTATGCAGGCACGTATTCAGAGACTGGAAAGCACAGCAAAGAGGTCCAGGAGGAAATTGACTCTCTGTGAAAGATGGTTTGGCAGTACAGGAAGCGTTATGGCAAAATGGACAACACCGTGGCCCCCGCATCGCCTCGAAGGATGCAGTGCCCTTCGCCATGGAGAATTCCGCAACAAAAGAAATATCGAGTCCACATGCTTCGGTCACCTACACTGTAAAGAATGTTCCCGACTTCCCTGATGTTCCCAACATCAGTCATTGCTTAGATCAATGAAATCTCTCACTCTTCTTCCCACAACAGCTCCTACTTATCCTTTCGGAACCTCTTCCTCTGAGGGGCAGACGAGTCTCCTTCTGTGTCGCTCAAAGGGCGCGGAGTGCGCTGCGAAGCACCACGAGAAGCAACGTGGCTAGCTATTTCCTGAATGTGGTTTGGAATGCTCCCTCGGGATTCATTTGTGTGAGAACGATATGGGTTCTTGCTAGCCCTGGCTGACGGACGCCAAATCGGCAGCAGATCGCCCAGATCACCTTCTTCATAGATGTCCTCGTCATCAGAATCGTGCGCGGGGGCCTTGTGACCAGAATTCCTGCCAGTGAATACCTTCTTGGCATTGAAAGCCTTGCGGGTAGGGGCCTCGCTTTCGAATGGCTGGGCCGAGGCCTTCGTGGATCTCTTGGCCTGCTCGACGCTGCCTTGGGCTTCCGTGATCAACCGCCCAATTTTCGTGCAGAGAGAATTGAATTCTGCCGTGGATTTGGAGTAATCGTTCTCGTTGCATTTCTCCCTCCGTCTAGATTCATCGAGCTTCTTCCTCAAGATCGCTTTGTCGTTCCGCAGGATTTCAATCTCTTTCTCCAGCTTCTTCACCTGCCGTTCATGCTGGTCTCGTTCAGTGTCCAGGTAATCCATCCCGCCCGCAAGCGTAGCCAATCTAGACGCTGTCTTCTCGATGTTCAAGCCATGTTCGTTATCTCCTCGGATTGCAAAGTAGAACAGGGAGCCGGGATTCTCGAACTGAGGACATGTGCGAATTCTCTGTGTTAAATCGGGAAGCTCGGCTGCATTCATACCCCCCTTGCCAGGCGTTGAATGCGGTCGTTCCAGTTGGCAGCCGGGGCGGTCTCACCGAAGGGGTCCATATCATTGGGAAGAAACTCTTCGATATTCTCCTCCCTGGTCAGCTCCCTTCCTCGGGTATCAACACCTAGGGCAAAGCGAAACTCCGTCTTGAGACACTCCTCTAGGTCTATGTCTTGCTTTTGGAGCTCAGACGAGAGCTTCGTGATGTAGTCTTGGTAGTACTCCACGGCGGCTTTAGCGTTCTGACCCCATCCTACGTCGTCTTCAGTCCCCCGTGGTGTCGATAGTGGCAAAACGTGCTGTGGCTTGAATGGAGGATGGATATTCAGGGGGGCGATGTCGGTGTTCTTCTTCCAGATGATATTGAGGATGTCCCAGACGATCATGTGGAACGAGGGCATCGTATGGAATTCGAAAGACCATCCGTAGCGATCCTGAATTGTCTTGGTGTGCATTCTGCTGTTGCGGAATGTAGCAGGACCGAACCAAGTAGCGAGCAAGTATGCTGCCCACCATGGTAGCTCACATCTCCACGCCACCACAATGCCGTGGTCCGCGATGCACTTGGTGTTCTTGTATCCAGGTGCGGTGAAAGAAGACTTTACTTGCAGCCCAATCTCGTCAACCAGAGCTTGTGGAAAGCCCAAGCTATTCACCACCGTCGCAAGGGCGTTGAGCATGTACAAGTGAGGTTTGTCCACCGGGTGCGGATATGGAGCATCTCCATCCAAGATGACCCTCCGGAAAACATATCCCTGAAGCGCTTTCTCGTCTGGCGGCCGATCATGACGGAACTCGAACCGATAGCCACCAAGATAATACACCGGTTGGTGTCTCTGTCTGGAGCCGCCCCGCGAATTCTCGTAAGTAGATGGAATCAAGTCATTCCAGTCCTGGACGTTCTTTGAACCAGGTGGGTGAAGCACACCCTTTGGAGCCAGTTGCATACCGCTCGCATATTCAATCTCGTCTCCCGGAAGCAGTCGCTGCGGGTTTCTTGGAGATCTCAGGTTCGGACAGCCAGCCTCAGACTCGTTGATTCGCGGTTCCCCCCTAGGACTGGGTGGGCCAGAAGGCGCGAATTCTGAGCCCGAGGGGGTGTCGTTTTCCGTGCTGTACTCGACACCTAGAGCGTGTCCGGGTGCGAGCCGGTTGAGCATCTCGATTTCGTCCTCCATAGGTTTCAAGTTACTCCTCTCGTGGGCCCTAGTGCCTCTCTCCAAATACACTTAGTTGCGTCGAGGCCAAGGTTATGGTGTATCGTTCACGGGGTGTTCCTAAAGATAGAGGTCAGTATATATGTTCTTCAGTGTGTTGTTATTTAACAGAAGTAACGCATCCATTCTCGAACAAAATTGAGCGTGCAAGAACTCCCAAGGATCCGTAAGTCGCGGGCGCGCGCAAGGGCTAAATGGACCTGGGGAATGGGGAATGGGTCGAACGATGTAGTTGAATGGGAAGATGAAGATGAAATGGAGGAATCCTTACTCTGTGTGGTGCTTGACTTATTGCTAACCAAACTAGTGACTGGTGAGTTTTGTGGAAGCCATAAAAATAGAAGGGAAACTTTTATCACGGCAAACAAAAGTAAGGATATAGTGAGTAAACAAGATGAACTCATGGCTCACAGCGTGAATTTATTTCAACGCACTGTAAGTTAAGTGTGAGTCTACACACAATACACAGGGCGCAGTTAGTCCAGCGCACTGTATGCCGATGCTGTGACTCGCGAGTGTCCGATTCTTGGTCTGATGTTTCGGCACCGCTTCCATGGAAGCCTTAAGAATCTTGTCCGTAAACTTACTTCTGTTTTGATCCCTGTCTCAATATGGGCTGGGCGTCCAGCTCATCCATGATAGCCCCAGGCATGACTGTGTCTGCGACTCTGCGTCAACCCCTGAAGCTGGTGCACACCTCAGGTAACAGTAGATATCAATATCTGAGTAAAAAGGGGAGGTTCACATACCGCACCTCATTATTCTCGCTCTGTCCAGGCCTTTTTGACAACACTCGCCGAAGAGTCAATATACATGTAGCCTGTAAGACTAGGTCTATGTATACTCGTCGCCCTCCAGTCCGTACTCCTCATCCATACCAGGATCATCTTCATCAAACCCGCCCTCGTACTCCCTGCCGCCGCCAAACTCTTCCCCGTCGTAGTCAGCCGTCTCGTCGTACTCTGGGTACTCCTCGTCCTCCGCTTCCGGCTCCTCGTTCTCGGCCTGATCAGCCACCGGCTCGAGTGGTTCACCGAGCACGCTGCCCGCCACGCTGGTCTTGCGACTCGTGGCCTCGGAACCAAGCCCACCATCAGGTCCTGAATCGAACATACTCCGGATGGCATCGTAGTTGATCCTCTTGCTCCAAGCTCTGTCTTTAGCGACGCCAATCGCAGCCTCTGCGGCAGAGCTGGCTGGGCTTGTTTGGCCCTCGCCCATGCGCTTCTGCTTCTTGCGTTTTCGTGTTTGCTTGGGCTTGTCTGCTTCAACCTTTCTCCGGAACACCTTCTCCTGGTGCTGTCGCAGCCATTCCTTGTTCTGGTTGACCCAGATGGTCTCCTTGATGCGTGCTTCTTCGGGTGACAAGAGACAATTCATGACCTCGGGGTCATTGGCGAACTCGTCCTCCTGTACTTCGGCGGACATGCTGATCTCTTTCAGGGGACGCTGCTGCAGAGCCCAATGAGAATGCATCCGTGCCCGCTGCTCGGCAGGGTTATACACCAGAGCGTGTTGTTGTGTTAATGGGTCGTTGAAGATCTCTTCAATCTGGTCCTCCAGCTCTTGCTCGTCTTCTTCCCACTCCTCGTTGATCGGCAGCTGAGACTTCTTCTTACGCCCATCTGCCTGCTCCTGCTCGTCCATTTCGTCACCAAACTCCTGAACCAAATTCTCAATCTCCTTCTCGGCCGCCGCATCTTTCTGTTCGTCTCGTGGTATCTCTGACGGCTTGAAGGGCACAACAAAGCCGTCAGCGTCGCGACGGTACTCAACCGCTGGTGCTTTCGACATGTCTGCACCTCCAGCGACGCTCTCTCTTCGTCGAAAGGGGCCCTCTTCGCCAGCTGGTCGCTTTCTTTTCAGTCCTTTCTCCTCCAGCAACCTTTGGTGCTCCTCAGTTCGGCGGTAGAAACTTGGAGGGTCATGTGCGCTTTCCAGAAAATCCTGCTTCAAAAAGTCCTCCACCGTCATTTCACTCGACTCCGTGACCTTGAACTCGGAAAGGCGATTCTGAATCGTATGGTTGGTCACTTTGACAATGTAGACCACCTCGCGCACAGTTCGTCGGAAATTGTGCATTCGTGCTGCCATGAGTAGACAGGCGCCGCAAATACCAGAAGGTCGTCGGCCCATGACCATCCAATCTCGACTCATTCTCTTGACCAGTCGTACTGCATCCTCGGCGACTTTGGCTGTGTCTTGGTGGAATTCCATCTTGGTCGCGAACCGCCAGATCAGGTCCTCGGGATACACCGGAATCATGCCGTCGTTTCCAATTGGCACAACCTCATTCAGCTTCTTGAAGATGCGCCCAAGCTTGAAGACGTTCATTTGCACCAGATCCGCCAAGTCAATCAACATGAGCTTGCAAGGTGGTTCTGCACGGCACGCAGCATAGAGACAAACTGCCGCCACACTCATGATTGTCCGGCCCTGCACAAAGTTTGCACTCGAGGCGAGCTTGAAAACTTGTGTCCCTGATGTGACCAGACTTTCGCTCACATTGAGCTGCTGCGCGTATCCCTGCATGAGACCCCTGGCTTCACGAATGCTCTTCTCTCGATCCTCCGTTCCTCCCACGCGTCGAAAAGCCGGGCCCGAACTACGGACACCAGCCTGATCCGCGCCTATGAAGCTTCCTTGCACCATGGCCGCGCCACTGCTCGTCTCTCCGAACTGGACTTCCGCCACAATGTTGGACTCGTCTGCGATACGACCACATGTTCGACAGGTGCCGTCCACGACGTTGGGTTTTGGACACGCCTTGTTGGGACATTGTTGTCTGGACGAGCTCACCAAAGGAGCCGCTGCTGCAGGTTTGGTGGATGGTGCGAATGACACGGAGGCATTGCGCGAGGACGCTTGCGCGCTGCGCTCACGCAACGCGCGCGCAGGATTGTGCGGCCGTGCACCAGCGAATCGAGGTTTTGGCCCATCTTTGCTAGCACTTGGCTTTCGTAATGAAGACATGATGGCGCGTTGCGACGCGGCTGAATGAGGATGGCGATGGATGAGAGGCCTATACTGGCGACGCGACAAAGAGTGACGGATTTTTTTGGTGGGGCGCAAAGGCTCTCGTGGTCGAGCGGACCTAAGGCGGGTGGGTGGCGCAAAGCTCTGAGTCACCGGGAAAGCAGCGCATTCGAATCCCACACAGAGACCTCGTCGCTGGTTTTTTGAAGCTTTGCGACTAGCCTCTGAAGCTTTCAAGAGGACAAAAATAATGCTGCAAGTCCCTAGGGGGGTTTAGGTTGCCTCGTGACGGCAATTGCTCCGACTTTGAGATTGGCTTTGCTCCACCACTTCGCACCCGGGTGGACTCAAGATTTTGCCGGACCTTTCCCGGAAAAGTCCCGTGATCTCCATCATGAATCCACATGACGGCCCGACGAACGATTCCTAATCCAGTAACACTTCCAACTGAACGGGTTGAAAGCTGAATCGCGAGACTCTCTTCACGTTAATAGACAACTGCATTCTGCACTCCTTGGGTGAGGCTTCATTTCGTGTGGATCCTGAATTTATCGATTTGTAATTTTCCAGGCCATAGAACAGTCTGGGGCCCCGCTGTCGACGTAGCCTAAGCTGTAGACCGAGTATAAAGTGCAGGCGGGATCCCCTCACGAACCGATGCTCTCACGATAGCCAACTCCCAGTACGCACTGCACGCAATTCAATCGCTCGCCGATATTCCTTAATCGATCATGTCCACCAAGGCTCCCTTCAACCTTCGCGCAGCACCGTCGACTGACCTTTGGCGCATTCCCCCTTCTACAGACCGCAAGAATGGCAAGTCTGCGCCGCAACCGCTAGCCAGGCCCCTCACTAACACCAATACGCAGCTCCCAGCCTCATCCATGCCTCCAACGCCCTGACGTCTCTCAAATCTGCCACAATCTCATTCAAGGCATCATATATCCATCAATTCGACCAAGCAGGCCTCATTGTTCGCCTCACACATCCGTCACACCCCTTGCCCAAGTGGATCAAGACCGGAATCGAGTATTTCGATGGTGAGCCCCGCATCAGTGTCGTCTGTTGCGATAACTACTCGGACTGGTCTGTCGCGTCCCTTCCTGCCAGCATCTCTGATGCCGTCACCAAGGGCGAACAGGAAATCACAATCCGGCTAGAGGTCAAGGAAACCACCGTATGGATCTACCGGGTTGGCGAGGACGGCAAGGACGTGCCTCTGAGGGAGATCGCCTGGCTCTTTGCCGACGGAGGCAAAGGTTGGACAGCGGAGATTGGTGCTTGCGTTGCTAGGCCGGCTGAGGAGCCTAAGGATGAGTTTGAAGCTACGTTCACCAAGCTTGACGTACAGTGGAAGTAGACATTCACGCAGTATGCACGAAAGCTGAGGCGTCAATTTCCATTACCTCGACCCTGACGGCATGGGATGTGACCATATCCAGGGAGGATCGCATCCAGCGAACCTTGTTTTTTCATTTTTCTTTCGTGCATGCCCACCATGCAGGTCCCGTACATTCCACACTCTTTCCCACTTGTATCTCGTAACATTGACAAAGGAGAGAAAACAACAACAGTGTGTGGAGTGGTAGCAATCTTTACAACAAAAGATGCAGAATGACGGGACGTCCTCATCCAGTGAGGAAACCTCGCATGTACAAAAACCAGTCCCACGACAGGACTGGAAAATCATGCGAGGGTGCCGAGCAGAGCCTCCAGGCGAGCGGTGGCTCGTGGGTATCAATTTGGGAGGTCCCTGAGTGAAGTTAACAACAAGTCGACATTCCAATCTGCCAATCCTGTGTGTCGTGAATCGACCAGCGAAGACAAGTCCAAGCAACACCAGGATCAGCAGACGTTCCGTGGTAAAATCAAAGCGAAACAAGCATCAGCCTCCCGACAACAGCCACCAACCTTACAAAGTGAAGTGTGTTTGAATCGACTCCCAAATGGTGACTCAGTCTGTGGGAGGCATCAAACGCCAGTCTCTTTTTTTTCGATTTTCCTTCTTGGGTGCCCTGTTGGTGTCTTGGTGCCATGTGTCTTCCCTGCAAGCAGCTCAGACAGTCTTTGGCGTGCGCGCATTGGTCACGTCAATGACATCGTCCAAGTGATTGCACATGGCCACAAACAGGTCAAAAAACAACTTGCTGCCACCAGCCTCCATCTCAGCCTGCATGGTCCCGCTGCGCTTGAACGTCTTGCGGCAGCGGATAATCAAGGCGAGGTAGTGCGCGCGCAGGCGGCTGTCCGAGTCTGGTGTGTGCGCGTAGGCGTACTGCGCGGACCGCAGGATGGTACCGACATCAATACCGGCCTGCAGTCCTTGCTTGCGCAGGGCGAGGCGCTTCAGCTCTTCGAGACCGTAGCGCTCCGCAGCACAGTATACAACCGTGTCGCGAAGGATGTCGGCGTCGATGCTCGAGAGATAGACGGCAGCGTCGACGGCGGGCGTTTGGCCGCCTCCATTGTGGGCGGGGTTGGGTGAAGGCCGAGGGCTCTTTGTAGTCGGCTGGTGGTCCTCGAGCTCCCAAGAGTTGCGGTGCCTGTTGTGGATCAGGCGTGGGTAGTAGTCGCCCTTGTAGAGGTACTCGAGGACAGCCGAGAAGACCTCGGGTTCTTCTTCGGGTAGAGAGATCTTCCTACTCTGCGCATCGGAAAAGTGCTCACGGCAGGCCGCCTCGAAAAAGGGAGCCTGCCGCAACACATCTTCGTGCGCCGCAAAGAGCCGGCCCTCGCGACCGATCGTGATGGTCACAATCGGGGAGGGCGCAACAGGCTGTGTCATGGACACATCATGCTGCTCGTGGTTGAGCGACCTTTGCAATTTCGACAGCTTCGTGGGATCGCGCACGGAGCCTTGCTTCTTCAGACGATGGGTCTTGTCCACGCGAATGTGGTCCTGGTGGGACCGAAACGAGCGCTTAAACATGTTGGAGAGACTGAAGAGAGCGACGAAACGAGTGTCGAAGGTCGTGATCACGGTGATCGAGGGTAGGGGGGCGTGTAGGGGTGACGCACAACAGGGAAACGATTGACGAGGGGCCCGGGTGGGAAGAAGACCGTATTGACGCTGCGCTTGTATCTTCGTCAGTGAAGGCGACAATACAAAGCGCAGAACGGTAATCCTCGGAAAGCTTTGCGACCCTTGGGTGGTTGTGAGTGGGGAGGAAAGAAGAGCATCGTGAATGGGATCGTGAGGCGGTAGATGTAGGCGGGGGCGCAGCCTGCCAAGGATGCCGTTGGGCTACCCTGGATGTTGGGCAGGCGCGTAAATAACGCCTTGCAAAGCGTCGCTATCTCACGCCAAGAGACCTAGCATTGTATGTTGAATACCTACGAATATCTAATATCCTAAAGGGCGTTTGAGAAAATGTCGCCTAGAAAACGATGAAACTGTGGCTGCGATGATCGCTTAAAGGCCTCTGAAGCTTGTACATGTAAGTGGGAATAACAGGCGCTAGTCTGACCATTCATCCCGTTGGATGCTTCTGAGAACATGAAATGAATCGATTAATCTGGTTGGCACGATTTAAATTGGTCAAGGAAAGAAACGACTGGCCAAAAATTTCACCAGAGATCGCAAACGTGCACAGCGCATCATACTGCCCCCAACCTCCGGACATATTGAACGGGCGAAGCATTGACTTCGTGACAGTGAAAACATTATAATATGCATATGAACAGAATTGGCCTTTATTAACAAGCCGCCAGGCAGCAGTGACAGGCAGGAAAACTCTAACTACCTCAGAGAAGCCAATCGCACAGAAAACAAGTGAGAGACACAGCTTGACACCAAGCTAGTAGCCAAGACACACCAGCGCTAGCAACTTTGTCGAGGGATTACGGTAAGGCCAGTGACTGGAAGAGCATGTCAAAGGTGTCAGAAGCAGTCTGAGACATGAAGACCCTACGAACGTGGTCCCTTATGACGATGAGTCCTAGTCTAGAAGTTCATCAACGGTCTGCAAGAGGGGCATTCCGTCCCTTAAGGGTCTCTGAAGATGATCAGGGTCGATTCGTGCGGTAAAAGAATCCAGAAAGCACACAACTTCATGTCTGAAACAGAACCCGAAGGACCCGCAGTCCAGTGATGCCATGATGTCTTGCGCGGCGAGCTGAGCTTGGGCGATTTTTTCATTCCACACGATCTATTGCTCCTTGCTGATCGCGCCCTCCCTCTCCATGCCCTCGCATCCGGTAGCCTTGCCCGCAAGCTCCTCAACCTTGCCGTAGCCCTGAGTGGGATCGCGCTGCTCAGTGGCCATCTTCATGGTGTTGACGCCCGACTCCTTGTCCTTGATGCCCGAGTCCTTCCACTCCTCCGAGCCGGTCACATTGCCAATCACCTCCTTTGCACGGGTCAGCTCTCTGCTCAATAATAAGAAATGGCATGCGGGACACGCACCTCTGTTGCGCCCTTGACGTATTGGGCGTGGCCGCCAATGAGGCCGGCCTGCTCCTGAGACTTGTCTGCCATGATGTATGTATGTTTGTGTTTGTGTGTGTGGATTAGATGATGGGATTGTAAAGAATAAATCCGGTCTTGTCGATATGTCAGGAATTAACGTGTTCACGATCTATAAAGAGCGGGTGACGCCATTCTCGATCTGAACAGTCGAGGCGTACTGGGATGACATCACCGCGTGCCGTCGCTCGCCCACTGCGCTGGCTGACTGGACTTTGGTCGGCTGCAGCCTGCGACACACGCGATCTGGAGTCCACGATAAGGACATACTGAACTCGATTGTACGCACCGCAGGGTTGACGGACGTCACACGTGGACTGTTGGCCCTATACGGCGCCAACACTGGACAAGCTTCTGGCGCAGACGTGCGTTCGAAGCTGCTCCTTTTCTGCACGCGATCTTAGATCGAATGGAGCCCTGATCATCGGGGTTGGAGGAATAGGGTCCGTTCCGTCTGCGATTCCCGTGATCTTGTCTTTGAATCAAATCGCGGAGCAAAGCCTCCCGGCAGATCGACCCCTTCTTGCTCTCCACACCCTCAATTAGACTACCCGTCCGTCCATGACGTCCAGCAGCGGACTATCGTATATGCGCAATGGAGACGTTTAGATCCTAGCTTGAGGGTCTTAACACGCCGTGTGCCGTTTCCATCCTAGCGTAGGGCGGGTGGTGATTCATGCCGTGTCACAATGCACGTGAATCTGTGAGATGATGTGTGGTCAGCCGCGTGCGGGTGGGCGTGACATCTGCGATCGTCTGCCCGCCGAACAGGGAAGACAGGGAGCGTCATGACATTGTCCACAGGAACAGCCTCTCAAATAGGGGCCCCTTGCCAATCTCCAGGATCATTAGTCTTGTATGCAAGCTTCGATTAGAGCTCATCTTAGCCCAACCCGTCCAACAATCACTTCTTCCCCCCCTGGTCGAACGGCTCCTTCTGCAACTCTGTTGCATCATTGACTTTCCCGTTCGGTAGTATTAAAAGCGGCTGAGACAGGAAGCCGCTTTCAATCCCCCCTTTTCCCACAGTTCTCCTTCAACCGCCACCACGTCTACCGAACCATTACTCCGTGCTGCCAAGATGGCAGCCTTGGAGACTCAAGATGAGTCTTCCAAGGACCGGTCGTCCGAACCCATGCTAGATGTCGAGCATTGGGGTCCCGGCCTGGACATGTCTGGGCTCGATGGGTTGACGTTGTATGAGAAGAAGTGCGTGTTGGTGAATCGAGAGATTGATCACCAGGGCATGGGAAAATACCAGTGGTACATCTGGGGCCTCTGTGGCTTCGGATATTTCCTTGACTTGCTCTGGGCGCACGCCTTTGGCCTGGTCCTCAGTCCGCTGCAGCAGGAAATGGGCTTCGGGAACGACGAGTCGGGCAACATCTCCGTCTGTTTCAACGCTGGACTCACGGCCGGTGCCTTTTTCTGGGGATTCATGTCTGACATTGTTGGTAAGTTGAGACAGTTTCCATCTTGGCCCGGTCCCTGTATTCTGGTGATGGCTAACGTCGACAACCAGGCCGCAAGTGGGCGTTCAATCTGACGTGCCTCTTCTCCTCGATATTTGGTCTCTGCCTCGGTGCATCGCCGAATTACCTGACCTTCCTCGTCCTGACAGCTTTCGTCGGCTTTGGCGTCGGTGGCAACATTCCCATCGATACGTCCATCACCCTGGAATTCATTCCGCAAAATAAGCGCTTCTTATTGGCGTGCCTGTCGGTATTCCAGCCTCTGGGTGTCGTTGTCTGCAGTGCCATCGCCTTTGGATTCATTCCCGTATACTCCTGCTCGCCCAACTTTTCTGAGAAAGGCGCGCTGAAAAGCTGCAAGAATGTCGCAGAAGGTGTCGAGTGCTGCTCCAGGGACAACAACATGGGGTGGCGGTACCTGCTCTTCACCCTGGGCGCCGTGACCGTCTTCATCTTCTTCCTGCGCTATTTCGTCTTTCACTTCCGCGAGACGCCCAAGTTCTTGATCTTCAAGGGCAAGGACGCCGAAGCGATACAGGTACTGGAGCACATGGCCAAGACCAACAAGCGCGAATGTCGTCTGAGCTTGGAAGTCTTTGAGGCCATGCAGAGCGAGCACGACTCCATCAACAGTGCATCCACCGATTCCAGCAGCCATCCCGTGCTGGGAGGGGGTGCCAAGCAGCTGCACAGCAACTGGAAGAAGAAGAGCGTGCTTGAGCTGGACCGATACAAGATGCTTTTCGACGGGTTCCAGATGTCGCGGCTCACCATCCTGGTGTGGCTGACCTACATCATGGATTTCTGGGGCTTCACAGTGGCTGGTTTCTATCTGCCGCGCATCCTGGCCTTGAAGAACGGAGCGGCCGAGGTGAGCCTCACCACGACGTATGCTGCGTATATCTACACCTACGCGCCCGGCATTGTCGGTGTCCTGTTCGGTGCTTGGATGTACAAGGTGCCCTCGGTTGGTCAGAAGTGGACAATGGTCATCTCCTCTGGGTTGATGGGCGCGTCTATCATTCTCTTCTCGACTGTCGATACGGTCGCAAAGAACCAGGGCATCTTCGCCATGGAGTACTTCTTCCAGAGCATGTTCAATGCTGTCCTGTACGGATGGACCCCTCAGGCGTTCCCTGCGCCCGTTCGCGGCACAGCGTGCGGAGTGGCCAGCTTCTGGGGTCGCCTCTTTGGCATTGTCAGCCCCTTGATCGCGCAGTCGCTGTACGGACGTGGGGAGAGCGCGGATGGCGATATCAACAGCGTGCTGTACCTGGCTGGAGGGGTTACTCTGGGTTGCGTGATCACAACGGCCTTGTTGCCGAACAAGCTGATGGAGACGAAGGATGAGCGGTCATAGAACACATGCTGGGTCTTGCATACATGATAGATGAACGAGAGCTTTGTTTCGAGCATGTGCTTCTGAGTTTGCGATGCCAGTGTCTCGCGGAGGTGAATCGGAGCGTGTCGTGCCTGCCATTGTGGGTCGGACGGGCAAAAGTGGGACGCGAGCTCACCAGGTCCGTGCGTAGGCCAGATGTCCTCAACGCTCAATGATACGCGACTGCAACACCTGCACCGTCAGGTAGAGCATCGCTGCTGACTTTCAATCTCTACACATTTTCGACATCTCTCCGCGGGGAGCTCAGCAGTCATGCTTTCCGCCCTAGGCAATCCTCGCCAGGCCGCCGCGCAGGTCTTGAACTTTGCGCTCGTGCTGTCCACAGCCTTCATGGTGCGCGAACCGCCTCCTGCTGTCAACGAGACCGACTGACAAGGATAGATGTGGAAAGGCCTCTCCGTCGTAGCCGACTCGCCCTCCCCGATCGTCGTCGTCCTCTCCGGCTCGATGGAGCCCGCGTTCCAACGCGGCGACCTGCTCTTCCTCTGGAACCGAAACCTGCTTCAAGAAACGGCTGTGGGCGAAGTCGTGGTATACAACGTCAAGGATAAGGACATTCCCATTGTGCATCGCGTGGTGCGCAAGTATGGAACAGGGTTCGTCATCTCCGAGTACAGGACAGACGGCATAGTGCTGACAAGACAAGTGACGAGGCAAAGCTATTGACAAAGGGAGACAACAACCAAGCAGACGACACGGAGCTGTACGCGCGGGGCCAGGACTTCTTGGTGCGGAAGGACATTATCGGGTCGGTGGTGGCATACATGCCCTTTGTGGGCTACGTGACGATCATGCTGTCAGAGCATCCGTGGTTGAAGACGGTGATGCTCGGCATCATGGGCTTGTTTGCTATATTGCAGAGGGAGTAGCCGGCATTCAGAGGCGAATCCATTTCAAGGCATCTGGCCCAGATCTGGAGCCCCTTGGCAGCTGTCATCCATTGACGAATACCTCCCCGGCAACACGTGATTGGAAGCCGTCGCAACGCGCGCGTGGCTCACTTCTTATGGTGACTGTGATCCAACCTCATGCCGGGTCTTCACGGCATGCTTTTCATATCGTGCAGTCTCGGCGAGTCGACGCCAGTGCCTCTCGTACCCAGCACAAATCATTCAGCCCTGCAGGCCTGTCTAGATCCTCCTGGAGGCCTAGAGTGGATACCAAACAGGGATGAAATGGGCGACTCCCGAGTGATATTTTCGTCCTAGCCAATCTGCGTCCGGCTCAGCCAGGACTTTCTCGGCATCCCTGCGCCGTTTGGTGTCTTGGCAGCGATTTTAGCGATGCGCGCTTGGACAGTCATTTCCCCCATCCACGGGGTTTTCACAAACGGTCTCTTCCTCTTCTTCATTTATTTGATCGTTCGTCGCTCCCTTTTCTTCACTCGTTCTCGCTGTCTCTCGTTTCGTCACTCGCTTTATCAGTTCGCTGTCGTGTGAACATCTCCGTTGTGATCTACAGCGCATCCCCCACCGCAATCCGAAGCTCGCCCGCGACATGGCCGACACTGTTCACCACGACGTGCCCTCGTCGTCTGCTGCTGCTGCCGCACCAGCGGCTGCGCAAACGACCCAAGCAACACCTCAGGCGCCGGTGCCACCAAATTCGACGCACCAGCCTGCTACTCAAGACGGTTCCGCCACGGGCAACTATTACGGGCAATACCCCCAAGCATACGGCCAGCCTTACCAGCCCTACCAGCAGTATGGATATCAGCAGGGCTATTCACAGCAGCAAGCTGCCTATCAGCCATACTACAATGCTCCCGCTGGAACGTACCCCTATCCTCAAGCGGCTCCCGCACCTGCTGTGCCAGAGACCAAGTTTTGGATCTTCACCAAGACATTCTTGCATGGAGCGTGCGTCATCTTTGGCATAATTGGTCTTGGTCTGGGTTTGGCGTTCGTGTCGAACAGCTACTGGTCCTACATGGCTGCCATCGCTTGTCCAGTGGTATGTACTTTGCCCGTCCGTCCATTCGTCCACATATCGCTAACACCTGCTGTAGCCTGGTCTGGCCATCCTCTGGAACGGCTCCGAGCTCATCGTGCGCGCTGTGCACAAGTTCCAATCCGGCGTCCACCCAGGCGCCTCTGTCGGCTGCTGCCTCATTCTCTGGTTGGTCGCTGTCATTGTCGGTATCCTTGAGGCGCTCTACAGCAGCCTTTCGGACCCGTACTGCGAGTACAACTACAGCTCCTCCTCCTACTCCTACGAGTCGACCAACTGCAAGCCTGAACTCGCCAAGATCTGGGTTGCTGTCACAGCGTTCACGCTTCTCATCGCGGCCGCCGAATTTACCCTCTTTGTCATGGCATGCATGGACACAGCCAAGAGGAACGCGTCCAAGAAGATTGTCATGGTCGTAAACCCTTCGTACTGGGGCCAGGCGGCGCAGGGATGGCAACCCATGCCGCAAGACAACTCGCACCAACAGCCCGTGGCAGCGCCAGAACCTGCCATGGCGCGCGGTGGTAACGGCCAGGACATCGCCATGCAAGATCGATCCTCGAGCCCGGGCACACCGTACGCTACGCCAGCGGAGGCGCCTGTGGTTGATGAGAAGGGCAAGGGGCCTGCGCAGCCAGCACATGGGGTATCTGAGTTCTACGGAGGAAGTAATTAGGAAGCGCAATGCTGTGGCATCATTGCCTAGGTTATTATTTGAGAACAAACATTCTCTTTGTGCGAACATCACGGACTTCGCGGCGAGTGCAGGGACCTGTGTACTGCCTATTCACTCAGATGAGGTGACATGTATTCACTCAGAGTAAAGTTCGTATATACGAGCGGTGACGTGGCCATTTATCTCTGACCTGAAACAGTATCACAAAATGAACTCGCTAAGCCTGACTTCGTCCCTGTTATCGTCTCCCAGAAATGTCGAGGTACTCACGGGTCTTATGAGTTTGAGGTAGAGTGTTTGCTTTTCGTCTACATGTATCTTACGCGTCTGGCGCGTGGTACGGACCGTACGGTTTGATCAAGTCGGTCGGGTTGCGCCGATCCGACCCACGAAAGGTATGCTCCGTGGTTCTTATCACGTGTGTTGTAAAGCTACCTGGTACATCGCTCGTTGTGTGAATGAAACAAGCTATTTGGTCCAGTCCCTGTGAGCTCGGAGCACCGTAACAAACAAACCCCCTTGACTCCACCATTTCACCCTTACTTTCCCTTTGTCCCGATCAGTCACGCAGCAATAGTTGCTTCACGGTAGACGTAATATTTACATAACTTAACCATATTAATCGGACATTTTGAAGACTTCTATGGATCAACTCAGTCTTGCCTGAGATTTGGGTCGGTTGCTTTTGATCCCTGTAACATCACTAGTCACCACGCGTCTGCCCACATCAATGATCACCGTGTTTGCTCTGCCGCGACTCGCAACCACCAGACCCATTCAGGCCCTCAAGGATACCTAGAACATCTTTTCACAGCTCGCACGGCCCATGAGAGGTGAGTGGTGTGACCCTTGATCTAGACAGGTCCAGTTGACTAACGTTCTCAGTCCAAACTCACTCGACTGGCACAGGCAGACAACAATATCTGAACAGCGGCACAGCAAACGTTTAGTATGGACAACGAAACATAGCCTCCTTTTCGAAAGAGATCACCCTCTCCATTCACTACCCCGTCGTCAAGCCTAGCATAGATGGCAAGAAGCATCAGACAACATGGGTGCCGGTGGCGTGAACTGCCGAGCGCCCACTGCCAATGCAAGCACTCAAACTCCTAATTGGAGTATCTCGCAAGAGACTCACGGGAATCATCACGAGTCTAGCCCGGGCTCCTGTTGGTTCCATCATGGCTCCAGGCACTATTCGCCCTCGAGGCCTTTATACTGGCCCGAGGCCCAACTTTGCTCTGGTCCGGGGCTGGCCCAAGACTGTGCCGCTCTCTTCTTCTTTGAGACCAAATACTTCTCGGTACCCTCTCGCAGGACGATCCCGCGCGACTGTGGCGCCTGGACCTACCCAGCAGCCTTCTCAGTCACCGAGATGAACGTTCACAAGTCGCAGCGCGAAACGCCCACCCCATCCGTCTCCGTGATGATCGAGAGGTAACTGGTGAAATCCACCATCTGGTGCATAACCGACACCATATCTGCGGGGTGCCAGTGGAAGGCGTAGCCCATCGACACCCTCTCCGAGTACCCCAGGGACGACCTGCTGTGTGCGTGTGGAACTACTTGTTGGCCGCGCACTGGATAAATACTAAACAACTTCGTCAATTCAATAAGAGGCTGTTACAGGGTCATGTCCGACTTCGACAAAACCCGATGATGAACGCGATGGCCATGTAGGCTACCGTCAACGTAGGGAGCGACGACCCCGCGCTGGACAATACCAGAGGGTACCACCCGGAGACGATGAGCGACGTTCCCAGCGACAACAAGACCATCCTGATGAAGCTATTCGAAGCCCAGGCCTCGTCGAACCACTGCCAGCACGGCGGAGGCGGTCAGGGCCGTGCCAGTCAGAACCGCGGAGGTGGTGCTGGTGGTAGTGGTAGCGGCACGGGCGGTGGTGGAGACCAAGGTAGCGGTGATGGAATGCCATTGTCACAGTTTCTCATGACTGGAGGCTATACGGATAGAAATGATGCGTCTCAGTATCTTAGCGAAGCCTCTTCTGTTCATGGTGGAGGTGGATACTTAGGCAGTTCGTGCCCTATCGAAATAAGTGATACCCCTCGCCGCCCTCCTCCCTCATAATACCCAGCGAAAACCTCAAGTTCATAGCAAACGAAAACTAGGTACGTGAAAACATGAGCCTACGGCCACCCTCGCTTGTCGCGTCCTCTCAGCTTTAGCCGAGCTCCTTTTCGTCAAAGTCCGTCTTCGAAGGATCCCCTCTTCGGCATTGTGCGACATGCTTCGTAGTGACGACTGCTTCTTCTTTTGCGCCGATTCCCGTATCAAAACCCCTTCTGCATATTCTTTCCGTGCAGTAAAACCTTTGGACGATAGGATCGTTCAATCCCTTGCCCCCGGACTTCCTCTGGTGCTGAGCTTGCTTAGCGACAGAACCTACTCCTCTTTGTAGGACGTGAGGAACTATCCTCCCCTGGATCGGCTGATTCCTGCTCATTTGCCGCTGATCCTGGCAATCGGTTCCATGGAGCCCGAGACTCAAAGTCCAGTACCGCATGAGACAATGCATCTAATGTACTGGCTTGGGCGTCTATCAAACGGCGAATAGCGAGTTGTTGCCCGTCAAATCCGGCGAGTTGTCCGTCAATGGCGTGTTGTTGCCTGCGAACGGTTTCCACTTTTTCGCGAAGGGCCTCGAATCCTGACTTCTGGTCCTCCATCTCTCGCTCCTCAATCCGCGCTTGTTCTGTGAGAGGGTCGACTCTTCCTACCCTCTCCGGCTCACAAGCTTCGGGGACAGCCAGGATGTTCGAGACCGGTACGACCGGTGCTGCTGGAGATGTGAGTCCCGTGGAAGAGTGTTGTGGAGGCCCAGGCTGCCTTGAGGTTTGCGCCAAAGTTAGCGAGGGCGCAGGCATGTCCGGGCCCTCTGGGGCCGGGCGAAGGATGGGCGCCGGGCGGTTCCTCCGATGGGGACTAGGCTCCTAAAACCTAACGCGAGGAGTAGTATCGCAATGTTCGCTCTCTTCTTTCTTCACTGCCGCCTTATTCTCCTGCATCCCCTCAGACGGACGCCTAGGGGGGTCCATCTCTGAGGGTCTCGTTCGGAAGTTGAGGCTTCAAGGAGGATAGTCACTATATATCCAAATAGGTGTAATGTGAAGTTCTCTCGGGTATTTATGCTTGAATGTGCGTGTCAGTAGGTCCTTGCTGTGTGTGCCTAACTTGCAAACCTGAAGATTGGGGGTGAGAAGAAAGTGACTGTACTGCGAAATCTGAATCCTGAACGGCTAGGAGTATTGACGGGGCCGTGACCGACGCGCAAGAGGCAAGAGGGAGAAAAAAAGCGATGCAACGATTCGTTTGTTCTTAGAAATGATGTGACTTACTATCTTTAAACCCGCCGCGATGTGTGGTGGTGGACTGAAGCTCTCTCAAAGTGATGGTCGATGTGGTAGTTGCGGAGGTGAAGTTGCAGAAGAGAGAAAAACGTGAACGAGGAGAAAGAACAGTGAAAACGGAGGAAAATAAACAGAGCCTAGCTTACCAGGTAAGTTCTTGGTCCAGACCTTGAATTTCATGCATCTGGTCGCTTGTGTCAGCTGAACTTGAGACGATTCCCTCAAACCACATTTTGAGCGCACACTGTCTACTTACATAGCCAGGTTTGCGACATTTCAATTCTTGTCACCTGCACGAGATGTTTTGTTCACAATTCTTAGCCAGCAGTCACTTAATAATCGATTTCGTCTTCACGAGACATGACCTGCCCGCAGTCCTGACTATTTCCATCCGGGCCAAAGCCGGCACACAAGCAAGCGTCCACGCTTCCGAGTGTCTTTGGAGTAGATTATGATGAGGAACAGCAGAGCAGAAGAGCGAGAATGGACATTCACTATCTGAAGAAGATGCTGATGCTATGAAAAGAGGAAGAACGCGATGCCGCTAAGATGCTGCCTTTTGAGGGCAGCTGTTTGGGCCGAATGTGCAGCCTGGCTAGTACCCAAGCAGGGCAGTCACTGGCCTGTCCGTCACTCACAACATAAATCCTCTGAGAATGGGTGTCTTGCCCTGCTCCGCGCTGCTCTGGAGGGATGTGACCTTTTCGCACAGAATCCTTCGTATGTCTCGAGCTCTTTGACCTTCTCTGCCAATGCCTCGTTCCGTGTCAACTCCTTGTTCTGCTGAGCTTCCTCTCCAACCCGGCGTTTCAACTCCTCCACTTGCTTGTTCTTCTTGGCACGATTATCTTCAAGGTATTTCAGCCTGCCAACAAATACAGCGACTCTCTTCGCTGCCTGCTCGACATCTATGCCCTTGCTGCCATCTCCTTGAAACGCATAGTCGATGAAAGCCGCAGGGGCTTTAAAGAAAGGGCAATGACGAATTTCCGCTCGGAGAATCAGGAAGTTCCACATCATCCGTGGCCAGTACCAATTGTGTGATATTTTCCGCCCAATTTGTTTTCGGGGTCTTCTGGTCGAACATCCGATTGTTGGGTAAATCTGCCGTCAGGTCGATAGATGTGGTGGCGGACAGTATCTTGCGTCCAGTTCCTCGCTCTCGACAAGCCTGGATATCTTGTACGATTTCCGAGACTAGAGGGTGAAGTATATTCTTCAGCGCCAGCTCCATTCCGCAGCGGCCTTCAAAATGCCGGCTCAAACCATCCTACCCATTGTCAGAAGTGTTTGATATTAGGCGAGAGCATGAAACCTACCGAAAACACGCGCAGAATGCTAAGGTGACTTCTCTGCCTCGACTTTCTGGTCTCAGCGTCACCCGAAACACTTTCGCCAGATGGGGCGTCTTGTTCGTTGTCTCATCTTCCCTGGGACTGTTCTTTGAGGAGCCGGGCAGCAATTTGGTTCTGAAATTTCTGATCCATTTTCATTGCCCTAGGCTTTCGAAACCCTGTTGCTGAGTCGCTTTGTTGCCGTGAACGTGGCATCTTTGAAGACAGAGATTAGTGTATGTTTGCCTCAGCGTATAGTTGTAGCTAGCTCTCAGTAGTGTAGTAACGTTTTGCAAGTCTAGAGTAGCTTGCGCACTCTCGAAGAAGAGTTAAGTAGGAAAAAATTCTCACAGGGCTTGAACTTTCGCGCGAGTGGGAAATGAGCACAGAAGAAACAATGCAATCATGTAGTTGAGTATGAAGATGAACTTACACTTGACAAACCTTTGGTACAAAAGGTGGTGGACTGGGATATGTTGAAACCATCAATTGCTGGTTTCGAAGGAAGGAGTAGATTCAAGAGAGAAGTTTTTAACTCCAGTAAGCGAAAGTGAGGATAAAGCAATATAAGATAGACAACTCACGGCTCACAGCGTGAGCCCATATTTACGCACTGTTACATTACGTGTTTTTCTTACCGTCTATACAGCGCGAGTCTCCCTTGGCGCACTGTGTCTCAGGAGAAGGGACAGAATTTCTAAGGTAGTCTTGCGATTTTCTGGTCTCGAGCTGAATGCGGCGATATAGCAATCGTGAAATTTCTGATCATGGTTTCTATAAAGGTTTTTTTTTCTCTGTCATCGTCCCAGCACTTCTCATCCTGCTTCCTTACCAACCATGCCATTTCCTCAGGAGCCGACGCTCTGTCCTTCATCGCCTAACGTTCTTGGCCAGGCCGACACTGGGCTGGTTTCCTCTGGGGAGTGAGTTCAACTTCCATCCGGGCCTATGTTGCGTTCGATGTGTTTTTCCCAGTCTGGAAGGTAGATCATGTAGTGCTGTCTTTGGGGGATTGAAAACTTGGCGACTCTAGGAGACCAGAGACGTGGCCGGGCAGATCTGAGCATGGTTCGTGACATTCAAGTACTTGATCAGATGCATGGGACAGTGCAGCGAAACAACAGAGCTAAGTGTCTTTTCAATAGTACGTCTCCTTGACTATAAGTAGCGGATGGGCATTTAGTTGAAGCTACTTGAAGATTTAATAACTAGGCTACGCTTTAGTATTTAGGATGAAAGATACTACCAAATCCGAAGATAATCAAGACCTATAGAAGTTTCCGTAGATTGTTTACAAGCTTTGTTATTATAAAATTCCAGTCTTTCTTATAGTGCTTCAGGTATTGAGTTAAGATATTGCTGGGATATTGGATTATCCTATCTAAAGGGACTTTGACGTATTGAGTTAAAATATTACTGGGATATTGGATTATCCCATCTGAAGGGACTTCAAGCGTCGAAAATATACCTCTCTCCTATGTACCTTGTAATGTAACGTACGTGCACTTATGTTGGTCAGCTATTCTGAAGACTTCAAGGATCAACTCAGTTTTGCCTGAGATTTAGGTCGCTTGGTTTTGATTCTTGCACTCGCACCACTACTTAGTCACCACGCCTGTACCTACTCATTAACCGCCTCATTTGCCGACGATGGAGCCCAGCACTGGCCTACAGCTCTTTATTCGAGACGTGCCTAAACCTTCTGAGCTTGGACCTTTCGTTAAAGAAGTCACTGTTGCTGAGTGGATGCGTCTAAGCTTGTCAACAAGCGTCCCCCTGATGCTCAGGCTGTGGACGGACATGTTTTCAGGCGGGTTCTGCCACCAAAGGGCGCGGATTGGCCTTCCCCTGCAGACACTACCCATCTATACTTGTTGAACCAGATGGCGGTCACTCTCCATTATATTAACCCTCCCAAAGCAATCGTGGAGATGATTGGGGGCTGGGTGGTCAACAACATGCCCAAGCCCTAGTTGAAGAACACTCAACACGTGTCGGATCATAACATCATCAAGTTCGCCACTCCTAATCCACCCGTTGCATGGTATTGTTCCTGGATGTTGAGCGTCTGGTTTTCGCTAGAAGACCTCAGAAGATCCAGGGTTGGGTCGTGTGGCTGAGGTCTTGGTTCATCGACCAACAAGCCAAGGCCCGCGGAGTGTTCGCCTTTCTCTCAGCAAATTGATTCGCCAAAGAACAAGCCAGAGCCTGCCAAGGGATCGGACGCCCATGGTTTCTTTCGCGATAATTCGCATGGCCCACCTCGACGGCCGAGCGACACAGAGGGGGAATGGTCTGCTGGGGCATGACTGTGTCTGCGACTCTACGTCAACCCCTGAAGCTAGTGCACAGGTAGCAGTAGATGTCAACATCCGAGTAAAAAGGGGGGGTTCACATACCGCACCTCATTACATGTACTCTCGATCTCCCCTAGCCATTTTGACAAATTGTCGCCTCCTAGCTGAGAAAATGAGAATAACGTCCAACGCCAACTTGGTTCTCTGTCTAATGATTTGAGAAGGAATTTGCTGAAGAGTTCGAATGTGCCTTGCCCTTATTTCTCTGACCCGATATCCAGCCAGAATTCAAGTAATCGCGGGCTTCAGTTTGGCAGGACGTGACTGCTCGGCGTGTCCAACTTCCACATTGACGCAAACGTGCATCCGGGCCAAGGCGGAAGCGCAGCGCGCGCTGCACGCCGTAAAGCAAACAAGTAGTGATTCAAAGAGGCGAATGTTTGTTCAGCCCCTCAGCGGCACATCAGCCACGTGCCATGGCGAGCCGTTCAGCTCCAAGGGTTCAGTGACGCGCGCGGATCCGATCGTGCATTAGCCAAGGGATCTACGTCGACTATGTCGCCAACCCGTTATCCACCTCCCCGAATTGGCTTTCATTGCGGCAGTGAGCTGAAAAAGTGCCGGGCTCAAGAAACTCGCCTCTTTGCGTGCCAAGATACAAGCCATGATGAAAAGTATATAAGGGATTGCTTCCTGCCCAGTCTGTTGGGATGGTTTGCTCATCACAATCTATCCGCAACAGACAAAATGAAGGCACGCGCCCCCCTTTACCAGGCAGCCCCCTTGTCAAACAATCGACACTCCAGCTAACCACCACCAGGTCCTCGCTGTTCTCGCCGCTACTCTAGGCCTCGCCTCTGCGCAGGCCAAGCTCACCAACTCCCAAGCCGTCTCGCAGCTGTCGGCCTCGGGCATCAGCGTCTCCTCCTCGGGTGGCTGCTCGGATCGCAACACACCCACCTGCACGTCCCTCGAGCAGGTCAACGCCGTCACAATTGCCGGCGCAAAGACCCTCAAGGGCGCCTGCGGCTGCACCGTCACCGTCACGGGTGGTACCGAGGTGGGCCATGCCAGCGGCACGTACTCCCACTACAACGGGTACAAGCTGGACTTCTCCAAGACATCTGGCCTGAACTCGTATGTCACCAACACCTTTACAAGGATCGCCGACAGAGGAGATGGCTATCCTCAGTGGCAGGCGGCCTCGGGCAACCTGTATTGTGTAAGTGTCGATGAAGGTTGTTTTATGACAAAAGCTGACAATAAGTAGGACGAGGGCAACCACTGGGATGTGACCTTTTACACGGATGGGAACTAAGGTAAACAAGACAGTGATCAATGCCGAATCTAACAAGGTGAATCCGCCTGGACTACTTGTAAGGATCCTTTGTGAAGATGACCTGCACCGTCACATCGTCCCTCACGTAGCGACTCCTGGGCGGTTGCTGGCTGATGACGCCCTTGAACAAATCCCGTCTATTCCCACCAAATGCATTCTTGATAAGACAAACGGCTGCATTGTCCATGTCCTCAATGGCAAAGTTCTCCTTTGTTGCCTTCCACGTCCCGTATCCCTCCTTGTCGACGGTGAGACAAACATTCTTCTCCTCATTGACGGCCGGCGTCTTGCCGCTGCGTTTAGCGGCAAGCCACTGGGAGACACATTCGACTGCGTCTTCGTTCGACATGTGATCCCACAGCCCATCGGATGCCAGGACGACAAAGTCGCCAGTCTGGACCTTTTGCACCGTCACCTCGGGCTCGGCGGTCATGTAAGGCGGCGTCTTGTATTTCGGGCGAGGGCCAACGTCGAAGAAGTCTGCCTTGAGATGGTGTAAAAAGTCGAGAGTGTACTTCCAACGATGATCGCCAAATGCGCGCGTAATAGCCATGCCAAAGAGCCGACCGCTGCGAGGGTTGATCATGTCCTTCTCTTCGCCTGGATGTGCTTCATTCAACCGCTTCACCTCGTCTTCGTTGAAGCCAGTCTGGTCTTTGCTGAGTGCGATGGCCTCGTACATCCCGTGTTGAGACCCCTTGCCCAACACGGCTCTCGAATCCCCCGTGACCGCGGTGTATAGCAGGCCTGAGCGCACGTCGTACGCTGTGAGGAGGGCACACGATCCTGAGAGGACCGGCTCCAGTGCTTGCAGAGCAGCTGAGGCGCCAGCAGGAGACTGCTCGACCACATCCTTAGCTCTCTGCATGATGTGGGCGTCGACATTACGAAACGTCTCTTTGATCATTTCCTGCTTTTCCAATGTCGAGCTATCTTTGGGCAAAGCTTCCCATGCGGAGGACACTGCGGAGATTAGACGACCTGCGAGGTACCGAGAGGTCGCCCAGCCCGCGTGGCCATCATACACTCCAGCATACACGATGCTTCCGCCGTCGTTGTCCGCTGCCTGGCTCGTGTCCCAGTGGTCCTCCACGGGGCAATTGCTTGCCACGCGGGCCACGTCGATGCAGCCTTGTACCGAGTCGTTGCCAGAAAACAAGAGGTTATGCGCGTCTTGTCGAATTGCCTCATTCGCTGCGTCGAGATCCATGTACTGTGTTTCTGCCACCGGATGAACTGTGTCGGTGACTCGCATCCCAAGCCGGCCAGAGCTGCGACGTTCATCAAGAAGACGAGGGGCCGTCCTCTGGAATGAGGCCATTTGCCATGGGTATGGTTGTTGTTCGTCACAGGCAAAGTAGCAGCACGCGACAACGCTGCTCATCGCCAGGGTCACCTTCCATGGGAAACGCCCACCTGGCGGACTGCTTGGGGATGCGCTCGACACCACGCGTCTAGCAGACCGCCCTCGCGTTAGCAGGCGCCTGATCGGTGCTACCGACGGTCGTTGTGAGGCAATGCGTAGCACCATGATGGTCGGTGGTGGTTTGGATGGTGAGGAGACTAAGATCGGTCGTTACACATGCAATTTCAATCTCCCGAGTAGAAGCAACGTCACATGATCCCTCAAACAGACAAGCAAAGACGCATCAAGACAAAATATCATCAATTAGGCGGCTGCACCTCATCTGCCTTTACCAATCTCTTCTTCCTCGTCCTCCCACTCGCCACCCTGTTCCATCTTCTCATTGACCTGGTATTCTGCATCACCACCCAAACCCTCACTATCAAAATTATCGACATCCATGTCGCTGTAGTCCAACTCCTCTTCATCGTCATCGTCGCCCTCCTCATTGTGCTTCCCGCTCGCCTTCCTCTCTGCCTTTTTACGCTCGACATTCTCCTTTTGCTCGCGTTTCCGCGTCTCCTTCTCCTGCCTGCGCTTCTCCCACCGCTTCTCCAGCTCCTTGATCTCGTCCTTGCTCTTGTGGACGTACTCGTGCCACATGATCTTGCCAGAGCACAGGCCCTCCTCGACCTTGGTGAGTCGGAGCCGCATCCGGGGCCCGAGCTCGACCATCTTGACGGCCCGACGCTCCACATTCTCCTCTTGTTCCTCGTCCTCGGCATTGCGGGCAGCCGCCTGCCTGGCCCGTGCTGACAGCACCTTGCGTGGCGCAGAGTCGAGCACTTCGATCTCGGCGTCCGTGTCCATCTCACTCCCGCTCGTCGCATCCGTCATGTACCCGGCGTCGCCCTCGCCCGTCATGTAGTCCGCAATGTCCTCCAGCTTGCCCAGGTTCGGCATCTTGCCCTTGCGACTCGATTTCGTAGACATGAATTGCTCGGCCGCATTGATACGGCGAAGCTGTTTCGAGACACCGGTCGAGCGTGTCGTGATGGCGTAGTGGCGGAAGTTGAGGATGAAGGTGCCGTCGTCATCCTTGGACTCTTCGCGATTGAGGAGGAGGACACGCCGTATCGACTTGAGCGGCGTCTGCTGTGGGTTGATGGGCGGGAAGAGCGATTGGAAAACGGTCGTGGCGAGGGATTCGAGGTGTTTCGGGACCTTGGTCTTGGAGTCGGAGTCGGGGCGGATGAAGTTGTTCATGACCAGGAGGGGAGGCGTGAGGAACTCCTTGCCTCCGCCGCGCGGGTGCTTCTGCGCACGTTGGACATCCTTGCAGAGGGAGTATTTCTCGACGCGAAAGTGCATTGTCGGTCCTCGGGGCGCCAGGGCCATGCGCAAGTTGGTGTTGCCCGAGTCTGATCGTGAAAAGAGCATCATGTGGGTGACGCCCAGTGGCCCGCACATGACGGCGTAGTCCTTCAGCTTGTTCGCCCTCCTCTCCTTCAAGCGACTCGCCGTGCCGGGCTCCATGACCTTGCGCACGTCCGTTGCCAATTGACTGATGCTCGATCCGACCTCGCCGGCGCCAATGCGAATTACCATGGACTTGGGGTCGCGCGCCGACGCATGGCCGGGGGCATCGACTTCGGGGTTGTTCGCACCGACGTGCGTTCTCTTCTTTGTGCGTTTGCGTGCCATTGTGAAGGGTTGTGCTGGGGAATGGTGGTGATGATGAAGGGTCCTGACCTTGGGTGCGGAAAAAAAATCGAGGCGAGGTGGCTGATAAGGATTGGGCGATAAGCGACCCCACCAAAATTTTCTGGCTGGCCGCTGGACTCCCAGTGTAACTTTCTCCAGTCTCTACCAAGGACTATCTTCTTGAACCTGCACACATTCACAATGAGCGACCTCAAACGAAGGAAAATCGCCCATGGCGCTCGCGTAGGTGGCGGCCGCGTCGGCAAGCAGCCCGTCGAAGACGACGTCGCTTCCTCTTCGTCCTCCGACGCCGAATCAGAGACAGTCGATGCGCCGTCAAACGAAGAAGCCGCAGAAGAGCTGCCAAAGACATTCAAGGAACTCGGCATCGTCGACGCCCTCTGTGAAGCCTGCGAGGCGCTCAACTACAAGCACCCGACGCCGATCCAGGCCAAATCGATCCCCATCGCCCTCCAGGACCGCGACATTATCGGTCTCGCCGAGACAGGTAGCGGAAAGACGGCTGCGTTCGCCTTGCCTATCCTACAAGCCCTCCTCGATAAGCCGCAACCTCTGTTCGGACTGGTGCTCGCCCCTACGCGAGAGCTGGCTACACAGATTGGCCAGTCCTTCGAAGCACTAGGCTCCCTCATCTCGCTGCGATGCGCCGTCATCGTCGGTGGTCTAGACATGGTGCCCCAGTCGATCGCACTGAGCAAGAAGCCCCATGTCATTGTCGCCACGCCCGGACGTCTCGTTGATCATCTCGAGAAGACAAAGGGTTTCTCGCTGCGCACACTCAAGTACCTGGTCATGGACGAGGCTGATCGTCTCCTGGACATGGACTTTGGTCCCAGCATCGACAAGATCCTCAAGTTTGTCCCTCGCGAACGACGCACATTCCTCTTCTCGGCGACAATGAGCTCCAAGGTCGAGTCGCTACAGCGTGCGTCACTCCGCGACCCGGCTCGTGTGAGCATCAGCTCGAACAAGTACCAGACTGTGTCGACGTTGCTGCAGCACTACGTCTTCATCCCGCACATGCGAAAGGATACGTACCTGGTCTATCTGATGAACGAGTTTGCCGGAAAGTCAGCCATCATCTTTACAAGGACCGTATGGGAGACACAGCGCATCGCTATTCTCCTGCGAACACTCGGCTTCGGCGCGATTCCCCTACACGGTCAGCTCTCTCAGTCTGCTCGTCTCGGCGCCCTCAACAAGTTCCGTGCCGGCACACGTTCTATCCTTGTCGCCACGGACGTTGCAGCACGTGGTCTCGATATCCCATCCGTAGACGTGGTCATGAACCTGGATCTGCCCCAGGATTCAAAGACATACGTCCACCGTGTCGGTCGTACAGCCCGTGCCGGAAAGTCTGGTGTGGCTGTCAGCATCGTGACGCAGTATGATTTGGAGATTTACCAGCGCATCGAGGCCGCCCTGGGCCAGAAGCTGTCCGAGTACCCAAGTGTCAAGGAGGAGGTTATGGCGTTCCAGCCGCGTGTGGAGGAGGCGCAGAGGCACGCGAGGACAGAGATGAGGGAGATTTCGGAGAGGGCTGTGAAGAAGAAGGGCGGGACGATGCGCGCTCAGAGGAAAGGGAGGAGGGACAATATGGATGCCGAGGAGGGTTGATCCATATTTGATAGTAAATGATTGGCTTCTTGCTGTGAAGACACTGCCACACTAAGCACGCAATAAGGATTTCGTAACTATCCATATTATCCTCGTGTCGAGCTTGTACACAAGGTCAATACTCGGCTCTGTGATTAACACACCAAAGCAAAATATGACTTGAAGATTTATGTCTATAGCAACAGGCGTTACAAGGCCAATAATCGCCTTTGCAGTTGACACAAACTAAAGCACCATATGACTACAACATTTATGTCTACAGCAGTCCCAACGCCTTGCTAAAACAATCATGACATCTCCGTGCCTAGGCACCCACGCCAATCTCCTCGTCCTCCTCTGTCTCGTCCTGGTTCTCAGGCGCCGTCTCCATGCCGGCCATTTCCGTATCACCATCGTCAATATGCGTCTCCTCCATCCCTTCTTCTTCTTCCTCCGCCTCCTCCGCCTCTTCTGCCTCCTCGGCTTGATCCTCATCACCTTCACTCTCACTATCCGCTTCTTCGCCACTAGACTCCTCCCTCGGCATCAGTAGCCCCGGTGGCATCTCCTCATCCGACTGCTCAGGGGCGTCGCTCAGATCGCTCTCATCATCGCCATCATTCTCCTCATCGTGACCGTCCGCATCGAGGTCCATCCCTTCGGCAGCTTCTCTGCGTACTTGGGCATCGGGCCCATCACTGTCGTCGCTCATCGCGGCCAAGGGCGTGCGGCTGCCTCTCTTACTCGACATACTGCCCACCCGGCTCTTGGCAGGGCCCGCCTTGGGCTCGAGAGAGCGTTGCACCGCCAACTCGGCCCTGCGTAGGATATCAGGCCTGCGCACGGCCGTCTTCCTCGCTCGCGACGGGCCCTCGGGCTTCTCAGAGTCATTGAGCGTCGGGCTCGTGCCGCGGGAGTCTTGTGCCTCCGTACTCACAAGATTCTGCACGGCAGGGTGCACGAGCTTCACGTCGCCGGCCTTTCTCTCCTCGACAATCTTTGCAGGGTCGTCCGGGAACTCGCCTCGGATCTCCGTGTAGATCTTGGAGTAGCAATCGCTGATGAGGTCGTCAATCGGACCAGCCTTGATCAGGCCGCCATTGGTCTTCTTCAGCTCGATAGCATCCTTCATACAGAAAAAGGTGGCTGTGTGCGGGCCATCGCCGGCCGCCCAGTTAGTGATACGCTCGGTGACGAGATCAAATTCGTCCATGGACATGGATTTGAAGGCCTCTTCGGCGCCCTCGGGCATATTGTACACCTTGCGAAGCAGTTTCACAAACTGTGCGCAGCACCACTGCCACAAATCGGTAAAGTGGTAAAAGTCGGCTGCCTTCTTCCGGATCCTCTTCAGAAGCTGTTCCATGTTGACGCGGTCCGACAAGATGACCAGGATGTTGGTCACAAAACGCATGTACCTCTCTGTGTAGACGTGATGCCGCCCCGGTCGTTCCGAGTCACACTTCCACACATTCATCACCATGGTCTTGGTCAGCATGCTCTCGCAGAGAATGTTAAAGGCTGCCTTGGCGGCCGAGGAAGCGTCCTCGTGGTTCGCGAGCTTCTCGTCAAACAATATGGTCGCATGGCGCATGATGAAGCGGTGCTGCCAGTTGGACTTGTCCTTGTCGCGAAGCTTGATCAGATTGCTGATGATGTAGTCCTCCCAGTGCTTCGGCTCGCTGAACGCTGCAAAGCCATCGTCGTCACGGATAGGCACACCAAATGGCTGCTCGGACAGGATCTTGGCGGCTTCCTTGGCAGGGAGGTCACCTCGCTTGACCATTTTATGCAGCACAGAAGCAATCTTGTAGTGAGGTTCCAGGATGGGCTCGGCGCGGCGCGACTTGCGCGCGTTGTGTGCCGTTTCCACGGCGTGTTTGAGGTTCATCACCACTGTCATGGCCGTGAGGCC